AATAAATATACATATCTTTGTATAATATTTTTACATTACAGAAGGGTAAAGTAACACGTGATAGGCTAAAACACGGAACGGACAAAACACGGAACGGATAAAATTGATCATGTTTAGTCATTCATGTTCTGTCTGTTCCGTGTTTTGTCATTCCTTGTTTTGCCTCTCACCCAAGCAGCAGACTAAACCCCTTATTGATTCTGACACTGGGAGAATGAATATAGTGAGTAAATGCCATATAGTATGTGAACCATAAATAAATATTTCATTCATTAACCCCAAAATTTCTAAATTCATTAGCCCCAAAATTTTCAAAATTAAAAAAATTTTTTAATGGAACAACAAAATAATTTAATAAAAAAACAAAGAAAATTTCTGCCAGTCGAATTACTTGTTGAAGTATTTGACACAGCTAGTAATATTTCTTTGAATGATTTAAAATTGAGGTAATAATAAACACAAATATTTTTCTTGGGAGAAAATCAGAATTAATTTTTAATTATATCAAAAAATATTTTTGCTTTTAAAAACGAGTCCACTCAATAAGGTCAAAACCCTCCAGGATCAATTTACCCAGAAGGTCAAATTCAAAAAGATAAAGATGCCCCAGTATCAAATATATTTTTGTCTGCTTATTTTTATCCGACAGTAGCACAAGAGAATCTCCATCTCATCTACCTTAATCCCCTATAATCCCAACACATCCATCTTAATCCGCCGAAATCCCTCTTAATACCCACAGATACGCTCTAATTTGCACAAATCCTTGTTTGTCTCCCAAATATTTGGATTTGACCTTCTGGGTAATTTTACCTATAAGGACTTGACCTTCCGACGAATACGGACTTGCCCTTTTGGATTTTGGCGTTCTGGGTTGATTTTCTAAAAACAATAACATAAAATCCAGTCTTATAAAACAAATTCTGAGATTAAATAATTTAAAAAAAAATAAAAAAATTATCACACTTTTAATTAGTCATAAAATATTCTACAAAATAAAAAATGAAACAATAGAAAATAATCAACTCAAAAAATACTGGCATAAATTTGCTAAAAATATTTTAATTTGTACTATGATGGTCTATCCATTTATAGGAGAAAAAATGAAAAAAAGGAAGGTAGGAAAATTTAAAAAATTTTAAAAATATAATTTGTTCTTAATAAAATTTTAAATAATACAAAATTAAGTTTGAATTTATTTTGAGAATAACATCTTAATTTCAATGTCTGTATTCACTTTTGACCTTATATTCTTTATGCTTTATATTATTCTCAAATTTTTGACCCTATACTATTTTGAACTTTGTATGACCCCTTTTTATTTTCTGCCCAAATCTATGGCAATAAGTACACGGCTCTGCATGTTATAACCTAAGATCTGCTACTGTGCGATTGTACCATAACTCTGGGTTGGATCATTCCATCTACAACGTCCATGCCTTAGGCTCCTTTTCAAGTTAAAAAACATTAAATTTAATTTTTTTCAAGAAAACTATTTTAAAATAATTAAAAAAAATCATTTTAAAATTCAAATCAAATTTATTTCAATTTAAAACATAAATGCCGAATTATTATAAAACGTTGCTTTTCTAGTTTTACTCATACTCATCTCTCCATACAACTTAGGCAACAAATTGTTTATCATTTGATGGGGTTTCAAATTTTTCTTCTTCGTCAATTTTGCCGTCCGACAGTTGATTATAATCTTTTTGAGAAAAATTTGAAAATTTTGCCTTTTCTACCCAAAAATAATAGGAGTAAAAAAATAATAAAGGTTAAATTTTCATCCCCCTACAAGCTCAAAATCATTCTTATATTAACTACATATATTCTTCATTTTCTAAAATAACTCAGTTTTGTTGAAAAAAAATTTTTTTGATTAAATTATATTTTTAAAAAATATTTTAGTTTGACTAATTAAAATAAATATTAAGCTAGAAATAATGTCTGGATCTGAAACCGGATCGAACCCTGGGGTAAATAAATTTATTGCATAAATCCAAGTTTATTTTAAATATTAGGCTGCTGGTTCTGATATTGGAAATCAAAACCTTCTCCAACAAATTTTGACTGAACTTAAGTCGTTTGGTGAAACCCAAGGGAAGATCTTGACTCAGCTCGGAACATTAACAACAAAGGTAGAAGATATGGCTTCGAAAATTCCTGATGCGCCAGTTAAACTGGACAAAAGTAGGAGTAATTACGTGTGATTATTTGTAACTTAATTTATTCATTTAGGTAGGAAACGCAAGGCTACGTCTTCTCCAGGAAAGGATGGAGATTCGTCACTTTCGCCTTGTAAATTTTTGATATAATATAATTAACTTAAGCTCGGCTAAAGCCCCCATTTTTCCATGTTTCACTACAATTTTGAGCTTTTTGCTTGATTAGAATTTATGCCGGGGGTAAAACAAACTACCATAACTATTTTTATCTAAATGAGATTTCAATTATTTTATTGCCATTCGGCTCAGATTAAAGAGCTTCTTTCGAATGCTTCAAGAATGAGAAAAATAAAACAAAACGGGGGGGGGGGCATGAGCCGAAGTATTGCCAAAAAGGGAGGGGGGCATCAGCCGAAGTATTGCCAAAAGTGAGGGGGCATGAGCCGAAATTTTGCCACTTAATCTTACCTTTAAGATTATGAAAATTAATAAAATTTGAAATATTAAAACAAAACAAAAATTTTAATTAAATTTTTATATCTTTTAGCAAAGCCTCTTGTTCCGTTTTTTTGCTCCTTTTGTGGAGAAAAATTTGCAACTAAGTGGAATTTAAAGCGCCATGAAGAAACTACCAATCATCATACTCTTGAAAGTTTGGACTGTAATTTTGTAATTCAACTGCCGACTTCTTCGTCTACAATTGACAAAACTGCTGGTGATGAGCAGTCTGGTTCTTCTTTGACTGGAAATGTTGAGGGAACAGTTGAAGGGACTGTGGAGCAGTCCTCCACCATTTCTGGTGTTAAAAAGTCCGCGGAAGCTGACGTCTAAGTCAGTCTCTCTTGAGCTGACTTTAGCTCTTTTTTATTGTTGACACTTTAGGATCTACCCTTCCTTTAATTTATTTTTAAACAATTTAATTTCCTCAACGTTTATTGTAAATCCAGACTTTCCTTGACTCTCATACCTAAATTATATACATATTTTTTTCCTTTAATTTCAGCCTTAGTTTTATCAGAAAAATCATAAATACTTCCTCCTTTTAAATTATTTTGTTGGTCCACTTCTAAATTTTGTTAATTTATTTTTTGACTAATTATATATGTATATACAGTGTGTTAAGAAATTATAACCCCCCTTGAATTTTTTGAGTTTCTCTATCTTCCCGTTGTCGGATTGTTCTGAAATTTTTGTAGTAGTTTTGTAATGTATATTAAATAATATCTACAAAATATCTTTAAAAATTTCTGATCACAAACTTTTTTATAGACGTTTTTCCAAAAAATTAGTGTTAATAAATTATAACCCCCCTATATTAAAATTTTTTTAAAGCACGGAATATCTATTTTGGCCAAAATTAACAAAAAAAAATTTTTTTCTAGTTCAATCTTTCGAAAATGTTAAAAAAAATTTCTTCATATTTAAGGCTTCCTATAAATTATTTATTATAATTTCAATTTTATTCACAAAATAGGCTGTTTTTTTGGAAATTTGTAATTTAAATGATAAATAAAAATTTTGTCAATTTTTATACTTGATGAATTGTTTATCATTTTTTATTCTTCTAATAAATTGCTGAAGCCTGCAGGGGCGATTTTTTTAACTGGCGAATTTGATTTTGCGGGGGGCGGGAGTGATGTTTAAACTTTGTTTTAGGAATTGTAGATCCGCGGCTTTAAAGCTGTTCTAGATCCCTTTCTAGCTTGAAGATGGAAGAAAATTGTGTGTTAGTTAGGTTGTTGGTGCGTCGAACAAGCATGAAATCCAAAATGTTGGGTATTTAGTTGGTCTCAACGATGAACGTGTGATGTATTTTTATCTTACAACCTCTAGGAAGATTCCTTTTGTCTTACAACCAGTGCTGGATATTTGCCATTTGTTGGCTCCGGCCCTGAGCTTTCAAACTCCTGGCTCCGGGCTTTTAAAATCTCAACTCCAGAACCATACCCAGCACTGCTTACAACCTCAATATTTATACCCATATTTATATCCATATATGTATCATCTGGTTTTTAGAAAAATTGTATTATTATCTCAACTATAAAATCCCTTCAAATATAAAATTTTTTTAAAAAAAAATCCTTCGATTAGCTTAAAGTCTTTCCCCTATTTTTCCTTTATATATCTCCCATTCATCTCCAAAATACCTCCTCATCCCTTGGGAGTCGTTCATAATCGCCGCTAGTTTTTTTTCTCCCCCACTTTCTAGCTTACTTTTATTTCCAAAAAATATTCCAAATATTTATTGGTTTTTTAAAAAATATTTTTTTATTTTTTAAAAAAATTGGAGGACTTTTTTAGTTCTAGTTATTCTTCTCTCAAGGGTCATTATTATTATTAATTTTCCCCACATTAAACATTGCATGCTTTATTAAAATTATTTTTAAAATAAAGTTGTAAATGTAGTCTTTTTATTGTTAAAATTTTTATTTTTACATGAAGACTTAGCTGTTTATTTTTTTAAAATATCGACCTATATAAGACCCGGAAACTGAATTTTTTTAGAAATTATGAGAGAAAAGGGTCGCAGAAACATGAATTTTAAGTGAAAAAATTATTTTTCTTGAGCTTGGGATTTTACTGATTTTTGGAAGTTGATGGGTAAACACTAGATTGACAAGCTTAGTGATGTTCGGGAGGTAAAAAACCGAAACCAAGAGTCGAGACCCCGAAACCGAGACCAAAAATCAACCTCTGAGATCGGAGCTCAAAAAACCGGGAAATTTCCCGACTCGGGAACCGAGGGTCTCGAACATCACTAGACAGGCTCAAAAAATTCAATTTTTACTATTTTATAGTCTTTTTAAAATTTTTAGAATAATTCCTGAAAAAAAATATTTAAAATGTCTCTAATCGTCCCACAACAAGAATCAGTTGCCCCTCCAATTCTGCTTCCTTTTCAAGGAGGTATGGGTCGACAAAATTTTATGAGCCGTATAAGAATGCATAACTTACAACTTCCAACTACAGAAAATTCAAATACAGGAGGGAATGTAAGTTTGCTATTTTCTAAAAAAAGTTTTCAAGTTTGAACTTAAAAAACTTGAAACTTTTAAGCTTAAACTTAAAATTTGTCATAATAAAAATATTAGCAAGTTTTGAATATGTATTAGTAATTATTTTAAAAAAATATTTTCTCAGAAATCTCCCTCAAAAATATTTACTAAATATTATTGCGTGACTATTTCTTGAGTGCTTTTACATTCATAATTTTTTACTTTATTCAAACTTTTTTTTATTTTAAGGCCAAAAGTTTAATTCTTTTTATTTTTGTTGCCTAAGGAGATATGACTTTTATATGGAGGTTTTATGTGTCTTCTATGGGTGTATAAATTAGGGTTGCACTCTGAACGCTTGGGGTACTGGGTTTTCTAATTGTTTCGGGGCGGTGTTCGGGTCGGGGAAAATCTGAAAATATCTTTCGGGAACGGGGGTCGGGGTACGGGGTCGGGGTGCAACTCTAATATAAATTCATATGGCTATACATAAATCTAGAAATCATATGGCTATAAATCTAAATCTATATACAATCCCAAAATTTATTACCTTAATCCCCCTCCCTCCTTCAAATCCTCTCCTCTCATTTTCGCTTGATTCCCCCTCCCCCCTCCCCCTTCCTCCAATCCTCACTTTCTTAAGAGTCAGTTGCTTCATTTATTTTCTATTTCCAATCTCAATCGGTCAGACCACAAAAACCTTTTTATCATCTTTGTTTTATGACAACAACAAAATATTTATTCACTCAAATAAATTCTCTTTTTTCCACTTTATAACACTTTAATAAAGCAATAAATAAAACTGCTTTTTAGTTTTCATGCTTTAAAAGCTAATGGACCATAAATATCTTAAAATATACCTTAGTTCTTTACTTTTTTTTTATTGCTATGTCCGGGGGGTGTCCATGACTTAATACTTTATCCGAGTAGAAATACAATGTAAGTGAAGGTGGGATTGGGCTGGATCAGCGAAGGATTAAGACAAGGACTAACTTCAAAGACTAACCAGACTAGTTGATCAACTAAACTAGAGTTAACACTGGCCTTTATAGACTTACAAGAACAAAAATAAATTGGATATCGTATAGAATTAAGGCCTTAGAGACAGGATTACAAGGGTTGGGGAGTCGGGCTGACGTTCGAGTCATTTCTTTTCGGGCCTCGCTTTTATCGGGCCGGCCCGACCGAGTCTTTTTGGGCCAAAATTCGATGCCCGACTCGATCTTTCGGACGGACCAGATCGGGCTCCCAAACCTAAAAATTACAAGGGAAATAATAAATTTTAAGCTTGAAAGATCTAAAAGGCTTTAAAGGCCTATTTAGTGATACTTGCGAATATTTTTTTAAAATAGCTTCTCATATTTTTAAAAATGAGAACTCGTCAACCAATAACTATATTAGACCCTCAATGTTCCTCCTCCACATCTCCACTATCAGAACAACAACAACAAGAACAACTTCCTCCCCCAGCATTAATTATTGGAGGGAGACAGCAACATACAATGAGGCATCGAATATCCTTCGATCCAAATATTCAGGCAAATTCTAAGAAAAAAATTTTTTCCCTTCCATTTTTAATTAAAAAATTGTTTAAGGAAACAGTTGTTATTTTAAGCTTAATCCATCGATTAAATCAAAAACATGCTAAAAATCAGTATACTTCCAAAAAAATATTTTTTTCTTTTATTTTTTATATAAATTCTTCCCCAAATTTTTTCCAAAAAAAAATTACTAATATTATTTTATTTCCCTCTAAATTCCCTTATTAATCCCATTATTTATCCCGAGACAATGAAATCATCCGGCAAAAATTCCCCACCCCCAACACCACTTTCTAACTCCTCTGACCACTCCTCACCCCTAATTTCTTATCAATTTCGTTGGCCTACAAGGAAATCACAACGACGGCGACGGAGACAAATTTTGGAACCTAACTTTGGTTCAAGTTGTGAGGAAGAAAGGAGTCCGAGAAGAAATCCGAGAAACGCAAGGAATCCTCCACAAATCAAACAAATTCAGCCTCAACCAAAGCATCAACGGAAAATTTCAAAACAAGTTGTTTTCCGCCCCGGTTTTCGTCCAGGAACTCCTCCACCTTCTGTGCCGATACGTGCACAGGCGCTCAGTTATGATCCTAATCGTCTTGCACCTCCAAGTGCTTATGAAATTGGATTGACTCAGTGGGAAGCTCCTCCACATAAACGAGTTTGTAAATAGGATCAAGTAAAATGGGAATTTTAACTCTGTATGCCTCCTTTGTATTTTCTCTCCAAAACTATGGCGATAGGTAACCAGCTCTGCATGTTAGAACCCAGGCTTAGTGATGGATACAGATAATTTCAAAATTGTGGTATCCGCCTTATCCACCGTAAATATCCGGATATGGATACCAGCATTCATGTCCATTACCAAGTCTGTTAGAACCTAATACCATAATTCTGGGTGAGTAGATTTTAGAGCATACGGAGAATTATTCAAAACATTAGAGTTACACACACCCAACGACGGCATAAGTTCTAATTCCAGAAGCTGGTGATTTACGGCATAGATCCTAGTACACACGCACATTACAAAACATTAGGTTCTAACAACGCAGAGCTGGATACTTATTGACATATGTAGATTTGGAAATAAAATAAAAAGGGGTCTTACAAAGTTCAACATTTCCAGTAAAATTTGTCCTAAAAACAAAAATATAACACACATCTATTTTTACCCCAATCTTTTAATCGTTCATTAGCTGGCGCATTTATTTTTTTCCCCCGTTTTAGTATTTTTATGTATGCTCGAAATAGCCTTAAAGCTTTAATTTAAGCATTTAATTCTACAACTGCTGCCCTTTGCTTGTTAATTTCTTCCATGTTTTTTTTAGTTAAAAGGTTAAAGCATCCTACGGGAATTCTTTAAAATAAAATATTGAATATAAATCTTATTTTTTTTATTTTTACAAATTTATGCCAAGCTTTCTTTCCCAAAAATTAATCTTATTCTATTTTTTGTTTTATCCCTTCTGTTATAAATGGTATATTCTTTGCTTGTTCTTAAACTCAAATTGAAACTTAAAATTAAACCTAGGTGGCCATTTCCAAATCACCAAAGGGGGACATGGCCTCTCAAAAAATGAGCAAAAAAGGGGCATTATTTTTAACACCTACATAAAAATAATTATAATTTCAAGTAAAATTCTTTAATTTTCATATTTTTGACTAGAGTTTTAATTGAACTAGTTTTAACTCAACACCGCGGTGATGGTCGATTTTGGGATCTATCTCTTTTATCCCTCTATTTCAGAGCCGTAGGCAAAAATTTAAAGAATTTTGGGGGAACCTTTTCAGAAAACATCAAAAAAGTAACGAGAAGGCCAAAAAACGGGCAAATGCCTCCCAAATCAGGTTGAAGGGCCACCCTGATCCATTATCAAAAATTTCAAATAAAATAAAACCAAAAACATTCCTTTTAGGATACGGTCGAGAAAATACCAATACGTGCACGTTCACAAAGTTGGTTGATTCGTACTAGGCATTTGCTTGATGACGAAAAGGTGTGAGTTCACCATACAGGCTCATAATCACGTTTACAATTTCTAGTTAAATCGACAAGTACCAATCATATCTAAATGCCTTTATGTGCTTTCTGTTCTACTCCTTGTTATTACCTTCCCTTTCTGTATTCCGTTTTGTCTACGTGTTTCTAAGTAATTTTCTTCCCCAAAAAATCCCCGTAAAAATTAAAATTATTTTCCCTAGAGAATATGAAAGAGCTGTTGTGTTTCGATTGGGAAGGTATTAAAAAATTACTTGAAAAATAAATTTAATAATTCAAGGCTTATTAAACGTGGAACGAAAGGACCAGGGGTAATACTAAATTGTTTAATCTGATATTTGATCTTATAAATTTAGATGTTTTTTATTATGCCATGCATTGACACGTATAGAATGGTATGTAGTCTATTTTTAAGTGTAAACTTGAAACTGGTATTGGATTAAGTCCAAGCTTAAGAAAGAAATTAGGTTTTAAATAAGATTATTAACGACAGTTTTCTTAATATCGAGGCTCAAACAAATAGAAATAAAGCACGGGGAAAAATAAACCGGTCGTGAACCCACAGTTTTAAAGTTCAAATTTATGTTAAGTTAAATCTTTAAAGAAGAAACAAGTCTTTAAAATCTTACAAGAGGACCTTTCGAACTGTGAGTAAAGAAATTTTTGAAATAAAAATTATACCATCATGCAGAGCATGGTCGATAACCTCAGACCTCTCTCTCCCCCCACCCCCAATCGACAAAACTTAAATTAAACTTTAATAAAAACCAGTTCAATCTAGGTAGATTTACGAGTTCTTTCCTTCGATGTTCCACCACAAGAAATTCTTTCAAGAGATTCAGTTACTGTATCAGTAGAGGCTGTTATATACTTTCGTATTTCAAATCCAGTTATTTCCGTTACAAAGTTTGAATTTTTTTTTGAAAATTTAGACATTAAATAAGCTTTTTAGTGTAAATGATGCCCAATTTAGCACAAAATTGTTGGCACAAACGTGAGCTTTTTCTTAGTCTTTTTTACAGTCAAATCTTCCCTCTAGAACTCTTCGGAATGTTTTAGGCACCAAAACTCTCAGTGAAATATTAATGGAAAGGGATATAATATCAAATGTATGACCTTGGAATTTTTAAATTAAATTAACAATTTTAGATAACTGAAAAGGTGCTTGATGATGGAACTGATCCTTGGGGTTTTTAAAAAAATTTGAAGAAAATGAATATAATTTGTATAGGTGTAAAAGTGGAAAGGGTGGAAATTAAAGACATTCGACTTCCTCAACAATTAATGAAGGTACTTATATATTTTTGTGTTTAGAAATAGAGAAAATAATACCGTATATGTTCGAATAATTTCCCTCTCTTAAATGATTGCTCGATAAAATTAAACAAGAGATTCCTCCAACAAGAGGTTGAAACAATAATTACCCTCCCTAAAATGCCCTATTGCAACGTTTAACTTTGAAAACTCGATCATTCGCCCATTTCATAATTAATTACCCCTTCTCTAGCGAACGGTTGAAGCAATAATTATCCAAGGGTACTTATTTAAGCATATACGGTAGTAGTCTCAGCTGACTAAAAATCTAGAAAATTAAAAAAAATTTTAGTCAATGGCCGCTGAGGCAGAAGCAGCTCGCGATGCACGTGCTAAAATTATAGCTGCAGATGGTGAACGAAGTGCAAGCCGGTACCTACTAAAATATAATCTCTTAACCCTCTAATCTAAAAATTTCTTAAAGACAATTAGTCCAAGCAGCAGATATTGTATGTGGCAATAAAGTTTCTCTTCACTTGCGATACCTACAAACGCTAATCAGAATTTCTTCTCAACATAACCATACTTATGTAAAACTTAACCTTAAAATTGACTAAAAATTCTCTAAAAACTAAGATCTTTAAATAGAAATTTTATTATTTTTAAATTAACATACATATAAATTATGCCATTTTTAGGTAGTACCAATTCCACTGGAATTTATGAAAAGAATAATGGAGAAAATAAAGAATAGAGGAAGAAAACAGGGAAAGTGAAGAAGAAGAAGAAAAAAGGAATTTTTACGAAAAAATTATTTTGGGAAAATTTCAAAGACAGTGAAATTTTTTTAATTTTTTGGTTCTGGTCTAGTTCGTGAGTCCATCAAAAATTTATAAGTCAAATGAAGCTTCTTTACACGTCTAATAAAAATTCATATTCATAGGACTCATAACCTATTATGTAAAACAGAGTTGTTTCGAAACAAAAAATCGAAATTGTTCAAAAATATCTATCGAAAATATTTTTCAAATTTTCAAAATCGAAAGGAAAAATAATCTCAAAATCGAAATTTCGAAACAACTCTGACCTAGACCAGAGCCAAAATTTTTTTTTTGTTTTTTAGACATTCAGCTCTAATATTTAAGAAAAAGAAATTCGATTAAAAAATAAATAAATACAATAAATATTAGAACAAATAAATACAACAATTAGATTGAAGAGTTGAATAAAAATAAGGGGTTATGGACTACTAATTTATATAGGAAATTTTGAAAAAATGCCTTCCCACGGAGAAAAAAAAATCCTTAAAAAATCAATTTTCCTGTCAAAAAAATTTTTTAAATTTTTTCAGGTCTCGGAAAATTTTGTGAGCCCTCCCCTAATCCCTTTAAAAATAAAAACAAGTGAATCAAAAAAAGTTAAAAAGTTTTACGCATTTTCTCCTTGTGAAGCTTCTGTTGTTAATTGTTGAGATGTTCCCGGTGCACAAACATCCATTAATGAAAAATTGAGTGATAAAAGTGATGGAATTGTTCGACAATCTCGCCTCATTTCAAGCTGTTAAAATTTAAAAACATGAAAAAAAATTTTTTTAGAAAATTATAAAAAATTATACGTGGCCAAAAAAAGATTTTTTAGGTGAGCTAATAAAAAATTTATTTATTCCCAAAATTATTCTTATAAAAATATTTCTCCGAGAATTCCAAAAATTTCCTAAACCACTGGAAAATATTTCCCCAAAATTAACCTCATAAAATTAACACAAAATAAACTTACAATTTTCTGTACACGAGTAAATGCTTCCAGTGAAGAACTTCTAGAATCAATAATTTCTATTGATTTAAAATCGTATGGATGGAAGACGCGAATACATTTTAGGACTAAAAAGTAAATTTGAAAAAAAATCAGAGAAATTTTTAAAATAACCCAAAATATTTGAGCCATCCCAGATGACGTCATCGAATCTTAAAATGAAATTTGTGATAAATTTACGCCAGTTATATCAGTAAAAGTGTCTACCCCCCAAAAAGGATTTCTGAAAATTGAAAAATTGACCAAAAATTGTAAAAATTCCCATATATCTCCACGGGCCCCCTCCCCTCTAAAAAATAACTTTAAAAAAATTTCTAAAAAAGGACTCTCTAGCGTATAAAAAAATTTCTGAAAATTCAACTGATACTTACAACTGAAACTTACAACCCCCTATACCCCAAAAAATGTCTAAATTTGGAAAAGTACCCAAAAAGGACAGAGAATTTCCATAAATGACAGATATACTCTTCGGGCTCCAATTCCTACACTCTAAAAAAATGGTTATAAAAAAATCTCCGAAAAAGTTAGGATTCCCAGAGACAATAAAATATACTTTTTGTGAAAAGGAATATAAAAAATCAAGATTAATTTAAAAAACAAACATCCTTTTAAGCTCCAAAAAAGTCCTTTTAGCCTGTTCATCTTTAATAAAATAATCACTTTCCAAAACACTTTCAGTTCTTTCAATTTCATCAATTGTGTATAGAGAATTGTTGTGTTTTATTAAATTGCTAGATCGCCTTTTTTGCATTTTTTGTGAAGGGAAAATTTTTTCAATCTTAAAAATTAATTTAAAAAAGAAAAATTTAACAAGGAAAACCGTTAAAAGTCCACATTTTTTGACAAAATGTAATGTTGACTTTCCATTGTTTAAGTATTCCTCTAAAAGTAGAATTCCATTAGTTACATCATTTATTATCAATTCGCCAGAAAAATGAGAAGATTTGGTTGAACAACGAATAAAGTCACCAATTGAGAATGAATCTAAAAGGTAGAGAGGATTTAAAAAACATTTTAACAAAGAAAAAATGTTGGGGAAAATTCAACTAAAATTTCTTAGATTATCTTCTATAGAAAATTTAATAATTTTCCCCAATTCCCAACCAGAGCTTATACCCAAAATTCAAACTCGACTTTGGTACGATGTACGAGCAAAATTGAAATTTATAAGACCGTTCCCAGCACATATTTAAATCCACAACAATTTAGAATTCGGACACTTCTGCAACTCTACCCACCTTTTTAAAGACAAAATGGGGGAAGGATCAACCGTGTTTGAAAGCTCTTACCAAAATTCGTACTCGTGTACAAGGATAGAAATTCGGTCAAGTATTACATAGTAAAATTTAAAACTTCCAAACACCGAACATCACTTAAAAGAGAAATCAAAAGACCTCACGAGTGGAAATCTTGGATGTTAATTCGAGGGGAATCAATAAAGGGAAGAAATTTCGGGTAAATAACCCCATCCAGAAACTAAAAAAATATTAAAATTAAAAAACCGATTTGACACTGTACAGAAGTTGTAGGGCATACATCACATTTAACATCATTTAAAGATTCCGAATCAACTTGCGAATCGTTAGCGACATCATTTCCCTCGTTATTGAAATTTTTAGTTATTTGTTCCATTTATTTTGATTGATTACAAGTTTAAAATTTTTTTCCTGAAAAATTAAAAAAATCTGTTTAGATTTAGCTAAAAAAAATTTACTTGCAGTCTCTCCTATTGTTTTTCTCTATTCTAAAAAAAATTATTAAAAGTGTCAAAATGTACCCTTTCACAAAACTATTCAACTTTTTTCTTTCTAAAATATATTTTTAAATAAAAATAAATATGTATAATCCAAATAAGATTTAGAAAAAATTATTAAAATTTATTTAAAAAATTTTTTATTCAATAATTCAAAATAAAATTTTCTTTCAAAATAAAATACCTGAAAAATAACATTTTTGATAATACTTTGGAAATGGGAAAATGAAAGAAATTTTGGAGAGAAAAAAAAATAAAATTTTTTTAGCCTACGACCTTCCAAAATTCACAAAATTTTCGCCTGCAGCGCTAAAAATCAAAATTGGAGGCATTAAATAATTAATTTGACAAATTTGTGCCGCTACAAGGGATTAAAGCAGATGGTCAGAACTTGATTCATTTTGGTCATATTTTGTTTATTTTAGTGTCAATCGACTCAATTCGAAGAGCCCTTTCAAAAATGTGCCATAAAAACAAGAAAAATAGAAAGGAAAAAAGGGGTCAAACCAAAGTATTACCATATTTTTTTGGCAAAACGAGATCTCAAAAAAATATTCTATCACCTTTACTTAAAATATTTCAAAAAAAATTTATTCTTGACCCATATCCTTCATTTGAGCAAGTTTGGTTCTCAACTTTAAAAAAATTCTTTTATTTAAAAAATATTTAAAAAAAATACCGAATGATTAGACATCTTCAAATCCAATAATTTCTTGCGGCGAGCTTTCAAAATATTAATGGTTGTTTCACTAAAATTCAAAAGAAAATTTTTTGTTAGAAAAATTTAGAAGAAAAACTAACGTAAGTTCACTCTTAATTTCCGTAGTAATTTCTTTTTGATCAACCTTAGAAAGTTTAACGTCCAAATTTGCCAAAACTTCCTTCTTCTGTTTCGATTCCTCCGAAGCTAAAGCACCTAAAAAATTTTTTCAAAAATTTTAAAAATTTATTTTTTACATCCAGATTTCGCACCATCTATTTTTTGACGCAATTCCTGTTTAAATTTAGACATATCCCCATAGTGATCCTAAAAATTTTTCGAATTTTAATTACCTCTACATTTATTAAACTAACCTCATCAGAAATTCGCATACTTTTGAGAGTTTCAAAAATACGGTGAAGATGTTTGTTGTGTTCTGCCGACGTCTTGCGGAACTTGTCGACCTAAAAATCGGAAAAATTTCTGAATTTTCTGAAATTAATGAGTTTAGCAAAGGCTGACTAAAGATTGGACCGAGATGAGATCTCGAACAAAAATCCCAATTATCGAAATTTTTCGAGATATCCGATAGTACAACACTCTCGTTAGATCTCTAACTGACAGTACTCGCTTTGCCTCACTTACACCTATGTAGATGCTCTACCAGTGAGCTACCTGAGCAGCAGCTTTTGCTTTCTCTTTTCACCTATGAACAGTCAACCCCCTCTCCTAATCGTCTTAAATGCCGCTCATTCTTACTATCAGAAAATATTTTTAAAAAATCCATACCCTAACTCCCAATGCTTGATCTTCCTTCTCCGAATCATTTTTGAATCTTTAAATTAAATAAAAAATAAAATAATAAAATTCTTAATTAAAAACCCTTTAAGTTTTGCCTCACTATCTCCCAAAGAAACATTAAGCAATTTAATTTTTTCCGATAACATTTCATTCTCAGCCCTATCCTCAAGTAATTTTTTATATTCTTCCTCATAACGCTCCATTAATTTTGCATTATTAGCTTCTTTTGATCCAAGTTCCTCTGTCAAAGATGTAATTTCTATAATTAAAAATAAATGTATGAATATTTAATTTATTTAAGGATAAACTTACGCCTTTCAAGTTGAGATTTAAAATCCTCCTCCTGTGAAATATTTGATGAAGTTGTTGGTGACATTGTAAAAGTACTAAAGAAAATCGAATTTTAAAAATTAAATTTTGTCAAAAGTTTATTGTGGGTAGGGGACGATTCAGTATCGCCGATTCAGTATCGCCAATTCAGTATCGCCGATTCAGTATTGGCCGATTCAGTATCTGAGCTTTTTGGCCATAACTTTTTGCTCGATCAATATTGTAGGAATTATTCTATGATTTGATAGGTCTCGGGGTGCTGCATCTTTTTCATAATTGGACTGCCCTGATCTGATCACTCTACAAAAAGTTATCACTGATAAACGACGTCACAGGCATAAAAAATCGGTTTTCACGCTGTAACTTTTTTTGTGATCATCAGATCAGATCGGGCCAATTATGAAAAAGATGTCGAATCTCTAGACCTTTCGAATGATATGAGAATTATTCGAATCGGTCGAATATCAGGGAAGTTATGGCCATATACTGAATCGGCGGATACTGAATCGGCGATACTGAATCGTCCTTAACCGGTTTATTGTAAAAGTTCCTTTCACTCTCTAGTTTCTCTAATATTTTCCAGCAGTTCTTTAAAGTGGAGAATGTCAAAATGTCAACTTTATATAATCCCATTGGGCATTTTATCCGGCTGTCACGTTCTGAGTCTTTTAGTCAGCTTTTTATAAAAAAAAATTTTTATTTAGGCGAATATTTTTTTAAATTTTATTCATAAATGGTTCGTCGACGACTTCAAGAAGTACAGGATCTAAATAATGACAACAAAAATAATGCCTCAGACAAAACTAAAGAAGAACAAGTTCGAGAATTATTAGACGAAGAAAAACAACATGAAGGCCTTGCACAAGAATTGCTTAGATTGACTGGAAGTTTGAAACATAATTTTACAACTGCTGGTTCTGTGCTTAAAGAGGATAATGCGGTTATTTTAAATTGATTTTTTAAAATTTATTTGTTTCTTCTCCGTTATCCCTTCCAGAATTTTTTGCGGACTTTTTTCTTTTTTGCGGACACATTTATTTTTCTTCTTAAGAAATCTTGCCGAGTTTATGCTGAAGAAAATGATTGGCGAAAATGACGTTTTTGAAGAGGTTTTGTTCTCTTGGAGGAAATATTGGTCATTGAAATTATTTTTTCTTTCATATATTTCCTCTTTTAAAATGTGTCCGCAAAGGTTAAAAAAGTCCGCAAAAAATTCTGGTAGTGATACGGAAGTGTACCTTATATTTTTAATTTAAAGGCTCTCGATGTCATGCACAGAATTGCTTCAAGCAACAAAGAAAATTTAGTTCGTGAAAGTGGCCGTTTAGAACATCATGCATACAAATCCTGTTTCAATTTTATGATGATTTTGATTGTTATTTTTGTGATATGGTCCTTTATTGCGATGATTGTTGTTATGAGAGTATTTCCTAAAGTTTAAAAAATAAATTATTTTTATAATTTTTTTTTGTTTTCACAAGATTTTTATTCAGTCTATTTTTTATTTTTTATGTCCCTGTTAAATTTCTTTCATATATTGTTTAGAAATGTGTCCCAACACTCTCCGTTTCCTTAGAAATTTTCCAAGTGTTTGTGTGACCCAGCATTGCCTCTTCTCCGCGAAAGAGGCTGCTATAGCCTTGCGTCCGTTTTATTTTGCAGTTCATCCTGACAGGTTTTTATTTTTTGTTTTTAAATTTTACTTTTAATATTTTTCAGATTTGCTCAAGAACCGGATATTCAAACGAGAAATGAGAGAGCATTGCAGGTTTCTAAGAACCTTATTTTGTTTGAGGACCCTGACCAGATTCCTTGCTTTGAGTCGATGAAAAATCACAAACTCTGGATCCAGTTTGTCTTGTATTTTGGATGGGTTTTTGCATAATTTTCTAGTTGTATTTTCCTTGTTAAAGCCAAATCTCTTTTCTCCTTTTTGTTAATTTCAACTAAAATTTCTTATTGAAATTCACAAAATTTAATTTTCAGGTCTTCAATGGCTACATCAACAATTTATTTCCAGAGCCTGTAACCCAAATGCCTGTCAATGTTCGTATCTTACAATTAGATTGAATGACTTTATTTTTTTAATTTTTAGGTTGAGTTCACAGTGAGGGACACACTCTCCAACTTTAAAAGTATTCGAATATTTCTTTCTGGCGCAGATCCAGCAGAAATTATTAAGTAAGAAATTTTTCTTATTTCGGTCGCTTTATTCTTATTCAGACTAGCACTTGAAAGATGTGAATTAAGCACAGCCCATTTGCCTGTACGAGACAACCTTTCACAAAACCAAAAAGGCACCAAAACGGCTCAACAAAATTTTGCTCCAGGATTAGACGAAATTTGGAAGAATTTACAAGAAAATGAACGTTTAAGACAAAAACGTTTTTATTCTGTTAATTTATTAAATGAATTATCAAAAAATCGAGAATTGGCAATGCAAAGAAAGGACGGACATAAAGTTATGGTTGAAATAATTGAGGACAATATTGATGAGATTAAAAGGAAAACTGGTTTAACTCAGGTTCTGAATTTTTAATTTGACTGTCAACTAGAAATCGAATAGGAAGGGTTCGTAGATAAGCTTGATATTCTAGAAAATAAATATCTCGATATTTTGTTAGAACTCCCGTCTCGGTCCAATATATAGTGTCAGGCAAGGGCGTAGCCACAGGTCGATTTCAGGGGGGCTATAGCCCCGAAGCCCCTCCCCTGGCTAGCCCTTGGTCGGTTGTTAGCTTTAGAAAATTTTTCCTTTAAATCTGGTCTCTAGCTTTTGGTTATTTAATCTTCAATTTATTCACCGTGATCCAAAATCATTTTTATAATTTTTTAGATCCTTTGGTCTATAAATTGGGAACTTACTTTTATGCGTCGTTGCCTTATTAATGTTCTTGAAATGATCAACCATGCAGACAAGCATTCGAAGGATTTTATTATTTATTCTTTAAATGGCAGACAATTAACGTTTTTTTTGAATTTATTTTTAAACCTTTTTAAACCCAAACTAAAATTCTTTTAAGTTTTGGACGTGGTTCTCATATTTGTTGTAATGGGTCTTTACAGGTATTTTTGATTTTTTTAATTTTTAAATTTAATCTAGACATTTTTTTTTTCATTAAGTTTGGTGCTGATGACGCTATTGGCGCTTGGCAAAAAATTTGTATAGAATCCACAAAATTTCTAACGTGATTTTTAATTAAAGAGAAAATTTTTTTGATCATTTTTCGGTATTTAAAAATTTAAAAGAATATTTTAATTTAAACCAAAATTATTTTTTTAAAGATTTGAAGTTCAAAATCTTGAAAGACTTGTTCAACGAGTTGCTGAACTTTTGGGAGGAATAAATTTATTAGTTCAACCTCATGATGGTTTACTTCAAACAATTAAGAACGTGAAACTTTTTATTGCAAGGTTTTTTGAAATAAAATAATTTTAAATTAAGAATTTGGCTTAAGTCTATTTTATGAGTTTAAATTAGAGATGTGCGAAAATTTTTCGTTTCGGGTTTCTTATATTTTAGTAGATTTTTTAACGGTTTTCGTTTCGTATTTCGTTTGAAAATAATTTTTCGTTTAGTAAAAATGAATTTATTCTTTCGTTCTCGTTTCGTTGAAAGCGAAAATTCCATTTTTGTGCATTTCTGGTCCAGATAAAAGTTTGTGTGTCCGTTGAAGATCTATGAATTCAATTTGTTTGGACTATAATTTTTATAGGAAATAAATTTTCATCGGACTCAACATTTCATTTGTAATTTGTAACTAGACCGTGGTTAAAAATCATATTCTTTTTCTCGTTTTTAGAATTTGTTCACAACCTCCATCAGAACTCTCAAAAATTACTTCTCTTCTCAAAAAAGACCAGCAAGTTCAAATTATGAATGGGTATTCAGAATTGGCACTTCTTCGAGGAATTTTACAAATACCTTGTAATGTTGATATTCAGGCATTGAAACATTTTATTGATAAAAATGATGCCTCAAAAGCTGAGAAAATGAGAAAGGAATATTTTGAACAGAAGGTTTCTTTTTTTAAATTTAAAAATTTTTTACGAATTGACTTGGCCTTTCCAAGTAGGATATTTATGAAACCTGATTAAATTCAAAAAATCAGTTGGAATTTTAAGCAAATTTTTCGATTTGATGAATGGTGACGTTAAAAAGGAGATACTTTCTTAAAAATGCTTAAATAATAATTTTGTCAGTTTTCTTGTTGTGGAACTATATATAACTGAATCTTTCCATGGAATCTTTCAATAACGACACCCCTCCCTTGCCATTTCTTTTACGTCTTTAAAAGTTGCCTACGAACCAGGGATGTCACGGGTTTAGAAAAATGTTGGGTCTGATTTTCAAATTTCTTCGGATCGGGTTGAGAAAAATTCAGGGTATTGGGTAACCCGTGACATCTCTGCCACGAAATTGTCCTATCGAGAACGTACATTATTTTGGATTCAGTTTTTGTTTCATATATATATTTTCTATTTTTTAGTATTTCTTGGAAAGCGTTAAAAATTCAACAGTCTCACATTTGGAGTTAAATTCACTTAGTTGGGATGCCGATTTAAATTTTACACGTTTATTAGATGCTTTACGAAAACTATCAAAAATCCAAAAAGAACAAATTTCACATTTCTCTGGCTTAGAAATTCATCTCGGATCTGGACCAAAAATTTTTGTTCTTGCTTCAGGTAAAATTTCAGTGCCAATTGAAATGATTGAAGATTTTGAAATTTAACCAAAAATTTAAAAATATTTTTTTTTGAAAAACTTAATGATTATTTTGAGTGCCTATATTCTGGGTGCAGGCCAGTTTACTTCAGCCCAATGTACTGCTGACATGAGCTATAACTTCGTTCAAAATTGTCGAATCCGTTGCGCCCTGGTTTGGTCGATTCAGATGGTCGAGACGCATCGAACCATACCAGGGCGCCACGGATTCGACCATTTTGAACGAAGTTATAGCTCGGCGGTACATTGGGCAGCGGTACACCGGAGTGTACCCCTATATTTTTTTAATGTAAAGATATATGTATATTTAATTATAAGTTGTAGTATAATCTTCTTTTTTATATAATTTTTGAATTTGATAAAAATAATTTTAATTAAATTTATTATGTTTTATTTTTTAAAATGTTGTTTTCTCAACTTTGTGTCTGTATTTTTTGATTTTTCTAAATTTTTTTAAAATTATTTATCTCTAGTTTTGTACTCCGTTCTTATTGTTAGGCTTTGTAGATTGTTCTGCCTGTTGTTCTGTGTGCTTGAATCTCTTGGATTCCTTTCGGTAAGCTAATTTAAAAGAAAACTTTAATTTGACAAAATGGGGTTTCTTGATATTTTTTGATAGTTTGGTACCTAAACGTTTTTATAAGATGCGTTCCAAATAAAATTTTAAAAATTAATTTTTCCTCCTTCCGCCGCTTACCAACTTTCACTAATGTAACTGTTATTATGGGCTGTAAAATATTTTCGCGCAAGAACGCGAAGGCAAAGCGCGAAAATGCGAAAGTTAATTTAAAAAGCGAAAGGCGAAATGTCAAAAACCGCGAAAGGATAAACTGGCACACCTCTAATAATTTATTAATCTATAATTTATTAATCTTTATTATCTTATATGGCATTATAAAATTAAAAAAATAAAGCTCTCAATATATTAAACTATAAATAACTCGTTCCATCTGTTCTATCAGTTTGTTCATCTTCTGCAATTATTCCTTCTCCATTACTCGATCTTCTACAAATTATTCCTTCTTCTTCATCCCCATCTAATCCAATTAAACAAAGTTTTGTAGTTATAGGACTTCCCCAACTACCTTCTCTAATTTTTTGTTGTTTTAATAAAGTTTCAGATTCATCACTTAACGATTCTAAACTAGCAATCTGTGCATCAATTGTTTCTTGTTCTGTATTATGTCCTCCACAAGTAGATAAAAGTTCTCCAGTTATTGTTGTACTTCGAACAAAAGTCATTTCAGCTATGGCACTTCCTTCTCCTCCCCCTCCCTTTTTGGATTTGCCATTACGTCTGTCATTTTTGTCTCCATGTTTTGCTGAAAAAGTTTTTTTATTTATTTTATTCGGGAGGGTGAATATTATTTTCAAATGATTCTCATGAATTTTTCTTATTTTTTCTAAAGCTAAGCTTCTTTGGTCCTTATGTTAGCCCTCAAAATTTTCTATTTATTTTTCCTGTTATTTTTTTCTGATAGTCTGTCTTTGATTGTTTGTCTTTTGACTATCGCTTGAACTCGGATGGGCAGAAGAAAATAGGGTTCGACTATCTTTGTATCTCAAAAATAGGGTTCCTCACCATTTAAAGGCGTATTTGAAGCAGAAACTGAACGTCTCATAGTTCCACAAACATTATTAACATTGTTCCCAATTTTAGAATTTGTTGTTGTTGAAATTGTTCTTCTAGCTACAGATCTTTTAGGCAATTGAGAGGCATTTCGAAGGAATGAGCAAAATTTGCTTTTATTTACATAATAAGCCTTTAAAATTTTTTGTCATTAAAAAATTTGGTAATAGTGTCGTTTCCAGGCCCCATTTTTTCTCCCCAATTATTTACCCTATGTTAGTACGGAATGGTCAAATTTTCCCCTTTCTTTCATCAAATTTGCCTTTCCATATTTTGCCTAAAAACAATCAAAAAGCTTGGTGTTTCTCTTGGTGTTTCTCTCAACGCCCCCAATCATCCATACATCTTTCTTTGATGGTTGTCTGCCTCTTTCATATTTTCGTCTCACAACAACAGTCTTCCATTTTTATTAATTGGGAAAATGATTCTCATTACTCTAATACTTTTTTAAATATCACAAATTAATCTTTTGATTGTTTTTAGGCAAAATATGGAAAGACAAATTTGATGAAAGAAAGGGGAAAATTTGACCATTCCGTACAAACATAGGGTAAAAAATTGAGGAGAAAAAATGGGGCCTGGAAACGACACTATTACCAAAAATTTTTTGACTAAAAAACTCACTCTAAGACAAGGAAATTTTTGCATAAATGTCACTCTATAATCACTAGAACAAACACAAAAGATATAAAATTGAGCTGCGTGGTTTGTAATTTCGAGTAAATTTGCGGCGGCGCGGAAAATCTGAAAGGGGAAAATCTTTTTTGATTTTCTAAAAAATTTTTTGTAACCTGATAATCCGGCCTTTTCTTAACAACTTCATTAATAAATAACAAATTTATAGCTGCAGGTATATTACAAACAAAAAACATAACTGCAATCCCTCCTAAAATATAAAGTAGGGTATCATCTCTAGCTGCAGTTTCTCGATTTCTTAGTCTATCAAACATTTTTTGACGTCGACGAAAAGCTATCATTATTTGAAAATTGAGCACAAAAAGGATAACAATTGGTAAAAAACGAAGAAATGCTTCTCGAGTCCATTTGTAGACCTGAAAGAGATTGGGGGAGATTTTTTGGGTTTGATAGGGAAATAGGTCTCTCTACCTGCCATCCAAAAGTTTTTGAAATTTCGCTGTCAATAGCACCATACGATATTTCTCCACGTGAATTAATCTTTTCACTAACTGAATACCTTCCAATACCATATGGAATATAAAACAATGCTGGAACTGTATAAGCTATTATAATTGCCTTCATTGCACGTTTAGGAGAATTCCACATGCGAAAATGAAGAGGAAAGACAACTGATACGTAACGCTCCAAGCTTAGAGCTACAACAATATAAACGCCTGTTGCTAATGCCCAATTTATGAACTGCAAAAAATTTTTTTTATCAAAAAAATTTTTTAATCTTTAAACTAACCGAAAGCATTACATGCGCTTGATAAAATCCATATAAGGGGTGCCGTTCAATAGGAACACCACTTTCTTTGAGCACCTCGCAACAAGCGAAAGCTAGTACAAAAAGCATGCATAAAAGGTCTGAGACGGCTAGAGCACGCAAATACCTAGATTTTTATATTTATTTTCAAAAGTTTTTTATTAGCCGTAGGGATCGACAAGTTTACATATTTGCGGGGGGGGGGAGGATATAGGACAGCTATCCTCCTAATTTTAGCCTTTTACTTATAATAGCCCCCATAAATTTCTGGATATCCCCGATGTCCGTCGAAATCCTAATGAGGATTGTAAGACTTAATTGAGGCTTCGATTTGTAACAAGGTTTTGATTTGACTGATCTTTGGAGTTTTCTCATCATATCGGAAAATTTTTAAAATTTCGCGTTTCGAGTTTTGCTTTTTAAAAAATCTGTTTCGGCATGTTGTGAAGTTAGTTGTAGGTTTAATCATTTCAAAAAAATTTTTTACATATAAGAAACAGCTTTCAATCTTGGACTAGCTAGTGTCACCACATTCATCGAATTCCCAATAATTCCTAGCACACAAATTGTTGGCATTATATAACAATAGGCAACAATATTAATATTTAATTTGGGTGTTGGTGATGGTATTTGTGCTGTTTCTGAAATTAGTGGGGTTGCTAATGTTGAAGTGAATATTGCTGCGGAGGAGGAGGATGTTGATATTGTTGGGATCATAGTAGAAGATAGTTGGGATAAGAAATCTTCATAATTTTCTATTGTTTCTGAGTCATTCATGTCCTCTGTAAATAGGGAAAAATTATTAGAAAAAAATTTTTTTTTGGATTTTGAAACCAAAAAACAGAAACCTAGCAATGTCTTAACAAATCTTTCTTTTTTTGCTTATTTTTCTTATTACTTTTTTGGTTTTCTAAAATTGGAATTTTATCCTTATAAATCCTTTATTTAAACAATTAACCACTTATATGTTTCTTTTGTCTTGTCTTTATTTATAGCCTTAGGCTGTTTTAAACATTACTTAAATAGTCAAAGGATATTCAATCTTTGGCCCTAATAAATAATATTTATAATCATTTTTGGATTTTTAAAAATATTTTTTTAAAAAAATTTTTGGGAATGAACAAGCAAACGAGCACCCTTAAAAATAAATAAATAAGATGAATTTTGGAAAATGTCAGCCAGTAAAAAAAATTTAACTTTCTTTAGTAAAAATATTTTATAATGAAAGAAAAAAATAACACGCAAGCGCGAACGTCAATTGTCTTCTAATATTTTTGGTATGATTGTTTAGGTCCTAAATCCCGCTTCCATCCCCCTCCCCATCCCCGCTTCCCACCACCCACTCAATTGGGAAGAGTGTCCTTTTTACTCAATCTTTTTTTTTGTACTAAACGTTTTTGTGTTTGGATTTGAGTTTTTTGGGAGTAAGTCTAGAATTCCTATTCCGGAAGGAAAGGATAGGGAAAAGAATGGGAAAATAAAGAATAAATTGAACTAATGGATAAGAAAAGTTGAATAGTCCTCTGAATTTTTGACGGTTTTTTGTATATTTTTTCTCTTTAAAAAACTCAACTCTCTCGCTTTCTATAAAGTCCAAAAAATTTGAAAAGCTTTAAGTTTTTCTCATTAGCTTTTTTTGCATGGATTACTTTTGTTCTTTTTTTTCGAGTTTTATGGAGGGGGATTTTGGGAAGTTTTTTTTATAAAAAATGGAAAGAGGGAAGGAATGCGCGTGCCTTTAAATCTGGGATTTTTAGAGGGATTTTCTTAGGAATTAAAAAAATTTTTTAGAAAATATTTCAGAGAATCGTACCTCTATTCTCTGAATCGTAGCTTTCAGAGAATAGTATTTACTCGATTAATTCCCCTCCCTCGAATAATTCCCCCTCTCGATTAATTCCCCATGCTAGTGTTGGGTTGAAACAATAATTTCCCACTCTCAAATACCTTACTGCACGTTCGAATGCCAAAACTCGAATAGTTCCCCTCCCTCGATTAATTCCCCATGCCAAGGAAGTGTTCAAAAATAATTCCCCAGGGGAATTAATCGAGAAAATACGGTATACTTACACTTGCTAAAATACCTATAATAAATTTTAAATATTCCCCCAATTTTTAAGAAAAAAATGGCTGATGAAGAAGCTGAAGGAGTTGGATTGCCTCAAAAAGGATTAAATATGAGTAAGTTTAAAACAAAAATTTTAAAAAATTGTAACAAATTTTTTTTAGTTATTAAAGATGCTCTTCCCGATATGCGCATTGCTAATGAAACACGCGAAGTGTTAAATCAGTGTTGTGTTGAATTTATAAAGCATATTTCAAAAGAAGCACAAATGATCTCATCAAAGGATCAAAGAAAGACTATTTACCATGATCACGTTCAAAAAGGTGGATAGGGAGGGGAGGGGGGTTTTTTTTTTAAAAAATTTGAAAGGTGAATAAATAAATAAAAAAAATCTAAAAAATATTAAAATGGTAGAAAAAAGTTTATTTGGAAAGTGATTTTTTATTTTAATTAAATTTTGAAAGGGAAGAGCTGAGAAGTGTCTAGTTAAAATTAATAAGTGTGTCTAATCCTTTCAGAAAGGTGTTGCATAATTTTTTTAAAATTTTAATAAGGAAAGAAAAGATTTTTTCTATTTCTTACATTTCCGGATATTAGATTTAAGTGCAAAAAAGGTAGTTGTGTAAAGTAGAGGGAGAAGAATTCTTTTATGGCCGCCACCCACATATTTAAATGGAAAAGGATAATTTTAAATCTATGAGATTAAGTATATTATTAGAGAGGATAAGCAAGAGAAAAAAAAATTAATATATTTTTATAATATTTATTTTTGTGGGCTAACAATAGTAAGCATTTTGTGATTAGCATCACGTAAATTTAGAAAATAAAACTTGAATTGTCTTTTACATTATAAAATAATATGAGAAATTAAGTTTCTAATAGGATTGTTCACTATCGGTTATTAACCGGTACCCCCGGTTTTTGGTTAATCCAAATTTTAAAAACCCAGTTTTCGATTTTGAGTTTTAGACAAATACCGGTTTTATTTTTGGGGGAATTTTTTTTTAAATCACTCATTTTTATGAACTTACGATTTTCAGTTTTTAAAATTTCATAAAAACGGTTTAATTTTTGGCAAAAAATCTCAAAAATCCCGGTCTTAAAATCGGTCGTAAACAACCCTAGTTTCTAATATTATTCGAGTTCTAAGTCTAAAAATTTTTTAAAGTTTATTCTTAAATTCTTCAAGTTAATTATTAATTTTAAGTTTAAGCCTTGTCTTTTTTCTTCTATTTTTAAAAATCGCGCACAAGCCATAAATAATTTTAGAATTAAAAAAATTTTTTTTATAAATGAAAACTAAAGATTAAAAAAAAATTTTTTTCTCTTTTCTTCTTTTGAGAATTCGATCCGATTACTTTTTTTTTCTTCTTCAAATCTCCTACTAGTAAGAAACAATGTTTAAAATAACTCCCCTTTCCCCAAGTGATGAAGTTTGACGTTAAAATCCCTTAGGGCTTTTTTACAATTGCTTGAAAGTTTCAAAAGCTTTACTTGCTTTTTTTGAGCAGATTGTTCTTTTTTAGTGTTTAAAATTAGCAAAAAAAAAGGAATCAATCAAAGCCCCAAGAGATTTATTTATTTTTTTATTTGCAAAAAGTTATAATTTTCCAAAAATAAATTAATTTATTTTAAAAAAGTAGTTGGAAGTTTTTTTTGAAAAAAGTGAGAGGATTTTAAAGAGATTAAAACACATAATTATTGCTGATTTTTAATTTTAGGTGTGCTGTTATTTTTAAATTATTTTGAGAGGTTCTGTATTTTAAGAAGTCTGGTAGGAGAAAAGGAAATAAGGAAGTCAGTTTTTAGGGGATTTTAATTTTAAAGGTAGTCTAAGACCCTAAAATCTAAGTATTGTGTGAATTTTGTTGGAGCTTCCCAATTTTTTTTTGCGTAATTCCTAGCTTTACGATTTTTTTTATTTTAAGAGCTGCAATTTTAATTTCTATATATCCATCTACGTTTTTTTAATTAAATATTTTTTAAATTTTTTATCCCCTTTTTTTTAAATTTAAAATGATGTAAAAATAGGTAGCTCTGTCCACTTACAAAGAAAAAAATTAAAAAAAAATTTTTAGAAATAAAAATTTTTTTTCGAGCTTTTCAAAGAAAAAAATTTTCGCGCTTTTCAAAGGAAAAAAATTTTTTAATAAAAAAAGGAAAGTAAATTTAGTAGTTTTTTTTTGAAATCATAAATGATATCCTCCTCTAACATAAAGAAAATTAGCTATAATTTTTTCTAAGAGAATGTGATATCCCGAGAATTTTTTTTAGAAAAAATAAAATAAAAGAAACAAAAAATTGAAATAAATAGAAGACGTCAGCCAATGAATAAAAAAATGATTTTTTAACACCCTCCTTTTTTAACTGATTTTTAAGAACTACTATTTTTAGGGGGATAAAAGAGAAAAAAAGGTAATTATATGTATATAAATATTTTCCCAAAGGGCATCATCATTAGCTTTAATTTTTGATTATGAGAGAATATTTTATTTTAAAAGAGAGGAGGATATGAGGGATAAGGGTTGGTGTTTGAGAAGAGGAAAAAGGAAATAAAAATAGAAGTAAAATGTTGTGGGATGGTCTACTTAAGGAACATGCCGTCCCGACTTCCCGACCGAGAATTGGAGGATTTCAGACATTTTTTACTTGGGAGTCCAGATTCTCAAAAATCAAGAATTAAAAATTTCTAGAGAGTCCCGACTGTCGAAAATGTTGAAATTCTAATTTTATCTTAGCTAAAAAAATTGGATAAAAAAGAGACGAGGAGGGTTGGTGATTAAAATAAAAAAGAAGGGAATAAAGATTGTAAAGTTTTAGCTCTGGTATACCAGGGAACGAGCCGTCCGATTTTCCGAAATTTAGAAGTTTTAAGTTTATGTTGTTAAAATGTATAAGAAAGGATTGAAACAAATTTGTTGAAAAAATTTTTTATGAAAAAATTATAAAAACTAGAAGATAATCTTAATAATTACTTATAATTTAAAAAAATAAAAAAATATTTTAATTTTTTTAGCATTAAAGAATCTTGGATTTCCACGTGAATATGTTGATGCAGCAAATTCTGTTTTGGGTGAATGCAAAATTGCCGCAGAAAAACGTTTAAAACGAAAAAATTCTCGTTTGGATAAATGTGGTATTCCTGAGGAACAACTTTTAGAAATCCAGCAAAGACTTATTGAACAGGTGGGGGATTTTTAATAATAAGAAAAAAAAATAATTTTTTTTGGGTTTTGAAATTTGATATTTATTAAACTAACAAAAAAAATATTTGGACACTTGACTAGACTTTATATTTATTAGGCAAAAAAAAAGTTTTTTTTTGAGTTTGTTACAAAGTTAACTAGATAATAGGGGAACGGAAAGGAAAAATTTTTTTTAATATAAATAATTTATAATATGTTTTGTTTAGAATAATTATTTTTACTTTTATTTTGTCTGGGATAGTTATTTGCTAAAAGACTTTATTAATATATTTAATTAATGAAGTTTTTGTAAAAATAATTTTGGGAGATTTTTTTGTAAACATTTTTGGAGGGCAGCAAGGGATAACTTGTGGATAACTTACTTATGATAACGGGGGGCAGGGGGGGGGGAATTTTGTTGGTGGTAACGGGAGGGGGGAGAGCAGCTTAAGGATGACACTTTTACTGATAATGCGGGGCAACTTGTGGATGACCCACCGTTCCCGTCCTATAGCAAAAGTCACCGCGTCAATCAACCAGGGGGAGGCTTCTTTAACTTTTGTTTGTAGTAACGGGGGACAGCTTAAGGATCATTTTTTGTGATAATAGAGGGCAATTTGTGGATGACCCACCGTTCCCGTCCCTGTAGTCAGAACCACCCCTCTCCCATCCCTGTGAAAATTGAAAGTTGCCCGTAAATGTTGGACCCTAATTTTTTGTGATTTTTAGTAGAAAATTCATTGAGTAATTTCGGGGAAAATATAAACTAGGATCTGAATTTACTTCATGTTTCCATTTTATGCTTTAAAAAAGAAAGAACAAAGAATTCTTTTATAAAAAAAGCGCAAAACACAAAAATTTATAGAAATAAAAAAATGCTTCTTGTGTTAATGGTCGGAAAGTTGAAAAAGAAAATTTGTCTTTTTTTTCTACATATTTTGCTAAAATTAGCTTTTTATGGCGCACCTCTCTTTTTTTTAAAAAATTGAGAGAGTTGAAAAGAATAAAGGATTGGTAGATAGAGGGGTTAAGCTTGAAGTTTTTTCCTTTTTTTTTGAATTTTACTTGAAAGACATCCGCTTTTCTATATCCCTTTTTTGTTTTAGCGTATTTTCTTAGTTGCAATGTGAGAGAGAAAAGTTAACAGGCCTAATTATTGTTATTTAACCGCTTTTTTCTTTCTAAAATTTCTTTTCCTTTGTTATTTTAAGTTGGCTAAGAGACTTGATATTCTTTGAAAATCCTTCTTTTATTACTATAATTAGCAACAAAAGATTAAAGGATCAACAAGGAAATATAAGGATTTTCTAGGAATTTGGAAGAAAAAATTGGAGGTCTTTTTAAAGAGAAAAATAGCTGAAATTGTTTAGGTTAAGTGTGTTTATAGAAGCTAAGGGAGGCTGCACGCAATGCGTTTTATGAAGCTTGAAGCAGTTTTTGCGGGTTGGGGTTTCTGAGATTTTTCTAGATTTTTTAAGTCTTGGTTATAAGGTTTTTAAAGAAACAAAAATAGTTTTTTTCTAAAAAATAGCTAAACTTCAAAAGTAATTGTTTATAAAGGCAAGGCGGCTGTTTAAGCAAGTCGGCTGCGTGCGCAACATGTTTTGAACCAGACTAGGACACGGACACAGATTTTGGTATCCGGATATTTACGGCGGATACAGACGGATATCCGCAGGCATTTTTACAATATCTCTGACAAAAAATTATATATCCGCATCCATGTCCTAGTCTGTTTTGTACCTGTTCTTCTGTTTGAGGCGTGGTGGGTAGGGTGTGTTAATTTTTTGAAATTTCTTGAGCCTTTTTAGCGGTTTTTTTCGAGCCTTGTATCTCAATCAGAAAAAAATTATTTTAAATTTATTTATCCAAAATTATTTTTTTGTTTTGATAATTAGCGAGGTAAAAGGACAATTTAGTTGAATAAAAAAAGAGAAAAGATGGGCTTAGTACCAGTGGGAAAATTTTTTAAAGAAAAATTTTTATGGAAGGTGACACAATGAATAAATTTATTGGTAGTTTTACTTGTTTGTCTTTTTTGCTGTGTTTTTTTTGTTTTTTTGTGTAGCCTCATTGTAGAAAAAAATTTTTTTTGTCTGTCTTGGGGCCCTCCATTAATGTAAATTTTTATTTTTGCTATTTGGGAGAATAAATTGAATAAAAGAAGAGAAAAAGGTAAAAGGTGAAAGAAAAACTTTTAGGGTCAAATAAAAATAAGTAATTTTAAAAAGTTTATTTTTTGCAACAAATTAACTAAAGGTTTGGAAAGTGAGGTTTGAAGTGTGTTGATTGTTGACCTTTACGTTTCAAGAAAAAAATTTTTTTTAGAGTTTTTTTGGGTTTCTGACATTTTTTTGGATTTTATCCTTTTGAAAGTGTGGCTGTTGACCTTAACTTTTCAAAAAAAATTTTTCCTGGATTTTTTTGGGTTTCTGGCTATTTTTGGATTTTGTCGACTAGAGTGACCTTAACTTTTAAGGAAAATTTTTTTTGAATTTTTGGCTTTCTGATTTTCGGTTTTTCTGAATTTTCTGATTTTGTCCTTTTTCCACTTATATATGTAGCTTTTTTTTAATTTTTCAAAATTTGTTTTCAATTTTTCACAGATTTTTTTCTTTAAAAATAAATTTAAAAATCAAACCAAAACTAACTAACCTAATAAATATTGTGAATTATGATTGTTAGAATGAGGATCATAAATAACCATTCCATTAGTCCCTAATATATCATTTGTGTCCTCATAATTTTCTATTAGTGAAGAGAAAAAATTATTGTTATTGTTGTTGGTGTCAATTGAATTTCTGTGTTGATGTCTAGTATATTTTGATGGCATTTTTTCTGTGATTTTTTTTGTTCTGAAAATTTTTTTAAATTAGATAATTGTAAAAGATTTTTTTTATTTTAGGAAAAAAATTTTCTACAAAGGGAGTATTTTTTTTAATATGGCAATGTTTTAAATTAATTTTTTATTAAGAAAGGGGAAGGTTGCTAAATTAATTTTTTCGCAAAAAATTTTTTTCTTAAAATTTTTTAGCCTATTTCTGTATCTGGGAAGGTTGCTAAAATAAATAATTTTTTCAAAAGAAAATTTTTTCCTTAAAAATTTTCTAGCCTATATTTTTATACCTTACAAATTAGCGTATTTTTCCACGCAATTCTTGTTGAGAAAAAAAATTTATTCTTGGGTCTTTCTCAGTTACTACATTTTACTTAAAATATAAACACTTTATATCATATCTAATTTTGTATAAGCTTAAAACATTTCTATATATTTATCCTCAAAATTATTTTACTAAAATTTTTTCATGTTAAACTTTAAAAAATTTGTAAAAGGGGGAATGACTTTAGAAGAAGATATTCCTTTGTCATTCAATTTTTCACAACAGAAATGTCCCCGGATTTTTCTGCTTTTGCCACTTTTCCGGGACTTTTTCCGCCTTTTTTCTTCTTCTTCCTTTTTTTCTCCAAATAAAAAAAACACAAAATTTTTGGTAGAAGAGGACAAACCAAGTTTAATGCTTAAATTAGGAAAGGAACTAAAATATAAAAAGAAGCTAAAAGTTTTGTAAAAAGATTGTTGAAAGGAAAGGGTTTTAGTTTAAAAATGATGGCATTAATTAAGTAATAAGACTTGTTTTTTGGAGGGGGGGGGGAATCACGCTTTAGAGTGGGGCGGCTTTTTTTTATTTTTCTAAGGCTTAATTGAGATTGGAGTGAGATGAGACCACAAACAAAAATCTGTTTATCGAGATTCGAGTGTTTTTTGAGATATTTTGTACGATTCTCGTACGAGAGATTGTGATTGGAGTGATATCGAATGGTCGGAGGATGGAGAGGGATGGGGAAGGGTATGGGGGAGGGCGTCCCTCCCAATCCAGTCTTCTGAGCTTGTACGGAAATAATATAACTATAAAAATTTATTTTTGATTGTAGTGTAGGGAGTAGAGAATTTTTGTGAAAATCGTGCCACATTTGTGTTATTATTTTTAGTTTTTGTTTAAAAAATATACAAATAAGAACAAGATATTATGCATAAAACTTAAAAATAGAAAATATTTTTAAGTCACATTTTCGGCAATCTTCCAAAAAAAATAATATAGAAATGGCACAGTTTTGTTTAAAATTAGGCTCATAAACCTTAGTTTTTTTTGTTTACCCAACTTCTTTTTATAAATATCCCCACCGTTTATTTTTAAAGAAAAACGTGGTGAGAAACAAAAATAGGAATATTTAAAGTCAGAAAAAAAGTGAGAGGGGGGGGGGGATGTGTACAAATAAAACAAATTCCCTGAACCATATCTTTGGGATGTGGGAAAAAGCTTGAGGGGAAGGATATACGAAGAAAAGCTGGCAGTTTAGGTTAAAAATGCAAAAAGAAAAAAGAAGTTAGAATATTTGATTTTTAATTGTTTAATTGACTAATTTGAGAGATCAAACATTAAAACACAGAAACATTTTTTGAAAAAAAATTATATATTTAGCTTAATAGGTAACAATAAAAAAAGGTTAATTAAGAGGAGGTCGAAGAGGAGAGGGGGTCTATATTTTTATTAAGAGGAGGTCTATATCTTAATCCCAAATCTGATGAAAAATTCTTCATGTAGTCAAATCACGATTTTACATATATCCTCGATTTTAAATTCATTTTTTAAAAGTTTTTTAGACACTTGATGATAGTAAAGATTTATATAAATGCCAAAAAAATTTTTTAAGAGTGAGAGATTTTCTAAGAATTTTGAAAATCATACTAGATTGATTTTGAGGGGTAACTTTTTCTTAATTTTAATTTGCTGACTAAATTAATAATCTCATTCATTTCCTTAATAATGCCTACTAATCCTTTCTAACAACTTGGAATGTTTTTTGTTTATTGTTTTTTTTCTCCACAAATTTTTTTTTGAAAATTCATTTCCTCATTATATCATTTATATAATAATGTGTTTATTCTTTCAAGTTGAAAAGTTCTTTTATTTTGTTTTGCTTATTTTTAACAGAATTACTAAATAGCTAAATAAATGTGTGTGTCAATAGTAAAGAAGAAAGTTTAACTAAATATTTTTTAAAGTTTAGCTTCTTCTCTGTTTTATTTTCCCACACACATGAATATTTAAAACAATTTTTAGTTTAAAAGGGGGGAGGGGGGGGGGCAAGGAAGATGTTTTTATATTTTTTTCTCGTCATTTTCTGTTCAAATTTTGTTTTTGTGTGCTGAAAAAAATTTTTTTAAGGGTGAGAGATTTTTAAAGATTTTTTTTCTTCGTCATTTTTGTTTTTCTTTAGAAATCCCCCTTTTGTTTTTAAACAAATTTATTAGCTTAATAAAATAAAAATAAATTTTTAAAGGACAAAGGGAGAAAAAGAATAATAATAATTTTTTAAGTGTGGGTAAATTTTTTTTAAATAATACCGAAAAAAAATTTTTCTTTGCACTTAAAAATATTTTAAATATTCAGAGTAAAAAATTCTTCCACGAAAAAAAATTTTTTTTTAATATTTATTTATTTATTTATTTTACTTTTCAACAATTATTTTTCTCATTTTATCATATTTTTTCTCACCCTTATATAAATTCTGGATTTGAATTATAAATTAAGTAAGGGTTAATATGATAGGGTAAATAATAAATATAGGTACCTATTGTGTTAATTTATTTAATTATTCAACAATAAAATAAGACCTTTTATTTTTTAAAAAGTTTTTTTTTAAATAAATAATTGAAGCATTAATTAATTTTAGAAAAATTGAAAAAATAAGTGGAAAAGAATTTTAATAGGAAATTGGATTAAAAAAATTTTTTTTGTTAGATAAATTATAAAAATTAAAAGGGGGGGGGGGGGCAAGTTTGTTTGATTTTTTCAAAAATAGAACAGAATGTCTTCATAATACTTTTTTTAATTCAAAAAAGTCTTGAATATTTTGAGAAATTTTGGTGCCATATAAAGGGAGTGTCATTCTTAAATAAGTAACTTTTATTTTAATATTTACAAGTTTTATGAAACCTAAATTTACTATTTCCCTATTAAATTTAAATTAACCAATAATAGGTTCATAAAATTTTTTTGAGCCTATTTTTTATTTAAAAAATGTCTCGCGCGATGAAAAAAAAATTTCTAGAAAAATTGAGTTTTAGTAGGATAAATAAAAAATAAATATGTAAATATAAGAGAAAAAAGTATTTTTTTATTTGTCAATTCGTTTATAGCTAATTAAGTTTTTTATGTTATAAACAGAATATATGGGCTTTTCCTGCTAAACTATTAAAATAAAAAGTAAAATTGAGTTAATTTATTAAATTATATATTTTTAAGAATTGTTATTGTTTTATAATTTAATTTGATAGTAGACTTTTTCCTGTTATTGTTGATTTTCTTGAAAAAAGAAATATTTTTTTTTATTTCGTCACTTAATTTTGGGGAAAATTTTTAGAAAAAATTTTTCTAAAAAATTATTTTTCAGTTCAAAAAAATTTTTTTTTTCAGGCTCGCCGTGAGGAAGCAGAAAAGCAGCATGCAGCATTTTCTCAATTTGGAGGTTTCGACCATTTTGCTTCATTTCAAAATCAAATGGCTATGCCAACATTTAATCATACCCAACAACCACAACAACAATTACAAACTTCTCCAACTTTTTTAACTCCATTATTACCTTCTCAACAACAGCAAACACAGCAACAACAAACATTTGCTATGCCACAAATACCACAAACTACAGCATCAACAACGACAATTCAAGTAGAACAGCAGCAACAACAAACATTTATTCCTTCATCAATGCCTATGCCTTTTGTAAAAATTTTATTATTTTTAAAAATAATTTTTGAAAAGATTTTAAATTTTTTTGGAATTATTGGGAAGCTTCTAAAATCACGAGCAGGCTAATTTCATAACACACTACTATTTAAGTTTTGCTTCAGGTTCGTTTTAAATAATAAACTTGAAGCAAACTTAACAAACTTGAAGTTTGAACTTGAAAAACTTGAATTAAAAAAATAAACTTGAAACAAAACTTTATTTAAAAGGGTTTAACACCTCAACAATTAATTGTTCCTGAATGTTCTAATATTCCAACAACATCAGAACAATCGCAACAACAACAACAATTAATACCTGAATTAACAACTGAAAGAGCTGCACAAATATTGTTTGGGGGGAAAAAGAATGAAAATGAAGAGGATGATGAGGAAGAAAATTATGATATTTAAGTGTAGAAGGATTTTGGGTGTGTGTTTTTATTATTTACATTTAGTAAATAATGGATTTTTTTTTAATTATCATGTATTTTTAATAAAATAAAAGGAGAGATAATTTAATAATGAAATTTACCCTGAACCTCTTCCTAGGTAATCCGGCCACTTTCCCCTCCCATTATTCATTTTAGAGACTTCAACTTTAAATAAACCTTGATCTTAATTTTGTTTGAGCACCTTGACCATATTCTTAACCTTTAATCAGGGAAAAATCAAGAACACTGAAAAATGCTTTGATCTTGACTCAGGATTCAGGGAAATCAAGGTCTGGATCCAGGCCATTCTCTAATTCCTTTATATTCTAGGTATGGTTCCAGCACGGTTTCTTGATGTATATATGGTGCGGAACCCTTCCTTTCTAGTTATAATCGGTCCTTTAACTTTTCAATTTTGTTCATACTTCCTTACACCCCATTATTCTCTCAATTTAACTCAAAATTTATTTTTAAAATTTTTTTCAATTACCAAAAAAAAATAAAAATAAGCATTCCATCATTTGTTTTTCCTCTCCTCATTTTTCTGTCTCTCAAGGGATTTAACTCAAAAAAAAATTTTTTTTTATTTATAGACTAGGTAATGCAATTTGTGCAAATAAATAACAGAGCTTTTTTTCATTTTTATTTTTATATATCCACTACTATATCACTCATTTTTACAATTACATAAATACACTTGGAAGGATATATTTTTTCTGCTTTTTTACTTAAAAAATATTCTTTCTCAAAAAAATTTTTTTTTAATTTCCCTATCTCTCTCAATATCTGTCCAGTTTAATAGCTAAGACTGGACAGATGTTTAATCCCTCCTATGGAAAAGAAGGTTGTTCTACCTATTTTTTGTATTTCCCATATTGGAAGGAGGATTTTCTTTCGGATTGCTTTATTTTGTAAAAAGAATGTGAGTCCTTATTGGGTCCATTTTGTCAAATAAATATTATTATTATTATCGGATTTTCCTGAGGATTGTGATCAAAATTACTTCCCTTCCACGATCCTTTTCAATCCTTTCTACAACTCTCGAAGGATGGTTCATTATTTCTCCAAATTTTTAATATACAATCCATCTATGAACAGAAAAAAATTTTTTTGGATGGGTGTCCTTAGCATTCAGATGACCAACTCTCCAAGAAAGCTTAAGGAAACACCTTTAATTTCCTTCCCATGAAGAATTGGTGGTCCAGAAAAAAATTAGTAGCCTTGAGAATCTGCCTTCATAATCTCTTTTTTGTTAAATTTTAAGAGAATTACGATTAGAAAGAAAAACTTTTCTTATTAAGACGCTTTATATCACCCATGTTTACCTTCAATCTTGTAATTTACCCTTTACTCAATTAGACAAATACTTTTACATTTTCAAAATAAAAATTAAATTACTAAATTTTTTTCTTCAATTTCTACCTCCCCAAACTAACAATTTTCTCTCACCAACCACTTTTCATAGAGTAAATATATTATTATTTTTTTATTAAAATATTTTCGTAATTTCCCTGCTATTTTTAGCTTTTCCTCTCTCAATATTTTTTTTCCAATTTTATTTTTATAATTAAAAAAATATTTTTTCTTCTCATATTTTTATAAAAAAAATGAAATATTTAAATATAAAAATTAATTTAAAATTAATTTTAATTTTGTTTTATTTTTCTCCTTTTGTATTGTTCTATTTTATTGTTCCAGGTATTATTTTATTTTTTTATGAATTTAAAAAAAATTAAAAAAAATTTTTTTTCTTAAGTATGGAAAGGTCTCTAACAGAGGTCGATCGGAATTCCGTTTTCCGACTTCCGATTTCCGACACCTTCGTCATTTCCGATGACCTCTGGTCTCTAATCAAAAATTAAAATTTTTGATGATTTCCCTCCCTTCTTTCCTTCCAAATAAGTATTTTTTTCAGCTAAAGAATATCTAAATTAGAAACTGAACTGGAAAGGTAAAGCAAGAATCGAAATTTCATGTTTCAAAAAATCTCGATTCTCAATAACCGAAATTTTTGTTCGAGATCTCGTCTAGGTCCGTCTCCTTTCAAAAATTATTTTTTGTTGCCCTTCTAAAAATTTTTTAAATTAAAATTTAATCAGCTACTGGTGAAGAGACTGATACAACCGCATTGATAGCTCAAGCATTGGAATTGGCTAAGGCTGGGCAAAGAAGAGTTGAGAGAATTGAACAAATGATGAACGTAAGGGTATATTAGAGCTCGGAATTTTTGAAAAGCCTGTGCCTGTTCTTGGGTTCCGGGTTAAATTCATTGACCTGGGCTTGTAGTCCAGGAAAACCCCAGGAATGTCAAAAAAAATGCCTGGGACTGGATTCTGGGTACAGGAAAAATCCAGGCCTTGGTCCAGACCCAGGCCGATCTCTAATGTACATGGGTTGAAAGAAAAATTAAAATTTCAGGAATTTTTTTTCTAAAATTCTAAGAAAATTTTTTTGAAATTCCCAAAAAATCTCACCCCCCCCCCACCTAATAAAAATCCCAACTAAAAAAATTTTTTTTAGTCTTCACTTCAACAAAATGAACAATTTATTCAAAAAGGAAGTGAAGCATTAAATAAACTAACTAATGAGGAAATAAATAAACAAGAAATATTGGATAATCCAAATAAAGCATCAAAAATAAAAATATTTTTGAATAATTATTTGCCTCTAATTTTAATTATTTTTTTGTTTTTAATTTTTTAATTTAAAAATATATAATTTATTATTTATGTTAATAAAAAATATTAAACAAAGAATAATATTTACTATACAAATATATACATATCCCGCATTAAATAAATATTTAAGTATTTAATTTTTGAGATCAGGTAGAATTTAAATATAAATAATATTAACATCATGTTCAAGAATGATTAGATAATCAAGTAAAGTCAACTCTTGCTCACAACACCTAATGTTTCCTTGACCCTATAATCTAATGTTCCCTTCACTCTATGAGCTGATGTTCTCTTTACCCTATAAGCTAATGTTCCCTTCGCTCTATGAGCTGATGTTCTCTTTACCCTATAAGCTAATGTTCCCTTCGCTCTATGAGCTGATGTTCTCTTTACCCTATAAGCTAATGTTCCCTTCGCTCTATGAGCTGATGTTCTCTTCACCCTATGAGCTAATGTTTCCTTGACCCTATAAGCTAATGTTCCCTTGACCCTATAAGCTAATGTTCCCTTCACTCTATGAGCTGATGTTCCCTTCACCCTATGAGCTAATGTTCCCTTGACCCTATAATCTAATGTTCCCTTGACCCTATAATCTATGTAATGTTCCCTTCACTCTATGAGCTGATGTTCCCTTCACTCTATGAGCCCAGAACCAGATCCTGAAACAAAAATTTGAAAAAAAAGTCGGAGCCGGAATCACAAAACGCCCCTAATGTCCCCTTCACACTATAATCAAAGTCCTTTCACTTTACGATATAATGTTCGCTCAGCTCACAGGATATCCGAGGATCATCTGAGGATATCTCTTGATATTCGAGGACACTTCTAATGGGAATTGACTTTACTTGATATAAATTTCTGAAAAAAAATTTTTTTCTTTCTATAAGAGAACAACATCCTCATCATTATAATCTTCAATATCTTCATTAATATTACTACTGTCTATTTTTTCTTCACCCAAAGTCATCAATTTATTTCCATTTAAAGTAGCTAGTAACTGTAATGATTGTTGAGAATTTTTTCTATGTTCATCTAATGAATTTTGACTGTAGATTGAAGGGGTACTGAAATTTTAAATTAAATTTGATTTTATAAAAGTATTTTATTTTGCTAAAAATTCAAAATGTCCAAAATTTCAAAATATTTTCTAGAAGGATAATTAACTAAATCCTCTTAAAAATCTACAGAAAGTCGAGAAGAGAATAATTGTGTTCCCTTAGCCCCATAAGAACTGATGTTCCCTTCACTCTATGATTCAATGTTCCCTTCACCCTACAATTAGACTTCGCCCTATTAAAAAAATTTTTCTAAAGTACGAAAAATGTCAAGATTGAATGAAGGTGTCCTTTCACCCTAGAATTTTTTAAAAAAATTTTTAGAAAATTTCAAAAAATTTTTTTTTTCAAAAATAAAATAATATATATTTTGCAAAATTAATTTTAATTTAAATTCAATTTACCTATTATTCAATCCATTAATTTTATTATTAATCCACCCATTATCTCTATTATTGCTATATTCTGTTAATAAATTTGTTGTTGTTGTCCCCCCAAAATTAATTGTGGAGGAAGGTCTTTTAATTGAATTATTTGAGGGATGCAATGAATTTCTATGAAGTTGAAGAGAATAATTATTGGCAAAAGATGCTGGGGAAGGAGTTAAACTTGGATTTATTAGTGTTGGACACAAACAAATTAAAAAGCGTGAAATTGTTCGGCGAAAGGCTATTCGAAAACGCTCTGATAGAAGACCTTAAATTATGTGTTTTTTTTGTTTTTGTGTTTTCTTTTTGTGTTTTATTTTTTGTAGTTTTTAAATGTTTTTAAGTTTGTATTTTATGTATTTTAATGCTTGTATTTTTGTTTTCTCGTATTTTTGTATTCTGTATTTTTTTCGTGTTTTCTTTGTGTTTTCAAGTTTCTGTTTTATGTATTTTAATGTTTGTATTTTCTGTAATTTTGTGTTTCTTTTTTTGTGTTTTATTTTTGTGTCTTTTTGTAATTTTTGTATTTTCCGTATTTTTATTTGTGTTTTCTTGTATTTTTAAAGTTTATCGAATTTGTATTTTTATCATCGTATTTTTGTGTTTTCTTGTGTTTTTGTGTCTTTTTATATTTTAATTCTGTGTTTTCTTTGTATTTTCAGTAATTTTTATTTATGTGTTTCTGTGTGTTCTATTATTTTTTATTTTGTGTTTCTTTAAAAAAAATTTTTTTTTTGTTTTTGTGTTTTCATATGTTTTTTTTATATTTTGTGTTTTCCTGTATTTTTGTCTTTAAGCTTTAGCCTATTTTCTATTTTTGTATTTTCTTGTATTTTCCCCAAGTTTATTTATTTATAATTCTGATTTTTATTTATTTTATTATTTTCCGGAAACAATTTCCGGAAACAAAACACACCATAAAGTATAGGATTAACACAACTATTTGCATAAGCCATTGTTTGCACAACTGACTGGACAAGTAAAAGTCTAAGAAAAAATTTTTAAATTAATTAATTTAATTTCTAATTAAAAACAAACATTTTTTCATTATGCTCCCAAAAACTAGCTTGTGGATAATTCAATCCTTGAAGGAAAAAACGAAAATTCTGAGGTAACCAACAGAATCCAAAGGTTAAAATAACTACAAAAACCATTCGAGTTGCGTGTCTTTTGACTCTAAAAAAATTTTTTTGATAGAAAAATTTTCTTTTTTATTCAAAAAATTTTCTAAATTAAAATTTCCACTATTTAAACAAACCTCTATATAGTGGACAAAGTCGCCTATATCGGGGTACGTTAAATGGAGGTTTTTGGATTTTTTTAATTAAGAAATTTTTTAAAATTTATTTTTATTTTTATTTCTCTTAATTTTATTTTTATTTTCACTGATTTTTTTTCTTTATTTTCCCTCAATTTTTATTTATTTTTATTTTTATTTGCCAAGTAAAAAAACTTTTTCGCTTGAAAACCCTCAAGTACTTCAAAAAATATTTTTATTTATTAAAAATGATGTAAAAAATAAAAAAAATCGGAAACATAGAAAATTATTTTGTTTACTTATTTTATTTTTAAGAGAAAAATAAAGAAAAAAATTAAAATTATTTTCGAATCACGTCAAGAATGAAACAAACAACTTTCTTTTTTCTTGGAAAGGAGAGGAATTAGCTAAATTCCTTAAAAAATATTTTAGCTCAAAAACAAAGAAAAAGAGTCTAAAAAAGTCTAGTTTAAATAAACATAAAAATCCAAAAAACCTCTATTTAATAAACCCCGCTAAAGGCGACTTGTCCACTATATAGAGGTTTGTTTAAATAGTGGGAATTTTTATTTTAAAAATTTGTAAAGTTAGAAGAGTTACTTTTGTGAGGATTTTGACTGAACAAGCTTTTGACGCCATATTTCTTTGACCAGTAAAAAATAGAAGGCACAAGATAAGGTTAAAGGCAACTGAAAGAAAATTAATTTTTAATTAATTAAAAAATGTTTTTTAATTTTTAAATTAAAAATAAAAGAGAAAACAAACCAAATAAGCCCCCAAATTAAATCCCCAATAAAACAATCTGGCTTGCAGAGGAGAGGCAGTAGTAAGGGCTATAGCTAAAGAATCAACACAAGCAGAGCCTTTAATTCCCTTGAAAAAGAAGAATTTTTTTAATTAAATTAATTTATAATTTTAATATTTAAAAAGAAGGTGTAGTTTAGTACATTTTTAAATTTATTTTTATTTATAGAAATTAATTTTATATTTTATTTTAATTAAAAAAATAATGCACTAAATGCACTAAAATGTCTTATTAATAAATTAAATAATTTATTCGTCCTTTCCTTTTTTTATGAAATTAATTTTTTTAATTAAGAGGGAAATGAAAGGCTTAATTTAGAATAAATTAAAAAAATTTTTTAAGACACTAAGATCTCGTTAAAAAAATTTTTTTTTATTTTTTTAATTAAGGGATTAAATTAATAATTATTTTTGCATAAAAATATGCTTAATGACGTTTAGGCAAAAATTCATAAAATTGCTTAGAGAGTACTTACAAGCATAAAATTTTGCAGAAATACTCTTAAAAGGGTTAGCTATCGAATTTTAAAATTTCAGAATTTTAGGTTAACTATTTCACAAGTTCTGGTCAAAAATTTCAAAGAAGTTTGAAATGTTTGCCAGGTTTGGGCATTATTGCCCACAACTTTTAAAATACTTGACTAAAAATTTTGAAATTTTTAGAGATGTTAGATAAGAGTATTAGGGACGTCTCTGGAAAATTTTATGGCTGTAGGTGATAAACTCTCTATTTTGTGGACTCGCAGCAAGCGTCAACTCAAGCCTATACTCCCTCATGTTTAAATGGATTTTAACAGAAAAATAAACTTAAATTTTTTTTAATTAAAATAAAAAATCAAAAATTTAAAAAATTTTTTAAAAATTCTCTTACATTATATTCAAACCGAAGTACCCCAACATTTCTCATTTGAAGAGAATTTAAAGCTAATACAATTAACCAAACTGTTATACAAATGTAGAAGACAACTTTACAGCGCCGTGAACTTCTTCCAGTAATTGATGATGTTATTGACTTAAAAAAAATTTTTTATGAAAATTTTTCAAAAATTTTTAGAAATTTTTTGAAAATTTTTTTCTGAAATTTTCGAAAATTTTTTTTGAAAATTTTTGAAATTTTCTGAAATTTTTAAGAAATTTCCCTTACAACAAATCTGTCATGTGCCAACAACACCAGCGTCCATACAGAAACATAACAAGTAATATATTGTAAACTAACAGTTATATAACACACAGAATCTGAGAATGGCCAAGATTTGGAGACATAAGAGAGGGCAGTTGCAGGAACACAAACAGTTAAAAATAACAAATCGGCTAATGCCAAATTGGAAATAAATAGAGAAGTACTTTAAATTTTGAAAAAAATTATTTTAAAATTAAAAAAAATTTTTTTTTAATTAAAAAAAATTTTTTTTGGCTAACCTGTCATGCATTTGGGTATTTAAAGCTATAACAAGTAATACAAGTGTATTCCCAAATATACCTATCACAGTTATTGGAATAAAAACGATTGCGATAGCTAACATTATATTTTTTAAATTTAAATATTTTTTTAACTGAAAAAAATTAAATAAATTATTTTAAAAAATATTACGGCCTTAGAAAAAATTTTTTATGTAAGAAAAATTTAAAAAAAATTTTTTATTAAAAAAATTTATTTGAAAAAATTTTTTATTGAAAAAATTTTTAAATACAGGCTGTTAAAATATTGAAAGAAATAGCGTATAAATATAATAGAGACATTCTTTTTATTAATACATACAACTTTTTAGTTAAAATTTAAAACTTGCTTCCAACTTGATAACTTTATTAAAACTTAATCAACTTTGCAACCATTTTTAAAACTTTTTTTAGAAACTTTTTTGGAAACTTTTTTTAGAAACTTGTTAAAAACTTTTTGGGAAACTTTTCTTCCAGCATTTTTACCAACTTTTTTTACCAACTTTTTCAAAGCTTTTTTAAAACCTATTTTAAGCTAATTTAATAAAACTTGGACCGATACTATAAAAAGGAAAAAAACGTGTAGTTGTTTTACTGCAAAAAAAGTTGTTTTACTTTCAAAGGGCTCTAGAGGAGAGGAAAAATAAATTAATTTAATTCTAATTATTTTTTTTAATTTTAATTAAATTTGCTAAACTGTTTTTCTTTAATCTTCAAAATAATTTTTTTACAAAAATAATTTTTTAAAGAAAATAATTTTATTAATAAAATTAAAAAATTCCAAAATTGGATATATATTGTTAATTAAATGACGCAAAAAGAATGTGTAAAACAGAAATTAATTTGACATGAAAAAAGATATGCTTTAAATAAATTTTTTTTTCAAACAATAATTCTGGAAATTAAAATTCCTTATTAAAAATAAATTAAAATAAAGAAAAAAATTTTTTTGAATTTCAAAGATAGGTAAACAATTAAATAAACAATAAGTTTTTATGAAGAAAAATAATTTTTGAAATTTTATAAAAAAATTTTTTTTTGGAAAATTTATTTTTTGTTTAACTAAACCTAAAAATAAATAAAATTAGAAATTTCAAAATTTAAAAATATTTTTTCTTTAATTATTAAAGAATTAAAGAATAAAAATTGTATTTAAAAAATGGAGTAATATATTTAGAAAAATTTCTTTAGGTTTTTTATTTGAGAAATTTAAATTTAAAAAGAACTTTTAACATATCCCTCCATTAAACTCTAGTTTCTAAATATCTCAACTAGTGATGGGAATTTCGTATCGGCCAGTATTCCGTACGGTACTGAATACAAATAAATACGGCCGTAGTATGTTATGGTCCAATCATTAATCTCAACATCCCTAGTGTTATATCAAAATACTTCAAAATCTCTCATTTATCGAATAGAATGGGAAAAGAATCGGGATTATAAGGTATATTTATATTAACTACCCTAATAGAAGCCTATCCCTTTATAGAAACCCCCATGCCATATTAAAAACCCCCCTCGAAGATCCATTGAAAAATAACGTTCAAGACTTTTATCGAGGATATCTAAACTAGGATTGGTCCCCGTTCCCGAAAGTCGGGGAATTTGAGAGACCCCCCGTCGGGGGCCAACCCTAATCTACACCCATTAGTTAGCTAATAATAATTTTTGTTTAAATTAAGGAAAAAATTTCTTGTTAAATTAAAATAGTGGAAATTAAATTAGGAAAAAAATTTATATTTTTTGTTTTTTGGTCATTTAAATGTGTGAAAATTAATTAATTTAAACAAAATGTTAGGAAAAAGAAGAAGAAGCTTCTCTCTCCCCTTCATTTTCCTACTCGTTTTGGCAACTCTAAAATAAATTTGAAAATGTTATTTAACCACCCATTTTATAGTTGCGTGCCTTTAAAAATATTTTAGAAAAAAAAATAAAATGAATATTCATATTAAGAGGCGTGTCTATGCAAAAATAAAATATTAAAAATGAAGAAGTGAGATTAGAAAATATTGAAAAAATGTTGGAAGGATGTTATTAACTAAATATTAGGCTTATAAAATTTTGACAAATTAGCATTTTTAGCTTAAAAATTAATTTTGTTAATTCATTAAAATATATAGAATTAATAATTAATTTAAATAAATTATATATTTTTAAACAAAAATATACCCTAAAGAATCAAAAAATAATTTTTATTTAGAAAATTAATTAGAGCAAGAAAATAGTAACCAAAAGAAGATTGCCTATACTATTTATTATTTTTTAAATAAATAAAAATAAATTTAAATAAAAATATAGGTAATTTTAGAATTGCCAAAAACGAGAAAGGGCTTCTTACAGTTCATAACAATATTCTGGTCTAATTAATTTAAATTAATTTAGCTTCTAGAAAAATCATAATTTTTAATTAGTGTTGGAAACAACCGGTTATTAACCTGTACCCACGGTTTTCGGTTCCGGTTAGTTTATCCGACTGTGTCCAACTCTATTTTTTTAATATTAAAAAAACTATAATAATTCTTTGCTTATTTTTTTAATTAATTAAAAATGCCATACTTTTCTTAAATACGTAATATACCATAAGATATACTCTTAAAGAATCAAAAAATAAATTTTTAGAAAATTATCTAAAAATTCTTTTTTAATATTAAAAAAGCTATAATAATTCTTTGCTTAATTTTTAATTAATTAAAAATGCCATAGTTTTCTTCTAAAATAAATAAGAAAAAAAATTATTTTATTTTTTTAATTTTTAAAAGTGTTATTAAGGATTTGGGGGAATTAAAAAGTATATCCGGTAAAATAATAATTTTTTTTATTTTTCTTTCAAAAAATTGTCCCCCACACATCCATGTGAGAGATAATAAATTTAAAAAAAAATAATTATTTATTTATATTTAAATCTTTTATTTTTTAAATTGCTGTTTTCCGCTTTTTAGGAGATAAATCTGACTAAAATAAAAATAAAAAAAAATAAATTTCTAAAAGCTTTTTTTATTTAATATTTAAAAAGAAATTAATTAAATGGAGAAAATAAATAATTTAAAAAATTTTTAGAAAATGTTTTTGCAAATAAATAAATATATTTATTTATTTTGGTAGTATGCTTTTGCTAAATTATTCTGGTTAATGTTTATTTTTTTTTAATTTGTGTTTTCCTTTTTTATTTTTAAAATTAATTAAAATACAAAAATAGCAGAAAATAAAAATAAACACAAAATCAAAAATACAGAATTTAAGAGAGAAAATACAAAAAAATACAAAAAATCAGAATTAATTTAAGGGTTAATTTAACTGAAAATCAGAATTTAATTAATCAGAAGTTTATTTTAAAAAATCAGAATTGCAATTACCAGAACTTTTATTGGAAAGTCAGAATTTTATTTAAAAATCAGAATTTAAATTCCTATTTATAAATCAGAATTCTAGTCAGAATTTTTTAAAAAAAAATCAGAATTTCAAGTTTATTTTCTTTAAAAAATCAGAATTTTTATAAGAAGATCAGAATTTTTAAAAATCAGAATTTTAGTTAAATATAAAAAAAATCAGAATTTCAAGTTTATTTTCTTTAAAAAATCAGAATTATTTTTAACGTTATTTGTATGTATAAAAAGAAAATCAGAATTATTTATTTGTTTTTAAAAACAAATAAAATCAGAATTTAGCTAGAACACATAAAGAAAAATAAATATAAAAATATTCTGACTTTATTTAATCCCTTTTCTTTTAATTTTTCGCCCACTCATCAAGTTTCCGTTTACTTATTTAAATTTTAAGATTAAAAGGGAATAAATAATCTTTTTTTTAATTTATAAAAAAAATTAGAAAAAAAATTTTTTTAAAGAAAGCACAATTATTTAATTGTTACTTTACTCTTTTAAATAATTTATATTTCCAAGTAAAATTATTTTAAATTTATTTTTTTAATGAATATATTTATTGTAAATAATTAATTGCTCAAAATTGTTAAATAGGGGTTATTAAAATTATTTTTAAAAAATAAAATAATTAAAGGGGACACGCCCAAGTAGGCGTGTCGGCGCAAAGCTATAACAAAGGCGCAAAGCCATAACTTGCCGGAGAATTTCTGATCCTTATCAATTTTGGTATCGATCTCTTTAGCTCGATGAGAGGAATCGTTTAATACTAAATTTTGAAAGATTCGGAAATTTTGAAGCAAGTTATGGCTTTGCGCCGTTATGGCCGCGCGCCTACTTGAGTTGTACTCATTAAAGGTAATCGTCTCTCAATTAAAAATTGTTCTTTTATTATTTTAGTATAAATTTTAAATAATAATAATTTTAAATAATAATAATAATGAAGAAAAATTAAAAAGGAAGTAATTTGCAAAAAAAAATAAATCATATTTTTATTATTAAAATTTTTTTTGTAAAAGTCTGAACGGATATACGTACAAAAAAGCAAAAAAAAATAAAATAAAAGGAAATATGCAAATATTTTTTTTGTAAATTAATTCTGAGTAATCTGAGTAAATACGAAGATATAAGGATAAAGATTATTTTGCCTTAACAATAGAAAAAATTTTTTAATCAAAAAAACAAGTCTATTTCCATAAATATTCCTTTTTTAAATTTTTTTTAATTTAAAAATATTATTTAACCTCCCTTGAAAATTGTATAATGAAAATATAAAATTGAAGGGAAATAATGCTGATAAAAAAATTTTTTTAATAAATTGAAGGGAGGCTCTATAAAATTTTTAAATAAAATAAATTTTTATAAAAATAGACAAATTTCGGAGAATTTTTTGAAATTTTAATTTGAAAAATAAACGAGGAAATTAAATTAAAAATTTTATTAAAACCTCAAAATTAATTTTAAATTAAAAAATCTACTCATTAATTATGTGGGTAGAGTAAATCCGTTTTAAGCTAATATAGTAATTGGCAATTATAGCCGTCTAGAAAAAAATTTTTTTACTTTTTAAAAAATTAGAAAATGATGAAAATTGTCTAAGTGCAAAATAAAATTTAAAAATATATATAATAATTTTGAGAATGCAAAAATAAAGGAAGAAATAAAGAACTAAAATTAAATTAAATTAAGAACTAAAATTAAATTATTAAGTTTAATAATACCTACCTATATTAGCTTATTAAATTACTATATACCTATAAATTAAAAAAATATTTTAACCATATATGGAAAAAAATTTTTTTTCGTTTTTGGTGTACGGAATTTTCGTGTTTGGAACTTCGTTTCCAAATTTTCGAAATTTTCGTCTCAGCGGAATAAATCAAGAAATTCACTCCGACGCCTTCAATTCTCCGCCCCTAAAATTCCTGGAGACGAATATTCCGATTTTTGAGTTGCTGACCAAAATTCTTGGAGACGAAAGTTCCAAGCATTAAAATTCCGGTACCCTTTGGGTTGCCCTTACATAGAAAAAAATCCTATTTTATAATTTAATTAACGAAAAATTAAAAAACTGCCATTTTCTCTGAATAAAAAAATTTTTTTTCGATAAATATAACAATTTTTTTCTAGTTTTGTTAACGTAAAAGGAATTAATTGGTATGTTTTTTACCTTTGTTTGTTGTCTTTTATGGCATTTATTTTTTGACAGTTAACAATTAAAAATTGCCGTTTTCCTTTTATTTAACAGACAATTTATTTTAACGAAAATAAAAACAATTTTTTTAAAGAAAATTAAAAGATTAATAGAAAATTTAAAATTTTTAATCTTATATCTACATAGCTTTGTTTTAGAGGTGTGGATAGAAGGAAGCCTCAAAGAAAATTAAATTTTAACTGACTTGAGACAGATATAGGAAAGATCTTTTATGGGAAGATCACATTGGGAAGGCCTTTAATAATTAATTAATTTAAAAATATAAATAGAAAAATAAAAAAATAATAGGATTAAGACAATCTATTTTTATCAAAAATCCAAATTTTAAGTTATTTTAAATGTATGATAAAAAGAAGCCTCAAAAAAATACAAAGGGGGCTCTACTCTTGAGGCTCCTAATCTCTGCCATAAAGGAGCCTGACTTTACGGCAGAGATATCTATTTTGGTCGAAATTTATTTTTTTTTAATTTATTTAATTGATACTTTAATTTACCATTACCTAACTTGAGGCAGATAAGGAAAAATTTCCTTAGGCTAGGAAGGCTATTAAGAGACTAGGAAAGTCTCTTAATAATTTAAAAAAATAAAAATAGGGGAATTAAATATTCTCTATTTTTTATAAAATTTAAAACAATGAAAAATAAGCCAAGTCTAACAAGAAAATAAAAAAATAAAAAAATAATAAAAAAATGAAGAAGCGTGGGAAGTAAGTCAAGAGAACTGAGTCAAACAAAAGAAAAAATAAATAATTTAAATTAAAACAAAAAATAAATAAAATTACATAGCTTTAGAGAGTAATTAATCAAACTTTTTTCGTTATAAATAATTTGTTTGTTTACTCAAAACTTTTTTTTCGGTTAAAATTAATTAAAGAAAAATATTTTTTGATAAAATAAGGAAAATAAAAATGTTTGGAGGGAATAGTTGCCTTTGAAAGTTGTAAATTAAAAATTAAATGAATAAAAGTTTTTCCGGAAAGAAACATTAAAAATAAAAATGTAAAAAAATACAAAAAATACAAAATTTATCAGAAACACATATCCATAGAAATAAAATCCAAAAATTAGGAAAATAAATTTAAAACAGAAAATTAAAAATTTATTTAATTTTAAAATTTTTATTATTAGGTTATTTATGTAGGTTTTCAGAACTTAAATTTATTGTTCTTAAATTTCCAAAACTTAGTTTCCGAAAAACTTAAGTCTCAGGATTTAGTAAGTTTTTCGTTTCCGGTCTTAAGCTCGGATTTTTAAAGGTGTGGATAGAAAGAAACCTTAAAGAAAATTACCGGACCGAGATCTCTATTATCGACATTGAGATCGAGATTTTTCAAGATTTGTCTCGATTCTCGTACGACACTCCCAGTCCGGTCTCTAGTCTTAAATTCTTAAGTTCCCGGAAAATATTTTCATTTTACTCTTTATTTTAATCAGAAACGCAAAAATATACCAAAAATATTCAATTATATTTAACAAACAAAAATTCTGTTTTTTAATCTTTAAATATAAAATAAAAAATTTTCCGGAAATTTTATGTACTTTAAAAATGTTTATATGAAAATAGACACTCATTTGTTTCAAAAAATAAAAAAAAAAGTAATCCGTCTTTTTTCTATATGAAATTGAATAGCTGTGAAAAGGGAAGTTAAACAGACGAGTGTGCTTTTTAAAATTTTATTACTAGAAAAAAAGAAGAAATATTAACAGGAAATTAAATTGTTCAAAAAAAAATTTATACTTGAAAAAAAAATTTTTTTTTAATTTTTAAATAAAGATTTTTAATTTTTTTAACAGGTGTTAATTTTTGAGCGAATTTCCGCTTACATGCTTCAACCAAAGTATAAAATACAGAAATTAAATAATACAAAGTAAAATACAAAATAAACACAATTTTAAAATTTATTGTATTTTTGCTTATTCTGGTCGCAAAGTAAAATGTATTTTTTAATCAGAATTAATTGTATTTTGCATTATATTCTGGTCTGTGTTTAATAAACTTGCTAGATATTGAAGCATGTTTATGTAATAAATAACTCTGAAAATCAGAATTTATAAAAATCAGAATTTTAAAATGAAGAATTTTAAAACCAGAATTTCTTTTAAATCAGAAAATTTAAAATCAGAATTTCTTTTAAATCAGATTTTTACAATCAGAATTTATTAAAATCAGAATTTCAAAAATTCAGAATTTATCAAAAATCAGAATATTAGAAATCAGAATTTATTAAAAATCAGAATTTCTTTTAAATCAGAATTTTAAAATTCAGAACAAATAAAATATGTACTACAAACAAACATTACATTTTTATTAAGTAAAAAGTCTACTACGTAATAATAACAGAAAAGTATACATATTTCAGAAAAATAAATACAAGACAGATGTAAATATATTATTATTTTTTAAAGATTTAAATATATTAAAATTGTTAAGAGGAAGTAAATTAAATAATTTAAAAAATAAAATGGAAATAATTTAAATATAAGTGAAAATAAGAAAGGTGATAAGGCAGAAGGAATAAAAATTCCCAAAAATTCCCAAAAATATTTTAAAATAATTTTAAATAATTTTTGTTAATTTGGCAACATTCTCTCTACTTTTATTAAATAAAAAATACATACATTTAAAAAAGAATAATCCCAAAAAAGGCAAAATTAAAAAAGGGAGAACCCCATAAATTTATAATAATTTTTTTTCAAAATTTTCCCAGAAAATTAGGATAATCCTTTTTACAACCCAAAAATAGACGGAAAAGGCAACAAAAAAATTAAAAAAAATATTTATATTTTAAATAATTTCTTCCTTAAGTAAATACTTGTCATTTCCATTCACATCAACCAAAATCTTGCCAACTTTATTATTATTATTTTTAACTTCCCCATTTTGTTGACAGCAACCATTTTGTTGTGGTTTTTTATGTTCTTCTTCTTTTGAGTTTATAATTGAATTGTCGGGAATGCTAATACATTTACCCTTTTCTGCTATTATTTCTATATTTTTCCCCTTAAATTGTAACATATAAGAAAGTTTTTTTAATAAAAAATCAGAATTTTTGTATTTTTAAAATAATAAAAGAAAAATACAAAATAAACTTCTGAGTTATAAGTTTATTTTAATATATAAACCAGAAATTCTGATTTTATTTAATATTAATATAAATCAGAAATTAGATATATAAATCAGAATTGGGTTCTGGTTTATATTAATACAAAATAAACTTTTTCTAAGTTTATTCTGGTTTATTAAATTTTATTCTGGTTTTTGAAATGTGTATTTTTCTGATTAGAACTATAAGTTTATTTTATAAATATTCTGATTTATATATTTATATTATTTCTGATTCTGATTTATATTATATTTAATTATTTGTATTTATATTAATATTAGTCCCTCTATATAAATCAGAAAATCTCCTGTATTTTTGTATAAAAAAATCTCCCGTATTTTTTTATATATTATATAATATTAAAAATAAACTTACATTAAATTGTATTCCTTTGCCTAGAAACACATTTCCCGTTATTGCAATCTTTTCAACATTAGATTGTATTTTTGGAATTTCAGGAATTCGTTTTTCAAAATCCATTAAAGCTCCAAATTCTTCTGTTGAAAGAATAACTTCCGGAAGTGGACTTTCTCTTATTTTTTGAAGTAAACAAAGAGAAGAATTAAAAGAAAAAAGACATTTTGAGCGAAGATGGAATAAATCTCTCGTTGATTTGACTGGCAAAAATCGCCGTCTTGATACATTGACAGCTAGAGCACGGCCAGGGAAATTTCGGATAACATCACCAATGGACTGTTCAAGTTGGAGAATAGGGCGGCCATTTGATAGTTTCTGAAAAAATATTTTTTTATAATATTAACACTATAATCTATAATTCTGATTCTGTGTAAATTCTGTTTTATAGAAAATTATTTTATAAACCAGAATTATATTTTCCGAACAAGAGCTTATTCTGGTTTAAATATTATTCTGGTTTTTTCCCAGTCAGAATTAATTATTATTAAATTTCAGAATTATTAAATTTCTGAATTATTATATTTCTGAATAATATAAATCAGAATTAAATTTCTGATTTTATAATTATAATATTAAATATTCACTATACTCTCACCTTCTCATTAGCCAACATAGCGAGTTTCAATTGCCCAAGTTTTTCTTTAACAGCTCTCAAATTTACCCAAATATTATTTGTATTGAACGTTCTATAATTTAAAAAAATATTTTTAATTAATTATTTCTTACTTGAATTTTTTCAAAGAACGAAATTCTTCTTGATGTTCTAAATTAATTATATAATTTTAAAAAATTATTTTTTAATTTTCTTATACCATCAGGGACGTGTGGGCATTCAAGTTGTGTGAGTCTATAGCCATCATCAATTTCCACTAAGGTGCCTCCCTAATTTTAAATTTATTTATGGACCTATATTTTTTAAATGAAGCGACCTTAACGTCAGCAGGCGTTCTCGGTGTAACCTCCAAAATATAATCCGTAATTCCATCAGCCAATACCTTAGCGATTCTTTCATCAAAAACAGCTCCAGTATTATCTATATTAGCAAAAAAGGCGATATCACGACCTTCTGCCAATAGACGATCGAGTAATCCACAATGAGCCATGATTGGAAAAATGTTTGCATGGCCAGGGGGATACCATCTATTTTTAAAATTTTTTTTATTTTCGAATTTTTCAAGAAAATTTACCCATCATTTGGACAATCATCCCATTTTGTTGGGACAGGCTCCAAGGTATCCGCATAAATACGTGGGCATTTACTCTGACTGAAACACTCAACATAATTTGTAGGTTTTTCCCTATCTTCCAAATATTTTTTTGTTTGTATATCAGTGCAAAATGAATTCATTAGAAGAAAAGGAATTTCTTTTGTTTCTTTCAGATCTTTCAATTCATCATTCAGAATCTTTAAGAAATTAATTATTGTATTTTTAATTTAAAATTCTGGTTTGTAAAATATATTTTTATATTAAAAATAACTCTATTTATAAATCAGAATATCATATTAATTATATTTTTATATTAATTCTGATATTAATAAACCAGAATATTTTCAGAAAATAACTCTAAAAATAAAATTCTGATAATTAAAATTCTGATTTAAAAATAAAAATAATTCTGATTATAGTAAGTCTGATTAATAATAATTCTGATTAACAATAATTCTCAATAGTAATTCTGATTATTCTATAAATCAGAATATCGTTTTAATTTAATTTTGAATTCCAGAAAAATATTTTTATATAAATCAGAATTTTCTTTATATTTACCTCATGCTGGCGCAAAACAAATTCAAGAAAATTCATTCCATTGCTTAACTCCACCAAAGATTTAGGCCCTTTACATCCCATTGTTGTACCTTAATTTAAATTCAATTTATTTTAAAAAATAATTTACCTAATCCTCCATTTAATTTAACAACAACAAGTCTATTAAGCAAGGATTTTCTCTCATTTTCGCTTAAAACTTTGGGTAATTCATCATATGATTTTTGCTTTTCCGCAGGCATTGGACGAAGATTTTCCCATACAACTTTAAAAGATTTGTATTTTTTTAATTATTATGTCAAAAATCAAGGAAATATAAATCTATTGTTTTAGTCAGTCTTAATTAAAATTAAAACTAGAGTTATATTCTGATTTATAAATAAATTCTGATAATATAATAATAAGATTAAATCAGAATTAAAACCTGAGTTATACTTCTATATTCTGATTTTAATAAAAACCAGAATTATATTTATTATTAATTTATTATTCTGATTTATCCATAATTCTGATTTATTTATAATTCTGATTTTTTAATAATTCTGGTTTAGAAATTCTGGTTTATTTATCAATATAATACATAATATTAATTCTGATTAAATCGGAATTAATTTAAACCTTAGTTATACTTTTATATTTTGATTTTAATAAAAAATAAATTATACTACCTTTATAAGGCTCCGTCAAAAATTGATAGAATATTTTTCTATATATTGCTATATCTCTTTCACTCTCGACCTAAATAAAATTATTAAATATATAAAATTAAATTTATTTTTACATCTCCAGGCTTTATCAATGTTTTACTTTTATTGTCAAACATTTTCATAATATTTTCAACTTCCTCTTTGCTACGTGGTGCTTTGTTCATTTTTAATATTAATTAATTTAATTAGTTTAATTAAAGCTTTAATAAAATAAAAAATAAATTTTAAAAATTATAGTAAAATTAAGAAATAAAAATTAAATTTCTGTATGGAAATATTTTTTTTATTTTTTTAAATAGGGAATTTAAATGATTGGCTATAGTTCTCGAGATCTCCTATTATTAAAGTTTTTTAAAATTAGATAAAAATAATTTTAAATTACAAAAACATATTTTCTCTTTTAACGGAAAATAAAGTAAAATAAAAATAAATTCCCTTTCCTTACAATTAAATTTGTAAATTATTTATTTTAAAGAAACATGTAAAGATAAGATCGCTTTTAATTTGAGAGAAATGTAAAAAAAATTTTTAAATAATTTTTAAAAGCATGAATTGTGTAACGGAAACAAGAAGATTAAATTATTAAATAGCGAAAATCCATAAAATATTTATTAAATATTTGGATTGAAATGTTCGCAATGTTCAAGGTTAAAGGGTTAATCTTTGATGATGAAAATTAATTAAATAAATTCTGAAATTATAATGATAAAGGAACTATAGCTATATTTAATTCTGATTTAAAATTATGGTTAAAAAAGAAATTCTGAGTTATACAATAATATTAGATTCTGATAATATAATATATAAACCAGAATTTCTATTTAAAACCAGAATTAATTAAGAACTATAGTTATATATTAAATTCTGATTTTAAAAAAGACATTATGATTTCTTTCTGAAAAGAAATTCTGATTTATATATCATATTATCAGAATTAATCAAAAATCAGAAGTCATTTTAGAGTTATAAAATATATTTCTGATTTATTAATAAATAAATTAAACAATTCTGGTTTATGAAACACATTCTTTGAAATAATAAAACCAGAATAAATTGTATAGTATTTATGTATTTTACCCCCATAAAGAGTCACCAATATTTTTGCAATAAACGAAAACACAAAATTAAATAAAATTTTATCAAGTTTTAAAAATAAAATGAATATGATTTACTTGTGGTGACTTATAAATGCTTTTATTTTGGATAAAAAAATTGAAAAAAAAAAAACAAAAAATAATAAGGAAGTGGGCGTTTCAATTAACAAATTGATGTGGCCGAAAGATGATGTAAATAAATTAAGGAATTAAAAATTAAAAAATATTTTTTAAAGCTAGGTAAGTAGTTAGATGGAAATAATATTTATTTTTTTTCTTGAGAAAAAAAAAATAAAAATTAGGGACCTCCAATCACTTGACATACAGTAATTTAAAAAAGAAAATTTCTTAAAAAACAATCCAACATTAAAATATTTCGTGGCAGAAAAATGGGAAATAAAATGAGAAACATGTGTAATTAAGAAAAAAAATCTGAAAAAAAATCTGAAAATAATTTATTTATTTTATTATGAGGAAATATGTATCAAGCAAAAATAAAATATTGAGAAAATTCCCCCTATTTTTTTATTTTTGTTTTTCAGTTCCAGTGATATGAGGGGAATACAAATATTATTTTTTGTTTTGGAAAATAAAATACGAAAAAAAAAATATTTTTCAAAAATAGTAAACTAAAAAAAGGGAAACCCGCGCGCATTATTTGGCGACGGACCACCTTAGTGAGGAGTTAATTAATCATTAAGTTGCATCTTTGTAAAATTTTTAAATGTGAACTTAGAACATGAAATCATGCAAAAATTATTTTTTTGAAGTTATCTAACTCATATAAAAATTATTTTTAAAAAAAAATTTGAAAAAAAAATATTCTAAGAAATTAAGGGAAAAAGAATGGAAAAGTCGCCTTCTGAAAATAACCCTAACTTTGGGAATACTGAACCAAAAATTCTGAAATTTTTTTATGAGTTAGATAACACATTTGAGGATGTCTGTAAAAATTTATATTGATATAGCTTCAAATTTGGCAAAATTATAAGCTTGGATGTAACGCTACCACACCTAAATGCTACTCAACGACCCCATTCATTTCGATCCTCATAATAAATGAAAAAATAATTAATTCTAAATTTTGATATGATTGGATAGAGGAGAGTCTAATCTACAAAATGAGATAAAATTCAAAATTTTATATAGCCAAAAAATAAAGTTATAGCCAAAAAACCAACATAAACTTGTCAAAATAACCACTTTTTAATCATTTCAGACAGTTTATCGACCAGAATTTTAATTTCTAACATTTCAGAAATTCTGATTTTTATTTTATTTTATAGCAAATTTAATTCTCTATCCAAAAATACCAAAAACTCAATTAAAAGTACCCCTATCCAATATAAATTTATTTAATTATTTCATTCCATTTTTTGTCTTTTTTCGTATAAAATTCTTTATTATTATTTTTATTTGGTAAAATAAAGCTTGACGATAATGTTTTTTCAATTGAATAGGCCAGACCAGAAGAAGAGGAAGTAGAAAATGGGAAGGAGGTGGTTGTTTGATATTTTTTGTGTTGCCTACAAAATTAAAAAAAATTTTTTTTCAGGGTTTTCTTCCCTTATTTCCTGTATTTTCACGTGTTTTTAGGGTTAATATCCTATGCCTTTAACCGTTAAAATTATTTAAATATCCCTCAACTTTAGGGGCTACCAAGGGAAAGACTTCAAAAATGTTTCCTTTAATTTTTTGAGGAAACAAAATTTTTAACAGACAAAAAATTGAACAAATAAATAGCGTCAAAGACCAAACCAAATAAAATATTTAAGAATTTATTTAACAAAAAACACCATTGTTCCCTCTCAATTTTTTGAGGAAACAAAATTTTAAACTAATAGGCATGTGGCAATTCACCTCTCCCACACGCTATGCTAGGCTACAGCTATTTTTTTCTTAATTTTTATTTTAGATGATGTGGATTTTTAAACGAAAATTTATTTTTTAAGAGCTTTGTTAGTCTTTGACGTTAAATAAATTTGTTTCCAATTTTTTATAAAATTATTTTTCTTTAAAACCTGTAAATTGAATGAAAAATAATTGCTGATGCAATTCCAAAAATAAATAAAATAATTAATAGTATAGCGGTAAATAATGTTGTGCTAATGCATAATGAGGATTTTGAATCTATTAAATGTAAGATTGAAATTATTCTTTAATTTTTTTTAATTTATTTTTGAGGCTTTCAAACCCTCTCAATTAGTTTTGTCGGTTCCTGGAAACTCTTCGGATATCCGAAACCGAACTAAAGAACCGAACCGAAAAATCCTCGGTTCTTCTGTTCGGTTAGTTCCAGAACTGACAACCCTACTCTCAATACATCTTTAAGGCCTTTCGAAGAAGCTAGAGACACTCTAGGCTAGATACCAGGCTTTAGGATCGAGCAAGATTTCAAATCGATCAATCACGAAAAATCTCAACACCTCGCCTAAATTTTTGAATCAACTCTCGTCTTGGTCTATTCGTTTAGACAGGACTGCGTCAAAAAAAAATCTTACAAAATCGGAAATTGGAAATCAAAAGAAATCAGTAGAAAATCGAAATTTTGGCGCAGCCCTGGTTTGGACTTTAAAAATAGCAAGAGATAGATAGATAAAAACTTAATCCATGTTCTTCAGCCAAATGAAATACTAGTGGTAGGTGGTAGTATTTCAGCTCTACCAATTAAACAAGAGAATACTGCTTCATTTTCCCTTATAAAATTAGTTCCTAACCCTCGCCTAGTAAACAATTTAAATTATAGCCAGCTACATCTCCCTTCTTCCTCTACATTATTAAAATTTAAAATCGTGTATTTACCATAATTTTGTAATTTAATATTATTTAAATAATTATTTTCTTCTTTTTCATCTTCCCCATCGACAGGTTCATCCAAAACAAAAACATATTGAGAAAATAGATCGGCATCTACTACTTTAGTGTTTACTGAACGGTGCTTTCTTATCTTTAAGAAAAATTATTTTTCTTCTCAAAATTAATTAATTTACCCTATTTCTTGGGGTAATTAAGCTTTGATTGTTATAATTATTTGTTATATTTTTAATATTTTCTATGGAAGAGTCATCCAATGAACTTTGAAAGTGTATATTATTGCTATTCTCTTCCCTATCGTTTTGACAATCGGGAGGCTAAAAATAAAATTTTTTTGATTCTTAAATAAGAAATTTAATTAATTATTAAGCCCCGCCCCTCTTATTCTAAAAATGTAATTATTGGATCAGGGTCTCTAATAATTTCAAATTATAGCTCATTCGATGCGTCTTGACGAGCTGAATCTAATGATACCAAAATAAAAATTTAAGGTCAATACTGGATGAAGTTATGTTAGGAAAACATAGAGTAGATGGTAGAAGGGGATAAGAAAATCAACTTTATTTCCCAATTTTTTCACAAATAATTTTTAATGCGAAATTAAATTCTAAACTGATTTTTAATTAAAAAACAAATATTCTTTTATTTTTCACTCACAGTTATTCCATCACAACCATTTTCTGCTTTAACACAAAGCTTGATTTCACAAGAAAATCTAACGCCTATTCTATCGCGAAACTAAAAAAATTTTTTAATTAATTTTAAAATTAATTTTTAATTAAAAAATTATTTTTTCAATAATTTTTTCAAAAAAAAATTTACTTTAAAAACATAAGATTCTCTATATGCCATATTTAATTCTTTTGTATATGTTGGGTCTCCAAGAACATTCGGATCTTTATGACAACTTTAAATTAAAAAAAAATATTTTTTTAATTTATTTAAAAATTATTCTACCCTTTTTCATCAATAACTTGTACTCTGTCACCCTGTCCATCTTCTACAAAACAATTATGAACTAACATTCCATAAACATTTTTGTATTTTTCATCTTCTGAAATAAATTTTATTATTAATTATAAAATCAGAATTATAAATTAATATAACTCTGTTTTTAACTAAAATAAATTCTGGTTTTTTATTTACAGAAATTCTGATTTTTATTCAAAAAAAATAAATAAATTCAGAATTTATCTATTTAATTATAATAACTCTGGTTTTTAAAAATTCTGATATACACCAGAATAAGTTTAATTTTATGCGATTATATTAAATCAGAATTTATCTAAATCAGAATTTAAATCAGAATTAATATTAGTTAAACAGTATAACTCTGGTTTTAAATAATTCCATATATCAGAATAAATTTATTTTTATACATATTATACCTTAAATAAACCAGAATTTATTTCAGAATTTATAACTCTCGTTTTTAATAATTCTGTTTTTTTAATTACCAGATCTACAATCCCATCGATGCATAATTAAATCGCCAACACGTGAGAATTTTAACAGTTCTCCATTTATATTATCCTTTCTGATTGTATATTGACATTGAGGTAAAGGTAATTCATTATGTAATATATTTGCTGGGGTTACATCCCTTTTTAATTGAAGAAGAAAAAATATTGAAATTATAAACATTTTTAATTCTTAAATTTTTTAAATAATATAACAGAAAATAATTTTTTATTGTTTAATGGACAATAAATTGAATGTCCCCTATTTTTATTTTGGTCATTCCATCACCCATGGAAACCAAAATAATAAATATAGAAATTATTTTTCGGCGAAAATAAAAGTGTAAATGATTGTTATTTAATTTATAAAAAGTTTTATTTAAAATAAATACCCACCCTACAGTCATTTCAGAATCTAATGTTTGACTATCTTCTCTATACATACAATTTATATGAAATGCTCTATCCGTTTTTGTAACGAAAAGCTAAAGAAATAATTAATTCAAAATTAATTAAATTCCGAAAGAATAAACTTTCCGGAAAATAAATCAGAATTTTAGAAAATAAACCTCCTTTTCCGGAAAAATAACTCAGAAAAATCAGAAAATATATTTATTTATTTATTCCTGAAAGTAATTCTGGTTTTATTTCTGGTTTTATTTCAAGTTTATTTTCAATTCCGAAATAATATAACTTTCCAAAAATCAGAATTTAATTAAATCAGAATTTTTATAGTTCTAAAAATAAATATAAAAATACTAATTCTGATTTTATTTCAAGTTTATTTTTATATTAATCAGAATTCTGGTTGTGGAAAATAACTATAATATAACTATAACTCAAAAAATCAGAATTCTGATCTAAAAAATAAACTCACAGAATGGAAAGAAATAACTAAAACTGTAGAGAATTGCATTCCTTCCGGTTGCACCTTTAAATTTAAAAAATTTATTTTTCAATTAAAATTAATTAAATAACCATTCTCTGTCTGTCCATATCACACGATCCATGATGCAAACGAATGCCCCCACGTCCATCGTGTTCAGCACCCCCAGCCTGCCCAAAGTCTACTCTACAATCTGGGTTGCTATAATGACCCTATTTTTTTTTATTTTTTAAATTAAAAATTTTATTTAAACACCTGAACATATATTTTCCCAGTAAAAGGACGTTTCGTTCTAAATCTCATTTCTATAGTATCTGGATGGCAACTAATATTTGGTTGGCCAATTAATGAATTTTCGAGTTCATATGATACAGAAAATAATGAATTTATTAATGAGAAGATTAAAATGATTTTTAAAAAAATTTTCATTTTTTTCATTGTTGCTTTTAAATATTTTTAATTAAATACTAAAATAATTTTTTATTAATTTTTAAAGCAAAAAAAAAATTTTTGTTAATCCAAAAATCAGAAAATAAGGTAAAAATAGAGTCAAAATAATTTATAAATTGTTTGCCAAGCCCCAAAAAATATTCAAAATTTTGGCGGTCTAAGCTAGCCAGCTAAACTAATTGGCCGAACGGAGAATTGAACGGAAATAGAAACAGGGGGGAGTATTCATTTCCTGAGAAAAAGCTAAAAACAGGAAAGAAGGACAGGTGCTTGGGGCGGCAATTTTTGTAAAAGAAATTAAATATAATTTGATATTTAATGACAAAAATCTTTTTAAAAAATATTTTAAAAATTTTATTTGATATCCAAAAATCGAAAAAATTGACCCTAAAAATATTCAAAACAAAAATTTAATTTATTATTTAAGGTCATGTTCCCTTCGCCCTATAAACAATGTGTTCCCTTCGCCCTATAAACAATGTGTTCCCTTCGCACTAGGAAGGGAAGGGAAGACTTTTAATTTTTAAAAATATTAAATCCAATGAATTTTTAAAAAAATTATGAATAATTAATGATTAAAAATTCTTTTAAATTTTAAAGATTTGAAAAAAAAATTTAAAAATTTTAAAGAAAAATAAAAATTCTGGAAAAGCACAACAATTATTTTTAAATCGCGCAATAAAAAAACATGAAAAGGAGTAAAGAATGAGAAATAGAACAATTTGAAGGACATTTGACTCAATGTCATATGAATAAAAAAAAGAGTAAAGAAGAGGATAAAGGGGTTTATGGCTATATTTAATTTTTTAAATTTGAATAAATTAGTTAAAAATCTTAATGATTATGTCAGTTTTTTAACTCCAACTTTTTTAATCTTAAAGCTAAATTTTTTATTTTAAGTTTATTAAATAGAGAATTCAATTCTACACAAAATGATAGCAAAATCACTTTAATCGGTTCATCCATTCCCAAGTTATATGACTTCAAAAGGCCGTGGTTCTAACCCATCACCTAGCCTCAGTTTTTTAGCTCCAACTTATCTATTCATCTAGCTAAAATTTTTATTTCTGGCTATGTTGTAGAGAATTCAATTCTATACAAATTGATATCAGAAGCAATTATATTAGTCGAACCAATCCAAAGTTACATGAGTTCAAAAAGCTGTGGTTCTCTTCCATCACCACGCCTCAGTTTTTTAGCTCCAACTTATCTATTCATCTAGCTAAAATTTTTATTTCTGGCTATGTTGTAGAGAATTCAATTTTCTATTTAATGACACCAAAAGCATTTTAATCGGTTCAACCATTCCCAAGTTATGAGACCTTAAAAACTCGTGGTTCTCCCCCATTACTCTTCCAAGTTTTTAATTTTACAGACTTTCTTTTAAAGTTTACTATAAAAGCTCCTTCTAAACATCCCTCCAAACATTCAAAACATCCAAACAACAATAAAAACAACAAACAATGCAAATCTACAAACTTCTTCAATTTATTGCCAACTTCAACTTTATTATGCTCCTTATTGTTCCACTTGGTTCTTTTGCGGAATCACCCCCAATATTTCCTACAGAAGAAGAAGCTAAGGTAAAACAAAGAAAATTTCTCTTCTTTTTTCTTCCCAAACCTCAAAAAAATTTTTTTTTTATTTTACAGGATGAATGTTGCATGGACGATGGGAGGCTTGTGGACACTTCTTTTGCTGGGGCATTGGCTGCACTTATTATGTAGGGAGAAAAAAATTTTTTTGAATTGAAAAATTAATTTTTAAAAAATTTCGGAAGGTTAAAAAATTTCAAAAAATTTTTTGAAAAATTTTTTGAAAATTTTTCGGAGGGTTAAGAAAATTTCGAAAATTTTTTGAAAATTTTCCTCATCCCCCTTCAATTTTTCAGGATATTTTTTTGGCACATTCTTCGCATTTTTTGCATTTCTCGAATGGCTGCAGCTCATCATCCACCATCAAAACTTCCTCCTCCACCTAAAGAATCTTCTTCCTCTTCTACCAACGTTGACAGTTCACCATTATTATTATCAAAACAATATGTGCTGGAAGTGAGAGAAGTGCCTGGGGAAGGAGGGGGTAAAGGCACGAAGTGATTGTTAATTAAGCAAGGAAGGAATGTAATGAATAAAAGAAGGGAGGAATAAAAAAATTAAAAATAATTATTATTGTTCAATAATTTTGTAAATAAAAAAAATTTTAATAAAGAAAATTTCTTTCTTGTTCCTTTTAAATGTTGTGATATTAGGATTGGGGTTTTCGAGTCAAGCCGACGCTCAAGTCATTTTTATCGGACCGGTCTGGATCGGGCCTCCCAAACCTAGTTGTGGTATTAGTGTTGTTGGCGACTTGTTGTTGACCACAGTATAACCCTAGTTAGATAATTACCCTAGTTAATTAAAATACTCTTACTAGTTGTTAACCGGTACCCTCGGTTTTCGGTTATGATTGGTTTTTTCGATCCTCAATTTTCGGTTAAGACAAATGTATTTGGGGTATCTGGCAATAAGATCGTTTTTTCGTTTTCTTTGAATTTTCCAAAAAGAAAATTTTGAAATTAAATTTAAAAAGAGGAGAATTAAAGAAATTCTGATTATTTTATTTGGATTAGAATTTAATTTTAATATAAATAATTATTATTTGTAACTGTCAACAACAACAAATAATTATTCTTAATAATAATAAAAAATAAAATTAGGGCAATTGAGCGGCCGAATAATTTTTTTAATAAATTTAGGGGAAAATGAGGAAAGGTGTTGAGGAAAATAAAAAAACAGAGTAATTATTGGAAGGAAGGATTTTTATTAGCTAATTAAATGAGAAGACCGTTCACACATAATTTTTTTCGAAGATATTGACCTTGATATATTAAAGAAAAAAATTTTTTTATCCCCCTTTGAAGATTGGGGTATTTGAGGAAATAAAATCACAACAAAATTAAAAAATTTAAACATGTACTAACTTAAAGGATTGTTTACATTTTTAATAAAAAAAAATTTTTTTAACCTTTTTAAAGTTTAAAAGGGGAACCCTTTTCAAGGTCAGAAAACTTTAATATTTAAATTTATTATTAAAAAAAATAAATTCTTTATTTTTTAATCCTCACGCATTTATTTATCCTCCCTTATTTTTAAAAATCCCCTTTTCTTCTTTCTTTTTTTTCTTCCCCAAAATTCATCAAGAGGAGGATATCTTTTCTTTTTTTTCTTCTCCTTACATAATTCTTCTTCTCTTAGAAAATTACAAAAAAAGGAAAAAAAAATTTATATAATAAAATACCCAAAAAATAACAAAAAAAAAATTAAAAAATACACTTGAATGGTTGGTGGGTCATTGAAAAACCTTTTGTTATAAAAAGAATTGCGCGAAGAAGAATAGGTAAAAATTTAAATAAAAAAAAACTTTGCGGTCTTCCTTATTTATTTAAAAATGCTTGAGAAGAGAGAAAAAAAGAGGTAAATATTTAAAAGTTTATTTTGTAAAAATATACCTAAATTATTAAATTAATATTGTAGAAGCAGTAGAAAAAAATTTTAAAAAAATAAGAAAATTTTAAAAATTGTAGAGGTAGGAATAAAAAAATATTGTGAAGGGAATACAAATTTGAAAAAAATTTTGATCACTCCAATTAAAAAAAACGGAAATTTTTTTTTTAATTTTTTTGCGTGTATATTAATTATTTTATTTAAATTAGAATAAAGAAGTAGATCATATGTAGCAATTATTTAATAAAAAAAATATTTTTTGAGAGATTATTTTCCTCTCAAAAATATTTTTTCTCTATTAATCTGTTCAATTGAAACAAATTTTATTTTTGAATAATTTAGAATGATAAGGACATGCTCTCTAATCTATAGTTCATATTAAAAAAATTTTTTTTGAAAAACTTAAGGGCCGATAAAATTGTGGAATGATTGAACTGACCGAAATAGCCGAATAAATAAAAACAAAATTAAAAATAAAAAGAGGATCAAAGCAGCTCTGTTGGCTGTTGAGAGAAAAGTTTGGAGAGAGAAGAATAAATTCTTTTAGAAAAAAATTTTTTTCTAAAAGAGAATTTGCATAAAACATACAAAAACAAAACAAACAAAAATTTAGCCAGTCGAGAAAAATCGATTTAAGAGAATATATTGACCCTTAAAATAAATATAAATTTTTAGAGACGAAAATATTTTATTTAAATTTTGTGAATTGTTTGTAGAAAATGGAGAGGGACTAGAAAAATTTTTGCGTGGAGGGAGTTTAATTAAAAATAAAAGAGAGGAAGACGAATTATTTGAAGGAACAAATCATTATTGGCCTATTTACTTTTAAACTTTACGAATAAATTCCGAGAAAGAGATTAAAAAAGAATTTTTGAATTAATTTTGTAAATTCTCAGGAATTTTATTATGAAAGATAAATGAATCAAAGATGAAAGGAAAAAGTAAAAGAAGGAATTAAATAGAGCAAAAGGTCAAATAAAACCCCAAATTTTCTTCTACGAAAATATTAGAAGGGTACACAAAGGTCAAATCCGGGACGACCTGGTATAGTTCGATTTAGCTCGTCAAAGCGCATCGAACCATGCTAGGGCGTCCCAGATTCGACAATTCTGAACGACTGCGGTAAGTCGGGATTGAGGTAAGTTGGCCTACTCCCATATTAAAATTAAAAAAAATTTTTTTGAAGAAAAGCCTCCCCAAACCTAATAAATTAAAAAAATAAACCTGAAATTTTTTCTTTTATCAAAAAATTAAAAATTCAAACAATTCAAATTGTCTCAACGTCTGCTAAGCGGAATAAAATAAGATTTTGGAATATTTCGATATTCTGCCTCCGTTTTCTTATAAATTTTGAAAGCACCAACAAATGACATTTGTTTGTTTAAACGCAGATTTTCCACTGATTGTCGATATGCTGGAGGTTTAAGCATAAATTCTAAGTCACAAGATTCTGGAGGTTCTGGGAAGTCGTTTGTATCGACAGCATAAACTTTGAGCTTAAAAATAAAAATTGTTAAAAATTAAAAATGCGGTTTTGTGAAAGAATTTTTGGAAGAGAAGGGATTAAAAGACAGAAAATCCCAAAACATGTTAAAGATGGCTACAAATTTGGGGATAAGTTTGAGAATGATATGTGTACATGTACCTCATTCTGTACTTCTAAAACTTTTTTCCATTACCTCAAAAACATGTCTAAATTAATACATATGTTATTGCTAAAGCCATTTTTAAATGTCATTTTTCTTTCATTTTTAAATTTACTCACATAAAAAATGAAAAACAAACCAAATCAGGATCCTGTCTGAGCAACTCTATAGTTGGCACCTTCAAATTTTTTGGCAAGGAAACGTTGAAAAGCATTGAACTGAAAATTTAAAAAGTGGATTTAACAATAGATGAAGAACATACACGACCATATTAAAATTGTAGTACAAGGTCATCTGATTCGGGTCTGAACCAGACTGTGGTTTCCGTGCCCGGGCCTCCAAAATTTTTGAAATTCCCGTTTCCTGACCAGTCCCAAGATATGCTCATATAACCGAAGATTAGTCCACCTAACTCTTATTGTTAAATAAATCAAACTCCCACCCACCCGATTATTAATTAAAAACTCAAACTTTGTAGTGTAAACAATTTCCTTTGTCCGCTTTGTTAACGCTCTCATTGGTAAGTCCCTATATCCCAAACTTTGCATACTCATTATTACGCCTCCTTGATTCAATAAACACAAAGCGCTCTTCTTAATTGATTCAGCTAACAAATCCTGAATGTGAAAAATCTTTTAAAATGTCTGCATGGTTATTCCCCGTTGGAAGCCTAAAAGCAAAATTGCCACAGGGGTTGAGAGAGGCCACAGGGTGGAGAGAAGCCACAGGGGCGGAGAGAAAGAACTTTGCCATAGAGATGGACGGGAATCGGCTTCAACAATATTTGCGGGCATAACCCAACCCACTGGACATAATCCAACCTCCCCTCCCCATAAAACTCATCCTTCCTACTCCGTGGATAATAAAGACCCACTAACTAAACAAATAATATACCTTAACCATCGGCCTAAAATAAATGGTAAATTCGTAAATTGGCATTCTAAATTGATTGCTTGACCACTGAAACTAATTTACAGATTATTAAATTTTAAAAATTCCAAAAAAATATTCAAAGATTATTAACAAAAATAAACAAAAAAAATTTTAACTTCAAAATTTATTCTCTATTACAAAATAACCAACACAAAAAACTAAATTTTAATTTTCCATTTAACAAAAAAACCTTTTGTTTTACAACAAAAAATCAAACTTTCAACCTATATTCTTTCTTTTAAAACTACTTCAGAGGGCAAAGAGAATCAAAAAGCCCATAGTCAAACAAAAAAGTCCCATAGCCTCGGACAGAGCAAATCCAAGAATTGCATAAGAGAAGAGTTGCTGTTTAAGCGAAGGATTGCGAGCAAATCCAATCAACTGGAAAATTGAGGTTAAAATATAGTTTAACGTTCATTTAACAAAGAAAATCTGATAAAACAAGATGATGAAGAGTAAGGTGGATGCCTCACCAATCTACATATAACCTAACAGAAGCCGTTTAATGAACTCAGAACAAGAAACAATTTGGTTAACAAACTTGAATGATTAACAAAAACAGCAAGAGTAGCAGAAACATTGACCCTACTCCTCCCCAAAATGTACTGGATGTATAGAAGGAAGGTAACCTAAACTTACTTACAGAAAGCTCAAAAAGCAAACAACCCCTAATAATTAAACGAAAAATACCAGCGATCCAAAAACATTTCCAATTCCAGCCCCCGAACCAGCAACACCAGCAGTAGCGGCCCCTTCAAGTTAAACGTAAGAAAAACTTTAAGACAACAAAGAAACCTGCTCCAATATATTTAGCAGCGCTGTCAATATCCTTTCGAACAGCGGTTGTGCTAAACATCATTGCCTGGTTTGGTTGAAGCATTGCTTGAACAGGAAAGAAAATTGGACGCAAATTCGAAGAACGAGCAATAATAGCAACTTGACGAGAAGCGAGAGGAGCGAACATTTTTTGAATTAAACGAATTTATAATTTAAATATCTAAACAAAAAATTCAATTAATTTAACGGAAACTAGAAAAAAAAGTACAGCCCAAGTCGGCGCGCGGCCATAACGGCGCAAGCCATAACTTGCTTCAAAATTTCCGAATCTTACCAAATTTGGTATTAAACGATTCCTCTCATCGAGATAAAGAGATTGGTACCAAAATTGGTAAGGGCCAGAAATTTACCAGCAGGTTATGGCCTTGCGCCGTTATGGCCGCGCGCCTACTTGGGCGTGTTTCTAGAAAAGAAACATCGAACGATTAGAAGTTTGTCGAGTTTTTCTTTTCTCACTTCGTGTTATCCTTATTTTGCCAAAAAGGCTAAAAAATCACGTTCTGCCAATAAATTTGTTGGTAAAATGAATATTCCTACCCTTATTGGCAAATTGTCGTTTCTCCTTTTTTACACTTTTTCTCTATCTACACTATTTCTCACTTATTTTTCTCTAACTTTGGGGTGGAAAAATGGAAAAAGGTAGGAAAAATAAAATTGGGCACGGAAACGTCCCCTTTACAACGGGCACGGATTCAACGGCACGGAATCAGCTGGCATGGAATTGTCCCAGTCCGTATCCGGCCGGATTTTTCCGGAATCCGGATTCCAAATCCGGGTTTCTTCGAGATCTCCGTATCTTTCCGGACCGTATTAATCCGGAAAGATCCGGCGGAAATGTCTAAACAAGAAAAGACAAAACGCCCATAAGGGGAAATTTTTCATAATACCTACATTTGTCTGACTTTGCTCATGTCAGAGAGCATGAGTGAGGAAATTGACAATTCTTTTTCTCTAACCATTACGCGTTTTTAATGTCTGAGCAGACGCTGCTAAGAAAATCAATAAAATTGCGAATTCTTTTTCTCTAACCACTACGCGTTTTTACTGTCTGAGCGGCTAAAGTACACTTTACCGGGCGATTTTAGATTTTTATGATTTATATGTCAATCGAAAGAGCTCGGCGAGCTGAGTCGAATGACACCAAAATTAGCCCGCGGACTCAACTATGGACCGAGATATGGGTCCCCAAAAATCGAAAAACCATAGGGGGGACCAAGCACTTTTTTGGGGGTAAAAAGTTCGAATATGCAAATTATACCTCATTCGAAAGAGCTCGTCGAGCTGAGTCGAATGACACCAAAATCAACGAAATCCGATTTGATTTGACAAAGTTATGATCTTTTATTTTAGCTCCTTACCTATGGCATCTGTGGAGATTTTCGATGCTACGGAGGCCCCAAATACGTCCAGAGCAAGGAAGATAGGAATAGGTTTATGTTACGAGCCCAGACCCAGCGCCCGTAGACTCCCCGCGAGGCGCGTGCCGCAAAACCCCGCGCGAAGCGCGGGGTTTTGCACAAGCGCCTCGCCGACGCTCCATAGGTTTAGGTTTTAGTTTTTCTATCGTAACTTTGTCCAAACTTGTCCAATCACGATGATTTTGGTGTCATTCGACTCAGCTCGACGAGCTCTTTCGAATGAGGTATAATTTGCATATTCGAACTTTTTACCCCCAAAAAAGTGCTTGGTCCCCCCTATGGTTTTTCGATTTTTGGGGACCCATATCTCGGTCCATAGTTGAGTCCGCGGGCTAATTTTGGTGTCATTCGACTCAGCTCGCCGAGCTCTTTCGATTGACATATAAATCATAAAAATCTAAAATCGCCCGGTAAAGTGTACTTAGGCCGTCTGAGCGAATGCTGCTAGCCTTTCTTCCACTTTTATTTTTGTCAAAACAAGACAAACAATTTTTTTTATTTTAGGGGAAAACATTTATTCGAAGAACAACAATTAATTGCCCATGCTCCCATCAACATTATTCTACTTCAACCCATTTTCAATTACCTCAACTTACTCCAATCCTTCTAAACAACTGTACAATTTTTCAACCAGCACATTAGATAAGGTCTGGAATTTTGTGAAATACTTCAAATGTCAAACTTGTCTTTCAGGTACTTCAAAACACCACATCAGACTCCCATAAAATCATCTCTCCAACTTCGAAAACAACAAGGAACGAGTTCAGCAATTTGGATAGAGGGACAAATCCTGAACCCTCAAAACATAATTGTCGTCTCTTCAAATGCTGTTGGAGCTGTTGATGCTTAAGGTTTGTAAAAGTTTTTGTTTTCGACCATGTTCCCTCAGATCCACGAAACCTTGTTTAACCGATTTTTGTAAATATTGAGTAATGTGTGGCCACACATGAAAGGACGGGTGTACCCTCGAGCTTTTGTTAAGTGGCTTTTTGTTATCGACACACTGGTAATATCGGAAAGGGGTCGATATCCGGAGCCCGTCAGGCATTTTTATGTTTCCTTATAGAGCTGGATTTTAGTTTATTTTTGTGTACATAGTTGAATTTTCGATTATTGTTTTGGTTTTTCGTTGGAGTTCGAATCCCCCTTTTTAACAAGTGAACCTACCATTTACGCCACGGGTGGAAAATGCCCCGATTTTTATTCAACTAATTAATTTGCCTCCTATTTATTTTTCTTTTTTAGAACTATTAGATGACCGATGATGCTGGTGGTCTCTACAAACACAGTTGGCTTGAATTTGGCACAAAATCAGCTGCCTTTCTCTCTCCCCCTCTCCCTTTCCTATTTGTGGACAAAACTTGCTGTGTTTTAAGCTAACAACATTCTTTATTTTTTTCATTCAGTGCTTTGTATGCTTTGAACCAAAGAAGCTGCTGCATCTGGACTTCATCAATCTGGTTTTGTCTCAAAACGTTAGTTTCAGTTTCCTTTAACTTTGAAATGAAATCATATTTTTAGCAGTAGAGGCGGATGTGGAGCTCTCTTCTCCAACATCAAAAGCACAAGTCCCCTTTGGCATTTGCGTGCGTCCTTTAGGCGTGTTGCGTGGGTTTTAGTTTCGTGGAGGAATGTTCCGGCAATGTCCAGAGGAATACCATGCATCTGTGCGAAAGAATTGCGACAATGTGCGAACGTTCCGTCAGATGTTCGGGGGAATGTTCTAGCATTTGCTTCGGCATCTGTAGGAGTTCTTCTGGCATTTGTTTGGAGTCTGGCTTTGTTGGAGTTCTAACGGCTGTTGTATGATATTCTTCTGGCAGTGTTTGGAGTTCTTCATCTGTTTATGTGGGGGAATGTTCCGGCTAATGTGCGGGGGAATAACCCAGCAACTGTGCGAAAGAATTGCGACAATGTGCGAACGTTCCGTCAGATGTCGGGGGAATGTTCTAGCATTTGCTTCGGCGTCTGTAGGAGTTCTTCTGGCATTTGTTTGGAGTTTGGCTTTGTTGGAGTTCTAACGGCTGTTGTATGGAATTCTCCTGGCAACTGTTTGGAGTTCTTCCTTCTGTGTGGGGTTCTGTCTGGCATTTGCGGCGTCTGGCTGGCATTTTCGGGACTTGTTGCTTCTATGGTACTTTGATAACTGCTCATCAGTTTTATGGTTAGTTTATAACTTTGCCTAAACAAACTCATTTAACTTATTTAGTGCCATGCCTCTAAGAATTGTCCAGCAGCAACAAACAAAAAGAAGAAGAACAGACAAAAAAATCAACAAAAAGAAGAACAAACAAAAAATCAACAAAAAGAAGAACAGACAAAAAATCAAAAAAGAAGAACAAACAAAAAATCAACAAAGAAGAACAAGCAAAAAATCAACAAAGAAGAACAACAAAGAAAGAAGCAAAAAGATCATCAAAGCACTTTGGACGTCCATGGAATCTTTTTAAAAATTAAAAGGTTTGTCTTTTGCCTTTTTTTACACCAGCAAGTTTTGTCCGCACATAATCCCTGAGTTAATCTGTTATCAATCCCCTTTTCCAAATTCGATTAGAAAGTGTGTTTAGCAATTTTCTGGTAAAGGGAAGGGGTTTTAAATATTTTTAGAGCTTTTAGTATGGATCTTGAAAGATGACAGAACCAGTTCCATCATCTAGAAAGCTTGGAAGGAAACCAAAATGGTATTTTGCGGACGTTGAGCTCTCGTGGCTTCTATCTAGAATGTCAATGGATTCGGCTGCTGAACTTAAATATAGAAGACAAGCTGAAGAATTTATTCAGGTTTTTCTTTTTTTTCTGGCTGAAATGAGATTTTGTTTTTTTTAGGAAATGGTTGAACGGTTGAATCACAACATTTTACATCACAGAGGACAGCTGGCAAAGTGCATCGCTTCAACAAGAAGACAATTGCTTGGTTGCATTTATTTGGCTTGTAGATGTGCAGATTATGAAGTGTGAAAGGTCTTTAATTATTTTACGGGGCTTTTGAGTTTAATGTTTAGAAATCATCCCCCAAATTCAAAGTTCACATTTGTATATAGAGAAAAATTTTGGAGCTACATATAAGATCATTTGGTTAAGTTGGTAGCGTTGTTGGTTATATGAGAATAGGTCGCGGGTTCAATACTCTCCGTGTGTTTTCTTTTTTATTTTTCACCGAATAATCATTTTCTTTTAGATTTGAGGCCAATTGATGACGGCAACCCTTTGGGCAATTTTTTATATTGCTTTGGATACAACACATGCTCTTGAAACTCTGGCTTGAAAGGTTATTTAATGATTTTAAGAATTCTTTTAAAACATTTTTTAAACATGTTCAACTCGGATCAACACACTCCTTGGTTGGACGTTCCTGGCCGAGGCAGACAAAAACTGGCAGCTTTTGGCTGTGAATTTTTGAGAAGGGAAGGAGGCGTGATTGAGACAATGGTATTTTATTTATTTTTAGTTGAGGGGTTTTTTGAGTGGATTTCTGAACGATTTTAGGATTTGTAATTATTGATACAATTTTGAATTTATCAGTTTTTTCTTTTCGTTGTCCCAACATCGTCTAAATTCCTCGGAAGCATATTTGTATTCCCCAAAGAACATTTGAGACCTTGTTCTATTTATAACAGACTGTTTTCATTGAACTTGTCCCCCAAATCTACCCATTGTATCAAAAATTTACGGAGATTTTGAGCTTGAGATAAGGTCCAAAATCACGCAAAATGCTTTTTTTCTTTCAGACTTGAACAATTCCCAGCAACAACAATAAGAAGAACAACGACAAGATGGGCATTTAATGGATTTCAAGCCAATTGGTGCTTCTACAACAATCTTTTTTTAATTTTTTGGTTTTTATTTTTGTTGTATAAAATGTCTTGGCTTTGTTTTTGTTGTGTCTTATAAAAACTTATTGAGGACTCAACAGGAACTTGTATGTTCCGTAATTAACAAACGAGTAAATGAGTCCCTGTTGTTTAGAGAAAGTGTAAAGAAGAAATAGTGTAGTTGGAGAAAAAATAATTATTATGGTCAGTTCGGTGCTCATTTTGAGAGCGAAATTGCAGAAATGAAAACCCGATTTTTTGAAAATTTAGAATTTTTAAAAAATAAATTATCGATTTTATCGATTAGTATCGATTTTTTGAAAATTTAGAATTTTTAAAAAATAAATTATCGATTAGTATCGATTTTATCGATTAGTATCGATTTTTTGAAAATTTAGAATTTTTAAAAAATAAATTATCGATTAGTATCGATTTTATCGATTAGTATCGATTTTTTGAAAATTTAGAATTTTTAAAAAATAAATTATCGATTTTATCGATTAGTATCGATTTTTTGAAAATTTAGAATTTTTAAAAAATAAATTATCGATTAGTATCGATTTTATCGATTAGTATCGATTTTTTGAAAATTTAGAATTTTTAAAAAATAAATTATCGATTAGTATCGATTTTATCGATTAGTATCGATTTTTTGAAAATTTAGAATTTTTAAAAAATAAATTATCGATTTTATCGATTAGTATCGATTTTTTGAAAATTTAGAATTTTTAAAAAATAAATTATCGATTAGTATCGATTTTATCGATTAGTATCGATTTTTTGAAAATTTAGAATTTTTAAAAAATAAATTATCGATTTTATCGATTAGTATCGATTTTTTGAAAATTTAGAATTTTTAAAAAATAAATTATCGATTTTATCGATTAGTATCGATTTTTTGAAAATTTAGAATTTTTGAAAAATAAATTATCGATTAGTATTGATTTTATCGATTAGTATCGATTTTTTGAAAATTTAGAATTTTTGAAAAATAAATTATCGATTAGTATTGATTTTATCGATTAGTATCGATTTTTTGAAAATTTAGAATTTTTAAGAATTTCCCTCATCACACTCAGTTGCCGCACCCAAACGTCCTGTTTAATTTCTTCAATTTTCAGCCGCCAGACTCAACTGTCCGTTACTCAATAGAGCTAGGAACGGGTCCGGGACCCGGACCCGTTTCCCGGTTTCCGGGTCCCTTTTCCCGGTTTTTTTTGAAGCAACCGGGTTGAAACCGGGAACGGGTTTTCCCGGTTTCCCGGACCCGGTTCCCGCCCGGTCCATTTTTCAAAACCCGTTACCCGGACCCGGTCCCGGCTTTTTTTTCACCGGGAAACCGGGAAAAATATTTAGTGTATTTGCGTACTTTGATATTAAATTTTTGAAGGAAAAGGGAAAGGAATATTTATAATTTCTCCATTTTGCTTTTGTTGGTCGATGGTTGAGTGGTTAAGTTGACTGACTTCACTCATCTAGTTATTTTGATAGGGATTGGGTTCGAGTCCATGTATGGAAATGGGGCTGAGAAATTTTCTTTTCAAAAATAAATAATTTTAAACTTTGATTTCAAATTTGAAAATTTTTTTACTGTTTTAATTTTGAAAAAATATTAGAAATTTCAATTAAATCATGAATTTTCCAAAATTTTCGCTGTGGCGCAGAAAATTTAAGAGTTTGGCTTCATTACATCTAAACTTCGAAAAATTTTTTCGCCGGCAGCTCTGACAATTGAATTCTTTTCTGCTAAGGCCTATCAAAATTCTCAAAATTTTTGCCTACGGCGCAAAAAATGGCGCAAAGAATTTTTAGTTCAATAAGATTAAAAAGAATTAAAAGGGATATCTAAGGATTCTGAAGGAACTAACACATAACAACCACTCGGCCAACATATAAGGGCTTTAGAAAGAATTTAAACATATGTAGTACATATTTCTTTGAATTTTTTCATTAATCCCAAGTACGAAAGAACAAAAGGCAGCAGTCGATGAACGTATTTTTCAGAAAAGGGAATTTGATCTTGAGTTAAATAATCGTGAATGGCATTCACTTACATTAATAGAGGTTATTTAGAATAAGTATAGGAGGATAGATGAAAAATACAGCCCTATGTGGAAAAATAGACCTCCATTTCAACAAATTAAAAATTTCCCGGTTTCCCGGCCGGGACCCGGTCATTTTTGACCGGGTTGAAACCGGGAACGGGTTTTCCCGGTTTCCCGGACCCGGTTCCCGCCCGGTCCATTTTTCAGAACCCGTTTCCCGGACCCGGTCCCGGTTTTTTCAAAATTCCTAGCTCTATTACTCAACTTAATTAATTTTTGGGATAAACTGTCATTTATTTGGCGTATTAGACATTACACCAAATTTTGGCAAATTTTTAAATTGAATAAAATTATAAATTACCCACAAAAGTATAACTTTTTTCTCGTGAAATTTTTTTTGTGATTAAAAAACTGGAAATGAAAATTAAAAATAATTATCAACTGAAATATGTGCTCTGCAAAAATTAAAATAAAAATTTTTTTTATTTTTTTTCTATAAAAATTTAATTAAAAATTAGTTTCTCTTCTCATTTCCCTCTATTATTTAAATTGGAGTAAAAGTTCTAAAAGCCAAAAAATCTTCACTTTTTTCGTCAATTTTTGCTTCAAAAATTTGTGGTATAAACAAAATATCCCCTTTAACTATTTCTTCTTTTTTGTCATCTTTTTCTAAAATTAATAGAGCTTTGCCTGATATAATTATCATTATTGAAGCAGCTTGGATTGATTGAAGGATTGAAATGTTTTGCTTTAAAAAAATTATTTTTTAATGAAAAATTTTTTAAATTTAAAACTCTAAAATTATAAAATGACAACAATAGTGCCCCCAAATTTTTTTAATCGTCGCGGAACGAAATTAAGAGAAGAAAAAAATTTGGAGAAAAATTCGAGAAATTAGGCGAGAATTTAAGTAGACTTTTGCAGACCCTATTACTCTAGCATGTGGTTCCTAGTAGAGATCGAAATTTTTGAAAAGCCTGGACCTGTCCCTAGACTCTGAAGTTTGATTTATTGACCTGGACTGGATTCTGGGCCTGTAGTCCAGGAAAACCCAGGCCTAGGAAAACTCCAGGAAGATCAAAAAATGCCTGACCTGAATTTTGGGTACAGGAAAAACCCAGGCCTTGGTCCAGGTACAGCTTGATCTCTAGTTCCTAGGACTTAGAGGACAAAGGGACCTGAAACCCAATAAACCCCCCCCCCCAATTTCCTAGTCTTTCTCAAAAAGTAATTTTTTAATCAAAAAAACCTCCCTTACATCCAATTTATGTACCACAAATTCTTCTACTGGTGGTGAATATTCAACAATTCCATTTTCAAGTTTTTTAGGTTCAAAAATTGGAGGACCACTCATTTTATAAGTTAAATTTTCACACAGAGTTTGTACATCTTTAAATTTTGGAGTTAAACCTGCACGGATAGTGTTGTCGGAAAGAGCCATACATTCAACACAATCTGGAGAAAATAAATTAAATTAAAGAATAGAAAATTTTTTTTAATAAAAATTATCATTTTTGGATACCCCATTCGGGCTAAAAAATCATAATATTTTATTCTGAAGAAAAAATTTAATTGAAGAGAAGGTATTTCGGAGGCGCTTTCCTCTTCTTACACCCAAAAAATAAACAAAAAATTAAAAAAAATTTTTTTTTGATAAAAATTTCTATTTTGGAACTCATTTTTGGATACCCCCATTTGGGCTGAAAAATCATATTATGTTATTCTGAAGAAAAAAATAAATTGAAGGGAAAGGTATTTCTGAGGCGCTCTCCTCTGCTTGCACCCCAAAAATCATTCGAAAATTAAAAAAAAATTTTTAAGAGATAATTACTGTCGGACCTAATTTTTGGATACTCCATTTGCGCTGAAAAAACTCATAATATTTATTCTGAAAAAAATTAAATTGAAGGGAAGGGAAGGTATTTCTGAGGCGGTCTCCTCACCTTTCACCCAAAAAATCCAACCAAAAATTTAAAAAAAAATTTTAATTGGAGGATGTATTTAATTTTTCGGATCTATCTAAAAATGAGGTTTACGAATAAATTTTTAATTATTCCAAAAAAATATTTAAAAAAAACCTCCAAACAAATAAGCATGTGGTTCATTCGGCCCCAAAAATGTTGCTTCTCCAGGTTTCAAAGTAAAAAAATTTAAAAATAGAGGAGCTATAATTCCAATATCTTCAGGGAATTGATTGTTTAAACGAATTATTAAATTGTCAATATTTGATTTTTCTTCCTCTAAAAATATTTTTTAAATAATTTTTTGTCAAGTTTTTGCAGAAAATCCGCAATTATTTTATTTATTAAATAATTAGGAAATTTTGATTAAAAAAAATAAAAATCAGAATTTCATAAAAACATTGTTCGAATAAAATTCTGGTTTGTATTAAAACATTAAAAACACTCAAAAACATGTTGTAATAAAAAATCAGAATTTTTTGTATTTTGTTTAGAAGAAAATACAAAAATTCTGAAAAATTAATTAAAACCAGAATTTTATTCAAACAAAGTTTTTATAAAATTCTGATTTTTTCTATTTAAATCAGAATTTATTTTTTATTATTAAATAAGCTATTAATTTGCGGATTTTCTGCAAAACTTGATAAAAAAATTAATTTTTTAAAATTTTTAAAAAATTCAAAAAAATTTTAAAAATACAAAACCAACTTTTAGAAATACGTTCAAGTATTTTATTTAAAATTTGTTTAATTTTCTCTTCTGGAGCTGTCCATATTTTTGTAAAAATAATTTTTAATAAATTTTTGCATTTTTCCTCCTCATTTTTAATTGAAAATTTTTTCATTTCTTCTTCCCCAATAATTTCTTCAATTTCTTTATTTAATTTTATATTAGACAAAATTTCTTCAGACTTTCTAAATCCACACAATAATTCAAAATCTGTTAAAGCAATAGCCATTTCTGGTTTGTGATTGTCATCTGGATAATTTTTTGGGTCTTTGGAATGTAAATATATTGCTTGTTCCTTTAAAAAAAAATTTTTTATTTGGTTAAAAAAATTAAAAAAAATTTTTTTAGTAAAAGAACACCTAAAAGGAAACTTAATTTGAAGAAAAAGACACACTAAAAATTATTTGAGCCCAAGAGGATTCGAACCTTTACCATTAAATTGGCGAGGTGGAAACCTTATCCGCTAGACCACATTGCTCTTAAGAGAAATAAATTTAAAATTAGTTTTGTGCTAAAGGGAATAATGAGAAAATATTTTTTAGACCCAATTTTACAGAAAATCATTAAAAAAATTTTTTCTCAGAAAAATAATTCCCTAAAAATTTTTTAATGACTTATCTAACACCCAAAAACATTTTTAAAAAACCTTTGTAGGGTGTGATTGTACAGACAACGAACTTCCCACAGAAAGCACTTTAAAAAGAAAATTCAGCCCCTTCTTCTCATGTTCTCCAAGTACTTTTGGATTTTTCTCAAAATATTCAGATAACAAAATTCCTTCATTTTTAATTTTGGAAGGCCCATTTTTGTGTGTACCCATCCAAAGCTTTCAAAAAAATTTTTTTTTAATTTTTTAAAAATTCAAAAAAAAACCTCAGCATAACTTTCCTCTTCTTCTACTTTAATTAGTCCACTTAATTGAGCTACAAGTCCATTTAATCCTTTCTTGCCCCATTTGTATTTTTGTATTGCACATTCTAGTCTTTGCATTTTTAATATTAAGAAAATAAAATTTTTTTCTTAAAAAATTAAAAAAAAATTTTTTTTTTAATCAAAAATATTTAAAATAAAATTGAGGGGAAGGAGAAAAAGACCATTTTTAAAGTAAAACGTGGATTATTTCATAATTTTATTTTTTAAATTTACTAAAATAATATGGATGTTTTAAAACGTGGAATTTTTTTAAATTTACAAAAAAATTATTTTTTTTTCGATGACACGATTATTTTCTTTTTAAAAAATTCAAAATAAAACGAAATTGTTTTACATATTTTATCCAAAAATTCTTTTTTTTTTATTTTTAACAAACAAAGGAAAAAAATATTTAACAGAAGGAAAACATTTTAAATAAATTTTAAAATAAAAAAAATTTTTATTTGGATAGAGAAAAGAAAGACAATTAATTATATAAAAATAATTAATAGAATAATAGGGTTGCACTTTAAAAAAAAAGTAAAAATTATTTTTTAAATTTAAATATTTAATATTAGGCATTTTTAGAAACAAAAATTTAAAACAAAAAATTTATTATTATTAAGGTATTTTTTGTTGTATTATTAATTTAGGTTAAATCCAAAAAAAATTTCAAAAAAAAATTTTTTTAATTAATTATTGGGGAAAGGATGGTCACATTTACTATGCTAAACAGTAGTTTTCGTTGGAAGTTCCGGTTCCGGTAGGCCGGAAGTTCCGAGAATTTTTTGGTTTCGGTTCCGGTGAACCACTACTAAACACAGGCATTCTTAAATCCAATTATAATTTTTTTAAATTAGAAAAAAATTTCGTAATTCGTTCTAGGCAAATTTTAAAATTCTTAAAAATAAATACAACAAAAATCCACACCCTTCCAATAATAAATTTAAAAAACAAAATTATTATTTTATTTTTGATTCGTTGATCACAGATTTTTCTCAAAAAAAGGCTTTTTTCTCTAATTTAACTTTAACTAAATTTTTTTTTTAATTTTTAAATAAATTATTTCACATCGACTCAGCCGAAGCTATTATTTTTTCTTCTCTACCAGCAACAATATGTTGACTACTTATAGCTCTAACCGAATTTAATTCTTGCCTTAAAGCAGCATTTTGCCTTGTTAATTCGGCAATTTGACAACGTTGTGCCTCTATTAGCTAATTTAAAGAAAAAAATTTTTTTAATTGAAAAAAATTTTTAAAAATATAAAAACAAAAAAAATTTCTTTTTTTTTAAATTTTTGAAAAAAAAATTTTTTTTTAATTGAAAAAAAAATTTAATTTTTCTTTAAAAATTAAAAAAAAATTTTTTTAATTAAAAAAATTTTTTAATAATTTTTTTAAATTTTTAGAAAATTAAAAAAAAATTTTTTTCCTTCCCCTCACCTCCAATTCAGCAGCCAACAAGTTTGGTATTGTTGTTTGATGTTGAGAAGCTTGTTGTTGAGAAACATGTTGTTGTTGGGAAGCCACTTGTTGTTGGGAAGGTAATAAAATTTGTTGTTTTGACCATGGAATGTTCGAATTAATTTCTGATGTTGAAGAAATTAATTTGTTTTTATTATTATTTTCTGACCAATAAATTTCTGAACATGTTGGGAATTTTTGGGGAAATTTTCTTTGATAATCCTCTTTTTCTTCTTCTAATTTTTTTGGAGAAATTTTTTGTGGGGAAGAAGATGAATGTAATGGATAACGAACAAAGGCTGTTAATGGATCTGTTGGGTTTGAACCAATAAAAGCTGAACGAGGTTGTGGTGGTTGTTGTTGTTGTAAGTGACCAGAAGAAGACGCGGGGATTGACCAACAACTTGGGTTTGTTCTGAAAAATATAAACATGGAGAGAAAACATGTTCAGAAGAATGTTTGGGAAACAAAAACATTTAAAACAATATTAAAACAACTAAAAACTTAATAAAAACATCTGATAAAAACGTTAAACATTAAATATAAACAAAACATGCGCATAAACATTTCTTAACATTTAAAAACATTAATAAACAAAACATAGTTCAGAAAACATGTTAAAACATGCAAAAACATAAAACAAAACATATTAAAATTATCAGAAAAACATCAACATCAAAAACAAACTTAACAAACAAAACAAACTAGATCAAACAAACATGCAATAAAACATGTTTTTCTAAACATTTTACGCGTAACTAAACATTAATTTTAATTGAAATAAAAACATGCCTGGGTTTAGGTAAATGTTGTTGTTGTTGTTGTTGTAATTCTGTTCTGGTTTGTTGTTCTGATTTGCCAGCATTTAATTCTTCCAACAAATGCATTGCTGCATTTTCTGCACTCTTTCTTAATTTATTATTAAACAAGTGTTGTTGTTGTTTCTGTTGATTTGTTGGTGAAAGAGAAGAATATGCTGAGGATGCAGAAGAGGATGAAGAACTTTGGCAAGAATTATTAGAAGATATTATATTTGAAGAAAAAACATTTTTTGAAATTTTTGGAGGATTTTTTAAAAGAATTTTTGGTGATTGAATTAAATTACTGATTATTGATGTTGTTTGTTGTTGGGATGGTGGTGGTGGGGAACTTTCTGTTGTGTTTGTAGGGGAAGAAGAGTTTGAATAACTTGAAAAAAATTTTTGATTTTTAAAATTTTTTTGCTAAATTTAAAAAAATTTTCAAAAAAATTTTCAAAAAAAAATTTTCAAAAAAATTTTTTAAAAAATTTTCAAAAGATTTAGAAAAATTTCTAAAAATTTTTCTAAAAAATTTCTAAAAAATTTTCAAAAATTTCAAAAAAAATTTCAAAAAAATTTCAAAAAAATTTTTAAAAATTTTTCAAAAAATTTTTTTTTGAATTTTTTCTTAAAAATCAACAACAAAATTAACAAACAAACACACACCTACTACTATTTAATTGACTTTGATATCCAGAAGAGGGAGGTATTATCATTTGATTAATACCACCAATATTCTTTTTTCGATTATTACTTCCAACAGAGGCTGAAGAAGAATCAAAATTATTAATTGACTCATTAAAAATGCCATAATGTTGTTGTTGTTGTTGTTCTCCACTAGAACAATTTCTAACATGTGAAATTATTGAAGAATTTGTATATCCATTGGCTGAAGGGGGACGGCGTCTTCTATTTGGAGGTGGACGTCTTTGATTAAACTAAAAAATATCAAAATTTTTAAGAAAAAAATCCAGTTTTGATGCCAAATCTGTTTAATACCCTAAGAACTAGTGTCCGGGGCCGGACCGGATCCGATCGGATTTGCCCGGAGTCCAGGTCCCAAATCCAGGTCTTTACCAATCTCCAGATTAAAACCGGACCGGATTAATCCGGAGAAATCCCGGAGCCGGTCCGGTCAAGTTGCAAATCCGGAATCCAAATCCGGAAAATCGATTTTGCCGGGCTAGAGTCCGAAATAGCATAAAAAGACCATTAGAGTCTTGACATAAATCAAAAAAAAGTCCATTAGAATCTTACTCACCTCTTCATTTTCCTCCACAATTTCTTGTACTCTCCCATCCTCTTCAGATTCACTTTCATCATCAGCTTCATCATCCATTGCCCTAAAAGCGTTCCTTTGAATTACACGTGGAGTACACAATTCTCCTCTACGTTGAGTTGCTTCATGGCTAGCAACACCTCTATGTGCAATAACTACACCAGCATTTAAAGCTCTACTAGCAGATGGTGGAGGTAAGATTGTCTTTAAATTTTATTTTTAATTTTTTGAAAAATTATATGTAGAAGGAAAGAAGAGGAGGAAAGATTATGGATAGATTATAGAGGTTATCGGCTTTTTTAAAAAAGCCCAAGGTATCCGAAATAGAGTTGTCGGTTCTGAACCGAACCGAAGAACCGAGGATTTTTTGGATCAGTTTAGGATATCCAAAAATTTCCAGGAACCGACAACCCTAATCCGGAACAATCGGCCTTAATAAGGACCTCGAAAAATAAATCCTAGGAACTAGGAAAACTAAAAAATAGACATTCAATTAAGGAAATATTAAAAAATCATTAAAAAATATTTTCTTGATTAATTGCCCTCCTCGGTTAATTACTCCCCCTTTCCAACAAGACATTGAAACACTTAATTGCCCAGGTAATTTTAAAATAATCCAAGATTTGATTGCTCCCATATCAATGATCAGTCCGGTCCGCTGAAGATGCTGGTTCACTCCCAGCCACCGATTAACCTTTCGCACTAGCTAAAGGAGAGAAATAGCCCAGCTGCTTTACTCTTTAAAAAAAAAATTTTTCCTCACCAAATTAGAATCTGTTGGAACTTCATCATATAAATGTTGTTGCTGTTGTTGTTGTAAATTATCTACTACTACCCCTCTTCTATTACTAGTTTCATCATATAAATGTATACAACTTGAATTATTTGAATTCCAACATTGTTGTTTTGTTGGAGGATTTAATGGTTTTGTTGTTGTTCTAAGTTTTGATAATGCTGAACTTAAAACATAATCATCTGAAGTATTTAAATGGTGAACTGCTGCTGTTGAAACATAAGAAGAAGAATTGTTGTTGTTTGGGGAAAATGAAAAACGGGTTTTTTGTTCCTGAAAAAAATATCCAAATTTAATTAAAGCCAGTGAATAAATGTTTAAAAATTTATTTTGAAATTTTAAAAAATTTTTAAAAATTTGGTAATTGGTAATTGAAAAAAATTGATAATTTTTTTCCACCTTTTTGGAGGCGGGATAATTGGGAAATAGTTGGGATAAGATATCTTCATCCTTCTCCTCAATCCAAAGAGTCTCAATCCTTTTGAAAATTTTTATAGGTGGGATAACTGGGAAATAGATGGGATAAGTTGAGATAACTTGGATGATAAGAGAAATTGAGATGGAATAGGATGAAAGATTCCTGGGAAGATGGAAGGTTCCTAAGCGATTGAGATACGAGAGGAACTAAACGAATTTAAAATTTAGGTAAGCTGACACTGTGAAGATAAAAAGATGAAGATAACACCAAATATCAAAAAAATTCTTTCGAAAAATTTCTTACCGAAAACGGAGAATTTGGAACAGGAGGAGCACTAATAGGTTGACATCCTTCACCTCCTCCACCATATAAATTGCCTCTATTATATTTATTTTCAGAAGGGATTTCAATAGGTTGAGGTATCATAACTGTCCTTCTAGCCATTGGAATAGGCGGTGGTTGTCTCCACAAACTTTCTGGGACCTTTGTTGTTGTAGTAGTTATAACTGTATTATTATTTTCATAATCAGAAGGGGGATTTCCAGGGCTATGTCCTTCTATAGTTGATGTCATTCCTCCTTCATTATCCTCTTTAAAAAATTTTTTTCCTTCTTCGTTACCCTCCTCATCCTCTTCTCCTCCCTCTTTATCACAACAATTATTTCCCCAATTACTTATTGTCATTAATGCATTCCACAATTGTTTTATTGCTATTAATGTTGTTGTTGTATTACTATTTTTATTTAAATTCAAATTTTCTTTTCGTTGTTCCATCAATTGATCACAATGTTCCCTCATATAGCTAGCAAGTAAGCTCAATTCCTTTCCCAGGTCTATAGTACAATCAACCATACTATCATGAGCTTCACATGCTTGGCAATAACGGGCACATGGTGCTGATATTTGGCGTAAAAAGTGTTGCTAAAAAATTAAAAATTTTCTTTTAAAGTCAGTACTTGAAGTAACCCCGACCCCGCTCCCGAACGATTTTTTTCACAATTATCTCCGACCCAAACCCCAACCATATTTTGCGCCTCCGACCCGAACCCAGACCCGAAACAATTTGGAAACCTCGCAAACCCCCAACACACGCCCTCGAATTTTGGGTACAACCCTAAAATTTTTTCAAGTAAAAAACCCTCAAGTTGCCTAGTCTACACAATATATAATTGTTTATTTTACCATATTTCTCCATTCCCTTTCAACAAAATTATTCATAAATTCCATATAACCCTCCTTGCCACCAAATCGAGTAAAATTAGCTAGAGTTTGTAATGATTTGGCTATTAATGTTAAATTTCTTGCTGCTTGTCCAGTTGGATATTCATTTACTAATCCAAAGAGGGAAGGTGATAGAATTGCTGGACAGAGAAATCGAAGAAAAATGGAAGAGGAAAGTACTGAAATAGAAAAATATATTTTTTAATTAGAAGAAAAGATCTTTTGATTTTAATGAACCCTTAAGAACCCGAATTTTAGATACCCCTAAGTTGCTGCTGAAAAAATCGTGTACAATCATGAGAAGCACCCTAAAAAGGAGGTATTGGTTAGGGTGCTTCACCTTTCCTCAAATAAACAATGTATATTTTAAATTGAGGTGTAACTAATTTTGGAGGGGTATCTAAACTGAGACTAACAGAAAATTCGGAAAGATAGTCAAGGAGAACGTACGTTAAAAATTTTTACATTCCCTCCCTTTCTCTCTCAAAAAAATTTTCTCTCCGACTTAAAATTATATTTAAAATACTTTTCCTATGCATACAATTGTCTGTCAATTCAGCTCGTCCAGCTTGTTCTAAACGATGTCTAAGTCCAGAAAATAAAAGTCTTAAAGGATAGGGGAATAAATGTTGACATGCAAGAATTCTTCTCCAAGCAGTTTCAACTTGTCTAGTTAATTGTTGTCTACTTTTTTCTAATTGGGAAGAAATGCTGCTACCAGAACCTGATGAAGATGAACCGGAAGAAGAAGCATTTCCATTACATAAACGAAGAGGGTCAACCTCACAACTTAAATCGCTGCTAAGTAGTTGTCTAATAAAGTCGCCTAGAGCCATCTTAAAATTAAAAAGAAAATCATTTGGTGGAAAAAGAAAGGAGACAGAAAGCCTCCCCCCTCCCCCGTCCTCCCCAAATTTCACTATAAAAGCAGTCTTAAAATCCTCAAATTTATCACCCGGCTACAACAAAGTCGCGCGTTTGCTATTTCAACTCTACTTGGTCTGCACTGTTCTCTCATCATCATCATCACCAGCTTCCGGATGGGCTCAAAAGTACGTTTCCCTATCTTTTTTAATCCTCAAAAACATTTTTTCCCTCCCATTTTTTAGTCTAAAGTCAGCGGTCGCTCAAGTAAGAAGGCATCGAGAAGCCACAACTCCAACAATACGTCGTCATCGTCAGAGTCGCCGCCAGTAACAATTTGGCCTCCACCGCGCTTGCAGTGTGTTCGCTCTTCTACTGGTGGAAACATAAGCGATAGGACTAGCTGCTCTAGTGCAGGCAAACGCTCGGGAGTTGCAAGGCTTTCGTTCACCTTTGAGGAGGTGAGAAAATTTGCTTAAAGCCTGCTTTAAAAAGATTTTTTCTCCCTTTTTTTAGGAGCCAGGACCAAGCTGTTCGTCAAAGCCGACTTGTAGCCGCAGTGTGGACAACTACAAGAAAAGTCACAAGCCATTGCCACCTGGAGTTCATCGAGTGGAGCTGTTCGGTCACTTCACTAAAGTCGCGCTTGAAGGCCATATTCTTTGGGAGGACTGTAAATGCGTGGAGAATAAGGCTAGGACGAGCAACACCACCAACAACATCAACGATGACGACAATCAAGAATGAAGAGAAAGAATAAAAGAGGAAATTGAAGGACAAAACAGAAAATAAAAGGATGCTGACAGAAAATATAAATAAAAACTTGATGATGATAAATAAATAAATTCACATTCCTTGATATTGTATATATGTATATAAATGTAATTGTTGTAATTTTTGTGTTGTAATATATCTATGCTTATGTAAATAAATGTTGTATTTCTATTCCAACATTAATATATGTATTGTTGTTTAACCCCTATGTTTTTGTGTAAATAAACTTGTTTGTAAAAATGTTTGGAAAAATGTTGGTAAAAATGTTTGGAAAAAGGTTGGTAAAAATGTTGCAAAGTTTGTTTTATGTTTGTTCGCCTAGTTTTGTTTAGACAAGTTTTGTTTTTATAGGGAGATAAGAAAAGTTGAAACTTGAGTGAAATACAAACATGAAAAACAGAACAGAAAAACATTGAAAAATGTTTTAGTAGTCAAGTAGGAAATGTTGCAACATAGGAGGAGCAAACATGAAGCAAGTTAGGAGAGAGAGACAATGGAAAATTAACTCGCCCCAAAAATAAATTTTAAAAAATCAAAAAAAAATAAAAAAAAAAAATTTTTTTTATAAAATAAAAACCACACCTGTAAATAATCGGTTGCCACAAGTCTAAAAAATTAAAAAAAATTTAATCCAAAAATATTTTTTATTTCTCACTTCATATATGCTTCAACAGCTTTAGTTGCAAGTGAATTTCCTCTAAACAAAAGATGATCTAAAAAAATTAAAAAAATTATTTTCAAGTCAAAATCCTTTCTCTCAATTTTTTCTTACCATTTTCTTGTGTCAAAACTTCAGCCATTACCAATTCAGCCAAAGCTTCAGGTGCATTCCTCTCTATATGAAGTATTTTTACTAAAGAATTGGCAAAGTCTTCCTTTGCTTTAACACCCAAAATAGGTTCAAATGCTGTACATAATGGAAGAAAATATGTGTGGAGAGACTTGAAAAAATTTTTTTAATTAAAAAAATTTCTAAAAATTTGGGAACCTTTCTAAAAGGCAAATAAGCATTTAAAGGTAATATTTGGACAGATTGATATCTTGCTTTCAAACGTAAAGAAGGTTGGGAATCTGTAGATGATGAAGATGTTTGTGAAGGTTCTCCAGACGATATTAAATACCTGAAAAAATAAAAAAAAATTTGTGAAATTTTTTGAAAATTTTTAGAAATTTTTTTAAGTTCAAAAAAATTTTTTCGAGTCCCCAAAATTTATTTTAGCAAAAAAAATTAATTATTAATTTTTTTTATTTTCTACTAGTTGTCCAATCCTTTGTAAAATCACTCCTCTATTCTTTTTTTATTACTCAAAAATAATTTTTTCAGTTAAATATAAATCATTTGATTTTTTTGTTATCCACTCTTTGTCTTTTATAAAAACAATGAAAAATAGTCTTTCACAAAATAAAAGTTTATAATAAGAGGATAATCTCTTTTTTCTATTTTTAGTAATAAAAAATATATAGCGGGAAATGACAAAGGATTAAAAATAGAAAAAAAACTAAATTGTGACTCTAGGTAAATTTTTGGATCCAGTAAAAAATCCAGAACGATCAAAATATGCCTGGATCTTGACTCTGGATACAGGAGAAATTCAGACTGGATCCAGATACAAATCGAGCTCTAGTGAGGCCAGAGTGTATTAAATTGTCAAAGGTTAATTTAATATTTGAGGACCTTTAACAGAGGGCACCTCAAAGTTTAAGGCACCTCAAAGTAAATATAAAATTTAATTTAAGAATTTTAAAAAATCACCCCCCCCCCCCCCCTCCTTACCATTTTTCAATAGGTTGTTTACCCAACGGCTCTGTTACCCCGACAAACCCCTATCCACTACAATCTCAACCCCGAGGGTAAAGCTCCTCAAAGTCACCTTATTATACGATCCAAAATTTAAATCTTCACTCCTTACCATTTTTCAATAGGTTGTTTACCAACAAGTTGAGATAATGGAATTCTAACTAGACCAACTAAACAATGTAATTCTTCATGTGAAGATTTTCCATTACCTCCACCACCTCTTCTCTTCTTTCCTCCATTATTAATTAACATTTCTGGTTCCCTCATTAAATCTATACATAATTGTTGACTATTAAAAGGAAGTTTTTGAAAATCAAAATTTTCTCCCCAAAAACAAATTCCTTCCGATAAACTTTTTGATGATGTTTTTGCTTTAATTATATTATCCAAAGAAATTTCACAAAAAAATTTTCGTTTTGGAGGGATCCCTTTAGCTTCTAATATCCAAATTGATAAACTATTTTCTATACGGATAGAGTTTGAGGATTGTTGAAGTTGTCTATTATTTAATTGTTGTTGTTTTTGTTGTTGTTGATATTTATGTCGGGGGAAATTATTAAGATTATTCATTGGAATTGTTGTTGTCGTTTGGAGTGTATTACTAAAATTAAAAAAAATTTTTTTTAATAAATTTAAAAAAAAATAATTTTTCTAATTAAGGATAGCCTAAAAAAATTTTTCAAGGATCGATTAAAAAGAAAATTTTTTTTTGAATTTTAATGAAATTTTTAAAAAATCAAAAAAAAATTCTGAAATTAATATTAAAATCTCGGCTTAATAATTATTTTTAAAATCAAATTTTTAAATTAAATTTACAGAAAAATACATATATTTTAAAAAATTATTTTTAAAGAAAAGAAAGAGAAAAATGAATTTTATAAATTAAGAAAAATTTTTACAAGTTGCGCGTGTTTTTCTACCATTTTTTTTTATAAAAGCGCAGCAAGTTTAATTTATAAAAATGCTTATTTCTAATAAAATAAAAAAAAAAGTTTTATTATTAAAATATTTAAATATTCTCTTTCCAACTTGAAACGCAAAACACTTCAATTTAAAAACACTCTCAAACACCCTCACCCTCTCTCCTCCCTAATTCTTTAAAAACGTTTTTAGCAACTCTCTCGCTCTCTTCAAATAAATAAAATAATTTTAAAAATAATAATTTTATCTATTCATTTCCGTTTTAACTAACCAAAAAAAATTTTTTTTAAAGCATTTGCATATATTCCCCAATGGGGGTTACAGAAAAATAATGAAGGAAAAATGCTTTTCAATAAAAATTTTCTCGAGTCTCTTTTCCTTTAAAATACCTTTTTTGGAGAAAATATATATTCTTAATTTTAAAGCAAAAATAATGTAAATATTAAGAAAAAAATAAAATTAAATATTAATGAAAATCTAGATGAAAATAAAGCCTCAAAATAAAAGAATTAAATGTCAAATAAAGTCATTTTTAAAATAAATCTAAAAGGGTTGAAATTTTCTACTATCTTATAACAAGGTAAAATTAATAAAAATTAGGTGTAATTTAAGGGTATCTCGCTTATGCAACTCCTATATTATTGTTCCTAATGGCCAATAAAATTAAAAAAAATTATTTTTGAAGGTATATTAACTCAAATTCTAGGAGTTGGGTTTGACATGGGGAATTTTTAAAATGAACAAAAAAATATTTTAATGAATTCTAAAAAGAATCAACACACTAAACGGTAAATAAGGGCTACTTAACGGTAATCTAAAAAAATAATATTCTAAAAAAATTTTTTTAACAAAATAAAAATAAAAAACACGTAAATTAAAAGAAAAATATATATTTAAGTGGTTGATTGCAAATAATTATTAGTACATGCAAACAAGTGGCCAACAACCGAAAAAAAATTTTTTTTCAGGATATATTTGTAGCTTAGAAAAATGAGCAAAGGAGAACACAACAATTTAAAGGAAAAAAGAATGATGATTAAATATAGGAAAAGGATTTTTTAGTATTTAATGAGGGGGGATAGGAAGACATAAAAAATAAAACTAAAAATCGCTGACGGATGAAGATAAATGGGGGAAGGAGCAAAAAAAAATAAAAATAGAAAAAAAATAGGAAGACATTAAGTCCTAAAATATCAGCAAAAATGTAAAATCAAAGTATAAAAAATATATCCTAAAATTATTTTAACTAGAGTATTCACGGGTTGAGAAAAAAGTCGGGTCGAATTACGGTTCTGGTCTTCGGAATTTTCTTAGGATCGGATTTCGGGTCAAAAAACACAAAAAGGAGTGTTCAATTTTTCGAAAAAAAATCAGATTGCTTTAAAAAAATTTTTTTTTGCAAAAAAGGGGGTCTGCTAAGAAACAGAGCTGTATTTTTTCAAGATTTTGGATTTTATTAAAAAATCCCAATAAATCGCTAAATTTTAGTTTGAAAAGGCAGAATTATTAAAAGAATATAATCCCACAAAAATATTATTCGCAACATTATAATGAATGATTACAAATTTTTAGCCGTTCCCTTTTTTAATTGTATATTTTTTGCCATCTGCGCTGTTCAAATTTTTAATATAAATGATCTTTATAGATTGATGGAAAAAATAAAAAAAATATTTTTCAGGTTTATACACCTGCTTACTTAAAAAACACAAAAAATTTTTAAATTAAAATTTGGGACATTCGGAAAACAACCAACAATAATAATATTCATTTAAATCCACCCATTTTTAAACAAAAAAAAATATTTTATTTTCTTGTTGATTATAAAAAACTTTTTTTCAGTGAAGATTTGCATTTTTTTTTCTAAATAAAATTTGATTTTTCACTAGGTTTTATTTAATAAAAATGATCGTGTGAGGACTAAAAAAAATTTTTTTTACTCTTTTTTTTTGTAACAATGGAAATATAAATGACCAAGATTTCTTTAAAATTCTTTCAGAGCCCAATCCTTGCCTAAATCTTTTTTAATATTAATAAAAGAATTTGCAGTCCATTAATTTTTAAAACTTGTAGAATTTTCGCGCAAAGATTTATTTTATATTTTTTTTCACCTCAATTATAATTTGCTTATTAAAAAAAATTTTTTTTCGTTTAGGGTCACGCCATTTTCGAGTTAAATAATTTTTTAATAATAATAAAGATCTTTGTGTGTGCACGGACAATTTAGTAAAAATAAATTTAAAAATCTAAATTCAGAAAAGAGGGAGACAGAAAAAAAATTAATAGAAAAATAAAAAAGAAAAATTTTTTTCCTAAAATTAGTGACAGTCAAAATAAATTTAAAGATGCGAAATAAAGAAAAAAAATATAAATACTACAAATTTGACGGATCAGAAAAAAAAATAAAAAAAGAATATGTAAGAGAAGGAAAAGTACTAAAAATAATAGTACAAATTTACAATAAACTATTCAAAATGCAAATCACTCTTTGCGCGGACTGAACTAGAGACTGTGTGGTGGTTGGTTGGGTGGTTAGTGGTTATTCATTGTTTGGTTAATTTCTAGATTAATATGCTGAGAAAGTTTTTTTTGGAAAAATTTTAAAAATAAAGAAGAAAGAAAATTATAAAAGGAGAGAAAGCTCTAATTTTGGAGTATTTTTAATACTATTCAAAACTAGTTTAGAAAGAGAAAAAAAAACTAATCTTAAAATTAAATTAAAAATTAAAAGGTCATATAAACCAAATTAGTATTTTAAAAAATAGAAAAAAATTGTGTCAAAATAGATTAAAATAAAATTTTTAAAATGAAAATATAGTCAAGCTCAATTTTAAGTAAAGACCGTTTTTTTTAAATTTGATTGGCCACTTGGTGGGATGAAAATTTTTCGGTTAGGTTCCTGACATTCAAAAATTTTCCAATAACCGACAACCCTACCCACGAATAAAAGACAAACTCAAGTAAAATTTTTTTCAACACCCAAGAGCGTAATTAAAATTGAGGTATGACCATTAAAAAAATTTTTTTAATTAAAAAAAATTCTTAAAAAATTAAAAACTAGCCTGTTATTCCAATATCCATTGCCACCACCAATATTGCTTCTATTATTATCAGAACATAAAATATTGTTTGAATCTAATGGACTAGACAAATTAGGAAATTGTTGTGGTTGTTTAGGGAAAGGTTGAAGTAACATTTTGTGTTCAGATTCTGATGGACCTTTAAAATAAAAAAATTTTTTTTTGGAATTTTTTAAAATTTCTGAATCAATTTTAGACACCTTTTTCATTTTTATTCCCTCTAAATTTTGTAAGAGTAACAAGTCGATTGAAAATTTTACAAAAAATTTGTTGAAATTTTAGAAAGAAATTGAAGTGCATTTTTAAAGGGAAATTAAATTAAATCAGTGGAAAAAAATCAGAAAATTAAAACCAGAATTTTTTAAATAAATTTTTAGTTGGTAGAAATACTTTATTTTTTTATTAATTTTTTTGAATCATTAAAAAGAACCAAAAAGCAAAAAAATAACAGTTAGGTAAGTATTATCAATAAAGTTAAACTAATATTACTTCAAAAATATTTTAGATAAAAAAAAAGCCGTTAAAGAATTTTTTAATTTTATAAAAGAATGTGTTAATAAGTGTGTGATGTCTGTGTGTATTATGCTCAATACTTTTCCCCAAAAATTTATTTTTTTTTATTTTTTTTAAAAATGACAACGTCGATTACAAAGTAGTTATCAATAAATTATTAATGTCCTACTATTTATTAATAAACTATTTTTTATTAAAATTTTTTTTCAGTCGAAATTTAAAAAAAAATTTTTTTTAGAATTTCTTAAAATTTTAAAAAATTTTTTCAGAATTTCTTTTAAAAAATTAAACGAAACCCACTTTTTTGCAGCAAAACACTGCTATTATTATTACATCCTCCAGCTTGGCTTAACAACAATAAAGATTCATATGATCTAGATGTTTTTAATTTTTCTTCTGTTGGACCAGGCAAGTATAGACTTAAGGGTTGACTTCTTTGTTGTTGTTGATCCGTTCTGTTAAAAAGATAAAAAAATTTTTTAATTAAAAAAATATTTTTAAAAAATTTAAAGTCTTAACTAAATTTTATTTTAATTTCCCATATTTTTTATTACAAAAATATCACCACTTTTACTCAAAAGTCTAAGAATAAATTTAAAATATAAATTATAAGCTAAAGACAAAATAAAAAAATTAGACATAAAAATTTTTTTTATTATTTTTAATTTTCACACATTTTTTTCCTTTTAATTTTTCATCTCAAAGTTATATCCACAATTTTTATTTATTTTTTTATTTCTCAAAAAAAATCTTTTTCCTTCCAAAAAAAATTATTTTTTAATTTTATTTCTCTCCCAAGAAAATCAACATTATTGCTAACCGACGAACAACACGAAAAACACGACGACCACGAAGAAGGCGAACATGGCTATTAGGATTTATATTATTATTTTGTTGAGGAAGCTCTGATTGAAGAGGAGAAGGGGGAGGGGAAGTTGGAGGAGGTAATAGTGGTGGGGGTATAGGGGAGGAAGGCTTTTTATTAGAATTTTTTGAAAGCTTTGAAGAAAGTGAAGATTTTGTTGGACAACCACCCCCATTATTTGGTTGAGAATGTCGACGATTAATAGCAAATTGTGCTAAGGATTGGGGAAATGGCATTTAATAATAAAATAAAATAAGGGTGAAAAATATGCTGCAAATATGTGAGTAAAAAAGATAAAAAATAAGTTAAATCTGTAAATAAATAAAAAGTAAAATATGTAGGTAATTAATATTCAAAAAAAAAAAAAATAAATTTATGTGGGAAAGAAAATATAAAAAAATTAATTTAAAAAATATAAGCCAAAAAATATAGATTTGGCATAAAATTAAAATTACATTAAAATTATTAGGTTAATTTCATTATCTACTCAATTTTAGAGGAGATAAAAAATCTTATTTATCTCCTCACTTTTTAGAGGAAAAAAATCTTTTTTACCTTCTCACTTTTTAGAGGAAATAAAAAAATCTCCTCATCGAATCTTTTCATTTTTAAATAAACATTCTTAGTGTCGAAAAAATAATAAGCGAAGCTTACAACGAAAGCTAGCTTTTAAACAGCTTTCAGACCCATTGTTCAATTAGATTATAAGGAGTTATCAATAAATTGATGGGTTATTTGAATTTTGGTAAGTAATATGCAAAAATGAGGTTCATCTATTAATTGAACTTAAAATATAAAAGACTAATAAAGGAAACAAAATAGTAGTTAAATAAATACTCTGATCCGTAATAAATTTTGTAAAAATTAAAATGTGAATATATGCTCGATTTAAAAACTTATAATGTAAGAGGTTGTTGTTATTGCCGCAATTTTTGACGGAGAGAGACCGGATAAGTCTTTAAGGGAGGGGGATATATGGGAAGGCGCGGCACATTTTCTTCTCCTTTTCGTTCAGTTTAAGAAAGGGGAAAAGAAAAGTCGCGCACAGCTGGATAAAATAAATACAGATTGATGGATAAATTTTGGGTGTTTTTGGGGTGTTATTTTTGGTTTCTTTATTTATGCAAATGGCGGTTATTATTATTATTTTTACAGAACGAATTTGTGGAAAATGAATAAATAGAGTGGAATTAATGGAAGAAATTTATATAAGGAAGAGAAAATATAAACCATAAATAGGAAGAAAGAAAAATGTTGAAAATAAATAATAATTCAATTTTACAATCAAATAAAAAAGGAAATTGCGCCTTATTATTCCCAAAACTCTCAAATTTAAAAAAAAAAATTATTTAAACTTTGTGAGTCGAATAATTTTAAAGAACGGAAGAGAAAGAAAATTTTAGAGAAGAATGAATGCCAGGGGGTCATGTCAACAAAAAATAAATTCCCGGACCCGGGATCTCCGAGAAATTACCCGTTCCCACTTTCATGAATAGGATTTTCTTTACTTCAGAAAACGTCGAAAATACTGATCTTCAGGAATCAGGAACGGCAGGATTGATGGTCATATACAACCCTATCTAACGCAGCTCAGTTCAGATTAAGTAGGATATAGAGACAATTTTGGCATGATTTGACGTACCACGCCGGACTTGTTTACATTTATTTATGTTCTGCGTTAGACAGATCTGCTCCTTTTTCAGACTAGTCTAAATAAAAAAAGAATAACCTAAAAAAGATATCCAGAACAAAAAAACATGTGAAAGACAGAACTCGCTAATAAAGAATTAAGATAAAGGCAAGCATAAGGACATAATAAAAAAATAATAATGAGAAAATAGCTTTGCGCGCAATGAAATTTTTTTAACAATAAGATCAATTTTCTTATTGTATAATTAAGCATTATATTAAATAAAAAATTATTTAAGAGAGAAAGTTGAGACAAATTTTTAAGGGTAAATAGAGAGGAAAAATGTTATTTTCTTCAATGATTTTCTTTCCATTCATCAATAATTGGAAGAAGAAAAATATTATTCTCCTTCAGTGTTCTTCCTACTACAATTGTTTTCCGTGTCACCAAAGAAAATTATATCTTCGTCCCCTTTATTTTTTCCTTCTTCCCTTCTTTCTTCCGTTCTTCTTCCCCCTTTAGTTTTTCCGTTATCTTTTCATGGGCATCCGGTCGCTTCATTAAATAAAAGCGCAAAAACAAACATTATTACAACACAAATTATAAAAAATAGAAGAAAAATGACACTAAATGATTTTGAAACAAAAAATAATTAAAAAATAATTAAAAATATAATATTGTAAGGAAAAAAGGAAGAGGAGATCCAGCTGGCTACTAAGCGGGAGATCTACAAACTATTAAAAGAGAAGGTGAAAGCATCGCCGCAATAGAGTTCAGTTGGTAAAGCACCTGAGCGAAAGTGCCAGTAGCAATGAATAACTGCTTGGAGGTTGATTCCTCAGGATGATTCCTATCTGGGGATTTTGATGGGGATTTTTCGGTAGATTTTTTAAGTTCCTGGTGGGGATCGATTCCTGTCCGGGGCTAAACCTATACTACCTCTTTCTTACTAATATGAAATAAAAATATTTTAAAATTATAATAGATTGATAAAATAAATATAGTAAAAATTAACTATAAAATATAAATGTTAAAGAAAACAGTAAAATAAAAATAAAACGTGGATTATAAACGTGGAAAATATAAAAAAATACTAAAAATTGATACAAAAATAGTAAGCTGAAAAATAAATATTTTAAATACACAAAAATTGTATAGAAAGAGAGGTAAAAAATTCAGGAGAGAAAACGGGGAGCGATGCAAAAATACGAAAAAATCTTTGATTTAACTAATCATATTATTTTTAATAAAAAATGAAATAATTCGAGACCAACCTACAAAGTCTAGAAAAAAATAAAAATATTGAAGTGAACGGAGGATAAACCCTAGAAAAACCCCCCACGAAAGAAACTAGAGAAAAAAATCAGTTCATATCAAAATTTTTAATATAATTCTGATTAATTTTTCTTTTAAAAATTATTTTTGTTTATTTACGTATAATTTTTTAATTTTATCAAAAGATTAATGTACATATATTGTACTAATTGAATAAGAAATAGAAGAAATAAAAAATGATATGAAAGGTCAATGATGATGTTATCTAAATATAAACAAAAATCGTTTATATTTAATTAATAAGCATACAAAATTGGGTGTATAAAAATTAAAAGTAAAGAATGGAAGACTTTTTTTGTAATAAAAAAATAAGGAAAAAATAGGGGTAGTAGTTGTGTCATTAATTAAATTTAATTTTTAGTCCTTAACTAGAAGCCAAAAAAATTTATTTTTATTTCCTCACAGATTTCTCAACTAAAATTTGTTTTATAAAATTCACACCCACCTCAACGCATTTGAACCAAGACTTGCTCTAATTTTTAATTGATGCTCTCCTTGTTTACCAATACTATTTAGTGTTGTTGTTGTTGCAGTAAGTCTATCTCTACTTAGAGCACTTGCAAGTTTAGGAAAACTTTTGGTTCTTTTTAGTCGTTTTGACAAAAAACACTAAAAAATTTTGGAGAAAATTTTGAAAAAAATTCAAATTTACAGCTAATCGTTGAGGAACAGAAGGTTGTTGTTGAAAACAACTTGAATTTTGAACGGCAGCAGTAGCTGGACTAGAAGCTGAGGATGTACAAGGATCAATTAAGGCAACGGCTGGTGAATCCTGAAGAAAAATATTTTTCCAACTAAAAAAATTTTTTTGAAAATTTAAAGTAAAAATATTAATTTTAGATGGAACAAAAATTTATAACTATTGTATTTGTGTATGAAAATAATTTTTAATGAAAATGAGATGAATCATTAATTTAATCATTTAGTTCTATAATAGTATTCAGCCCGTTTGTTTATTTACAAATAAAATTGTAGATTTTTATAAAAAAAATTTTGGAATTTAAATGTGGATAAAATGTCCATTACTTCCAAAAATTATACTTAATTAAAATGAAATTATTAGGGATATAAATTAGGTCCTTGAAAAATAATCATACATAAAACCGAACTAAAAAAAATCCTCGGTTATAAGGTTCAGGTCGGAATCGACATTCAAATTCATTAGATTTAATCAAAAAATATTTAATTTTATTTTAATTTTTTAAAAATAAATTTAAAAAAAACTCACAAAATCATCTCCTCCATTAAAATTATCACAAATTAAATGGTTATTCTTCTTTTTCTCCAAAATTTGTGTAGTAGTAGCTTTTAATGAAGGTCTAATATTATTCTTACAATTTATTTTTGTTGTACTAGTTCCTCTTTTATTCCATCTTACACTAAATAAATGCCTATCCAAACTTCGAGTTTCTTCAGCTTCTTTTTTATTAGGTAAGGTATGGGATGGGATTTTGCGCATTTCATTATCAAGTGATGGAAGAGGAGTTTCTTTAAAATTAAAAAAAATTTAATCAAAAATAAAATAAATTTAAAGCTTTTAAGAGAATTTTAAGGAAAATTTTTTCCTTAAAACCATAAAATCATCGAAGATGACATTTTGTCCCAAAATTAAGAAAAAAAACCCTAGAAACCCCCCCCCCCCCCCCAAAAAAAACCCAATTCCCAATCCCTCCCCAACACTTCCCTCCTCTCCACACCTTCAATTAATGGCAAAGGAGAACACAAAAGTAAAAGTGGTTGATCTACAGAAATTGATTGGTGTTGTTCTTCGTTAATTGTTGTTCCCTCTTCAATTTTAATTAAGGATTTTTTTCCTCCAGTATTTCTATTATGGCAATAGCAACAACAACAACAATAATTATTTTGACAACATTTTTGTCTTAATATCCACCGCCAAATATTTAATAAGGCAGAGAATAAACAGCCGAAACAACCAAGTATTAAAGGTAAAGGTCGCCATCCAGTGCTGGTCATTATGAATAATATAATTATTTAAAGGTTAAATCGAGCAGGTTTGGCAGTGTTTAGGCAAGCACTTAAATATTAATGTGTTTTTGTGTGTTTGAAAACAACAAGTTTTTGTTTCTCTGGTGTTTTGGTGTTTTTCTATGTTTTGTTTATTTGTGTCTGCTGTTTTGTTGTTTGTTTCTGATGTTTTATCGTTTCTGTTTCTTTGATGTTTAGTTGTTTCTGTTCTGGTAAATGTTTTTATTGTTCTGGTGTTTTGTTTGTTTAAAACAATTGTTTTGTTGGTTTTAATGTTGTTTTAATCAATAAAAACACAATTTAAACATTATAATGTTTTTCTATGATGTTTTATCTTCCTATGATGTTTTTCTGTTGTTCTTTTATTGTTCAATGTTTAGACAAACTAAAATCAATCTCTGCCTTTATATAATTTTTAAATGTTGTTTTCTTTTCTCAACAATTTTTTTTTCTCAATTTCTAACAGTATTTCCGCTTAGTTAATTAAAACCACATGAGAGAATGAATGACAAACATTTTTTAGATTGTTTTGTCATTTTAAACATTACACTACTATGTGGTCGTTGAAGTTCCGGTGTTCTTCTTCTTCTTTTCTTTTTTTTCTCTATTTTTTCACGCAACTCTAATTCATCCCTTCTTTACCCCTCTAAATTTTGCAAAGGATTTTTTTTTAATTTTATAAAATTAATTTCTTTGTTGTTCACTCTAAAAAATTGTTTTTTCTTTCCAATTCTTCCGGTTGTTTGTTTTTCTAATTTTAAATTCTTTTTAAAAAATTGCTGTGTGTTTTTTAATTTAAGTCTTTAAAGAATAAAAATTCAAAAATGTTTGGCTGATGGAATTCTTGAATATTTTTTGCGTGTAATGTATGCATGAAATTTTAAAAAATAAAAAAATTTGGAAAAAAAATTTCTTTTCAAAAAAATTTTTTTCGAGAAAAAATATTTTTTTAGATGTAAGAAAAAACCAATTTAAAATTAAGAAAAAAAAATTAAGAAAAAAATTAAAGAAAAAAATTAAATATCAATAAAATATAATTTGGAATGAGGAACGGCTGCTGTCAGAGAGAATTGTTGTTGTTTGGTTGAACAAAATAAATCATAAAATTATAAATATATTTTATTTATTATTTTCAGAAAAAAAACATATTAATAATAAAAATATGTTGGTTGTTTGTTTGTTGGTTAGAAAAAAATTAAAAATAGAATGAAAAATAAAAATGGACGGGAAGGGGAATTGTTTAGAAATCAAAACATAAAAATAAAAAAATTCAAAAATTAAAAAAAATAATTTTTCAATGCAACTTTTTAATAAAATAACTTGAAAAAATCAAAAAAAAATTGTAAAAATGATTGGTTAATAGTAAATAGTGTTTTTGGTTGGTTGTTGGTTAGAAGGTTGTTTTTCTTTCCTTCCAACAAAGGCAGTAAAAAAAAGACGACCGATTTGATTTTTCGGGTAAAATCGGTAGGTGAAGGAATTGGTTAGTGTTTAGAAGAGAACAAGGAAGGATTTAAGCGGCAATCAAAAGGAGAAGAAAAAGAAGAGAAGAAGAAAGAATCGTCACGAATTAAAAAAAGAAAAATATAATTTTTGGAAGTGGTGGGAAGAAAAAATTTTTTTTTTGGTATAGTTAGTGGGTAAAAAGGACCCCTCCACCTCTCCCTCCTTATCCCCCCCCCTCTCCTTCTCTCCTTATTCCTCCTTCTTCCCCCCAAAAATACAATCAACAGCTCCTTCTTCCACCTCCTTCCCTCTTCCCTTCCCTTTTTACTCCTTCCACGGCTGGTAAATGAATGAATGACTAGAGGGGGTACTGAATGAATCGCTTCGATCGATTTGAGAGGGCAATCATGAAGGAAAATAAATACACTTGCAATTTTTGAAGGGTCTTTCTCTCTGCATGACACAAAAATATATTTTTAGTTTATTGTTCACCTTTAACATTTTTTCTCTGAAAAAAATTTTTTCTTCTTATTTTTAGAAAGTGGAAGAAGGATTTTTAGAAAAAGGGAAGGGAAGAAGGAAGGGAAGAAGGGAAGATCGCAGTAGAAAAGTGTCATTTTTGAATAAATTTGTTCGTTCCCTCTTTCCAAAATTTAAAAAAATCCCCCCCCTACTTCCTGTCCTTCACAAAAAAAATTTTTCAGTTTTTACTACCCTACGTGAGCAACAATAAAAGTTGTGTGTAATTTTAAAGAGTGAAGTTTTTTAACTAGAAAAAAATATTTACAAGTAAAAAGCCATTAAAACAGTTAAAAAAGGTGAATGACTTTTTTTAACGATTTTGATGTTTGGCTGACTATCCAAAAAATAGAGAGGAACGGCCAACAGGTTTAAGGTAGAAATATTTGCGTAGTCTCTCCTCAGTTTTTTTAATTCTTGAAATTAAATTCTTGATTAATTCCAAGATATTCTTCGTTAAGGTTTCAAGGTTGATTTGATTTTCTAGAACCAAGCAGCCTCGAGTCTGAAGTGGGTTTTTTTTTTTTATCCGAAGATTTCGAAGATTTTCTAGAACCAAGCAGCCTGAAGCTTGTAGCCATTTACACTGCTAGAACCATATTAAGCAGCATTATAGAATCAAAAATCATCTCATATCATCTTTTTTTTTATTAAACCTCTTAGTTTTATTTTTAGTTTTTTTGTAGCAAATTTAATCCTCTAATTTATAAAGATTATTTTTTGTAATATTCGTCATTTATGTATATGTTTGTTGAGGGAAGATAGTCTACATTTTTGGTTTCTGGTCGTTATATTAAATTCTCCTTTATAAAGATGTTTGATTTTCAATTCTAACTTAAAATGTAGCTTCTTTATTAATTCTAGATGTTGAGCTTCAAAAAAAGTAAAAGTCAGACTTCTAGGTCGCCAAAAATTCTGAGATTTTGCTAGAAACCGACACTCTTCATTACTTATTTACTTCGTCTTTTTTGACATTTCTTCTGATCTCTTCAATTCAATACCACCATTTCCAACAATTTCCCACGTACTTAAGTTGCGCATTTTGCCCTCAGGCAAAAAAACCTCAAAATTTCACTTTGTTCTTCCGCTTTTTTTAACACAAAAACTTGCCTCTCCTCCCGACTATTTTTATTGTTTCTAATTAATTCAGTTTATTTGGAAATTAATTTTAAATACCCCCCCCCCCCCCATTGAGCAATCTCGCTCTTTCCCTTTTAAAGAGTGATCCACTAGACAAAGATCGCGCAACATCCGCCGACAGATAAATAAATTACCTAATTTAAGAAACATGTCTGAGAAAAGTTTTGAATTTACTCTCTAAAAGGAGGCTTTCCTTTTCCTTTTTAAATTTAAAAAAATTAATAAAAAATTCAGGAAAAATTCCTGAAAAAATTGAAATTAAAAAATTTTGAAAAAAAAATAAAAAAAAATTCTCAAAAAAAAATTGAGAAAAAATTCAAGAGAAAATCACAGATTTTTCTAATGCCAGAATTATACTCTAAAAGGAGGCTTCCTTCATTTTTAAATTTAAAAAAAATTAAAAAAATAAAAAAAAATCATTTAAAAAAATTCACAAAAAATTCACGAATTTTTCTTACTAACATCAAAAAATTTATGAATTATACCCTAAAAGGAAACTTTCTCCTTCCTTTTTAAAATTAAAAAGTGAAAAAAATTTCTCAAAAAAATTCGGGAAAAATTCCCGCATTTTTCTAATGTCTCAAAAAATTTCTTTTCTAACCTCTACAGGAGGCAAATGGTGAATGTGAAAATGGATGAAACTCTAATAATTGTAAAGAAATATTTTTGTTGTTATTGTTGGTTGTATTGTTGTTGTTTTCTTCACTCCATCCTCCTAGTTTAGTCATTTTCAAGATTTTTTTTTGAAAATTAATAGAAAAATGAATAATAGAATAGAAGAAAAATGTGAAATGAGGCAAAAAAAACTAGAAAAAAAATTTTAAAAAAAATAAAAATATCAATTTATGTCTTTAAATGACAAGGGATGTAAAAGGTAAATGAGTGATATTAAAAAAACTTTTTAATTGTGAAATTATTTTTTTTTGTTTATTTTTATTTAGAGTAAATACATTGTGTATTTTAAAAATTTAAATTGAGATTGTTGGTGCAGGTTTTAAGACCGAAAATCTCGATATTTTTTGCCAAAAATGAGTGATGTTTGAAAAAATTGCCAAAAATAAAACAGATATTTAACGAAAATTCAAAATTGAAACCCTGAGTTTTTAAAATTGAATTAACCAAAACCAGAAGGTATCGCTATTTGTCTTCCGTATATATTCATCATTTTTGCCCCTGTTAATAACCGGTCACCAACAACACTGATTTAAACTTTTAATATGAAAAATGTACTCTCGATTTTTAAATTTGTTTAAATTATATTTTTGGCAAAAAAAGTCAAAAATTTTTTTAAATTTATAGAGTTGTTAGGTAACATTTTATATATTTGTGAAAAATTTATATTAAAATAGATACTCTGTTTATTTTAAAAGCGCCGCTATTCCCCTATTTTATAAGGTGTTTTTTATTCTTTATTTTTCTTCAATTTTTCGACGGAAATTGATAAAGATAACTGATAAAATTTCAAAAGAGTAAGTACTGTTTGACTGTTTGATTTATCGCAACATTTTTTTTCAAAAAAAAGTTTTTTTTCGATTTTTCAATAAATTGTTTTTTTAAAGGAAAGAAAAAAAATTTAAAAAATATTTTTCAAAAGCTCCAAACGCCAATTAACTCTAAAATAGCATAGATCTTTTTTAGTTAATTAAAAAAAAAGTTTTAAGGAATCCCAAATTCAATTTAGTACATTTATTTTTAATTTAGAAAGGGATTTTTGCCAAAAATCCCCTCTCTAAAAATATTTTTTTCAACATTTTTAATTTTTGAATTCTGAAAAAATATATACAAATTAATTTAATGTATATATTTCTGTCAGGTAAACAGAGGAAAGATGAAAATGAACTAAAAAATAAATTGAACAAAATTTTCACTATTAAAAATGTAATACGAAGAGATGAAAAAATATTTTTTCTAATGGATGCGTGAGTAAATTGGTGAAAAAAATTAACGAAATAAACTTGATATTTTTTAGGTTGTGGCAGATGTAAGCTTAGAAAATGTGTTGATGTTGATTGTGTTTAGGGCAAGGAAATTGATGATGATGGCGATTAATGGATTGAGAGAAGGGAGAGGGGAATTGGCAATGTAAAAAATGAGTAAAATAAGAGAAAGAAGAAAGTGCTGCTGCTTTTTTCCCACACGCGACTGAGGGAAAAAGGACGAGGTGGAAATAATGAGGAAGATAGAAAAATTTGAAGGAAGATTAAATAAATAGGAAGAGGAAGCTGGACAGGACAGTAGAATGAATAGGAAAATGAAGGTAAAAATGTCTGGAAGATGAAGACGAAAATAAATATGAATAGGAAAATGAAGAATTTAAGATAAAAATGAAGGGGAAGAAGACTAATTTGAAGATGAAGAAATTGACAAAAAGGAGGGAGAAGAGAAAGGATGAACATAAAATTGAAGAGGTAAACGGAATTAAGAGAGAAAAAAGAAGAAAAGTTGGACGGAAGATGAAGAAATTAACAAAAAAGGAAGTGGAAGAGAAAGAAGAAAAGGAAATCAAAAAAAATGAAGAGTTGGATGAGGAGGAAGAAGAAGAAAAATGAGTAAATGAAATTAAACGAGGAAGATAAATAAATATTTTAAATAAAACTAGCTGTGGGTTACGTATGCGATGGCGGTAAGTTACGTATGCAATGGCAGTTTAATTTTGCTCTGGGTTTGAATTTGGCTCTGCCCGTTGGAAAGCCTATCGGCTTTGGGGCGCGCTTCGCGCGCTGCTAGAAGATTTGGATGTCTGGAAGAAAAGATTTAGCCATGCCTTTTCAGAGATTAAGCCATGGCGTTGCTCTTCATTGCGGGATGGGTTGAAGCTCGGGCCTTCGGCCCTCGCGGTCTTAGCTCTGCATTGCGGGATGGGTTGAAGCTCGGGCCTTCGGCCCTCGCGGTCTTAGCTCTGCATTGCGGGATGGGTTGAAGCTCGGGCCTTCGGCCCTCGCGGTCTTAGCTCTGCATTGCGGGATGGGTTGAAGCTCGGGCCTTCGGCCCTCGCGGTCTTAGCTCTGCCTCACGGGATGGGTTGAAGCTCGGGCTTCGGCCCTCGCCTTTCTTTGCTCTGCCTCGCGGGATGGGTTGAAGCTCGGGCCTTCGGCCCTCGCCTGTCTTTGCTCTGCCTCGCGGGATGGGTTGAAGCTCGGGCCTTCGGCCCTCGCCTCTTTGCTCTGCCTTGGTGTCTTCCTCTCTATTGGACTCATCCTTCCACTTAGGCTCGGGCCTTCGGCCCTCGTGTTCCCTTCGATTGGACTCATCCTTTCAATTAGAGTTACTTCGGGCCTTCGGCCCTCGTCTTTCCCCCGTTGGGACTCATCCTTTCAATTAGAGTTACTTCGGGCCTTCGGCCCTCGTCTTTCCCCCGTTGGGACTCATCCTTCCACTTAGAGCAGATGTAAGCTTAGAAAATGTGTTGATGTTGATTGTGTTTAGGGCAAGGAAATTGATGATGATGGCGATTAATGGATTGAGAGAAGGGAGAGGGGAATTGGCAATGTAAAAAATGAGTAAAATAAGAGAAAGAAGAAAGTGCTGCTGCTTTTTTCCCACACGCGACTGAGGGAAAAAGGACGAGGTGGAAATAATGAGGAAGATAGAAAAATTTGAAGGAAGATTAAATAAATAGGAAGAGGAAGCTGGACAGGACAGTAGAATGAATAGGAAAATGAAGGTAAAAATGTCTGGAAGATGAAGACGAAAATAAATATGAATAGGAAAATGAAGAATTTAAGATAAAAATGAAGGGGAAGAAGACTAATTTGAAGATGAAGAAATTGACAAAAAGGAGGGAGAAGAGAAAGGATGAACATAAAATTGAAGAGGTAAACGGAATTAAGAGAGAAAAAAGAAGAAAAGTTGGACGGAAGATGAAGAAATTAACAAAAAAGGAAGTGGAAGAGAAAGAAGAAAAGGAAATCAAAAAAAATGAAGAGTTGGATGAGGAGGAAGAAGAAGAAAAATGAGTAAATGAAATTAAACGAGGAAGATAAATAAATATTTTAAATAAAATTTAAAATAAGTGGATAAGAGAGCTTTACCTCAATTACTTTTTTTACTGCCGCGCAAAGCTGCTAGCTTGCTCTCTTTTTTTTAAAGTGTTTGAGAGAAAATATTAAGATAAAAATATATTTTATTATTGTGGCAGATGCCAAAGAAATATGAGAAAATTGTTTGTTTTTGGTTGTAAATAAATAATAAAATAATTATTTTATTATTGTAAAAATTTGCTTAATAAAATATTTTCCCTAGGATTAAAAAGAAAAGAAGGGGGGAAATTAAAAAGGAACGAAAATAAAATTCTAAAAATTTCCATTTATTTGTTGCTTAAAAGTGCTTAGGGGATGTAAAAATAAATTTAAAATAATTAAAAAATAATAAATTTCAAAATATTAAAAAGTCAAAAATTATTGTAGTAAAAAAAATAAATTTAGAAAAAAATTAGATGTAGAGAGGTTTAAAAAATAGTAGTGAAAATAAGAAAATCTATGTCCTTTTAAAAATAATCAAAAAATTGAAAAAAAACAGTTCCAGAGGAAAAACATAAAACTAATGAAAATTAAATAAGTAACAAAAAATATTATAGGTAAAAAATACTAATTGCAACTAATTGAGTGGAAAATATAATTTTTAAAAAAATTGAGAATCACTCATGCATGTATAAACTAACAAGCATTTAAGTTAAAAACAAAAACCACTTTAAAAAATACTAGGCCCACTAATACTTCTCTTTGTCTTTAAAAAATAAAAGAGAAAATGATAATTAAATAGAAAAGGATGTTCTGTCCAGCAAAAATACCCTATTGTTTGGTTAACAGGGAACTAGGATGTCACGGATTGAGAAAAAAGTCGGGTTGGGTTTTGGGCCGAAAAAAGTCAAAGTTTCGGGTCTCGGATTCGAGTCGGTCAGATTTAGTAGGGGATTAAGATGGCAAAGTCGGGCGGATCGGATCTCGTGTCGTAAAAAAGTCTGGTTTTCGGATATCGAGTTTCGAATAGCTCGTGACATCCCTTACGGGGATTTTAAGATTCATTTTCGGATTGACTGAATTTTCCAAAAATATTTTTTTTATTTTTGTTTCCTCTAATTTTATTTTTAGTTACTATTTATCCTCCAAAAATAGGCCAATAAAAATCCCTCAAGAAAAAAAATATTTTTTTTTCAGTCAATCCATTTCAATTAGCAAAATTGTTTTGCAGTCAGGCTTGTGCTTATCTCATTTGGATTGATTTTAACTCACTAGGGAATTTATGGAGGTTGTTTTTGGATAAATAAAAAAGGAAGTCTTATAATAGTATATTTTTGGAAATTTAAAAGAAAATAAATAAAAAATAATTTTAAGTACAGTCGGACCTCAACACATAAAAAAATATATTATTTTATTAAAAGCCTCCTTAATCCAGTGGCCAACTAATTTTAAAAAATCATAGCTTAATACTATATAAGGTATTGGATATATTTTAGAGTGAGACCTTACTAAATTTAAAACTGGAACAGACTCTAAGGAAATTGAATAATGAATTTCTTCTAGTGAAGATCAGAAGAATTTTAAATCACGTAAGGGTCACCCCTTCCCAGTCACTCCTTCCACTTCCAGTCAAAAACTTTGCTTAAACCTTATCATCCCACTTATCAAAAGCTTCAAATAATTTACCAAAAAACTTTATTTATTTCCTTCAAAAAATTCACCCACCTTCTTTTCCATTTGCATTTTTTATTGCCATTGTTGTTGTTGTAGTCAAAATAGTTGTTCCCATTTTTGGCATCGTTTGGCAATTTTGTTTGTCAACACAATTTTTATAAAATTCTCCTTGTGACCATGATGGACGTAAATTTTTATTTTCATCTTTTAGTTGTTTTCGTTGTTTTCTTAATGACCAATTTTGGTGTTGTTGTTGATTGTTGCTTCGTTCATTTTTTTGTTTTCTTCTCAAATCAAAAGTGAATGAACCAAATTTTGATGAAAGCATTTTTTATTGGAGAAGATTTATAGGCTAAAAATGGAGAAAAAATATTTAAAAAATTTTAGTAAATTTAACGAAAAATATTTGGGATTAGCGAGGGAATAAATACTGGAAAAAAGTAAAAGGTTGCGGGAAATACGAGATAATTCGTTGCGAAGTTCAGGAGCTAGATGATGAAGGAATACACAAGCGTTGAAAACAAAAAAATTCAGAAGCTAGATAAGGAGGAATTCGCGCTCTTTGGAAAACAAAATACCTCAAAATTAAAAAAAATTGAAATAAAAATGGGACAAAATTCACCTCCTCTGAAAGGCCAAATTTTAATAAATATAATAAAACTATTTTTAAATTTATTATTGTTTTGATGATTAATGTTTGGTTTTAAATTTGATAAAAATTTAATAGTTACTCCGTTTCCTTAATTTTTAGAAATGACAATTATTTATCAAGAAGATAACACTATTTTTAAAAATAATCAGTCACTCAATCGTCATTTTAGATAACAATAACTTAACTAAAATAAATATTTTTCATTGTTTTCATTCTTTCAAAATATCAAGGAAACATCTTAAATTTCCCCAAAAAAAATTTTTTTGGTTTTAACAGTTAAAAAATTTTTTCCCAAAAATTTTTAAAATACAAAGTAAAAACTGAGCAGGGAGGAGATCTCGAACAAATATCTCTGTTATTGAGAATCCACAGTATTGCCTGAAATAGTACTCCCCTTGAATTATACCCCTTAAATAGCCCTCCCCCCTTTGGAGGAGGGCTGAAAAATTGTACTCCCGACAGTATTATTATAGGAAATAAGTATATTCATCGAGATATGGCCCATCCCAGCTCGACATAGAATCTTTTACCTACAAATTACAAAACAATTAATTCATTTAAAATTCAATAAAAATATCAAAAAAACAAGCATTTACTAATAAATTATTAGTAAAAAAAGTAAAAAATAAAGGAATTTTTTTACTAAAAAAATTCCTTCTCTCCAAGCCAGGTGCATCTTAAGAAAAAACCAGCAGCTGCGGCCATCCCCTTTCTTTTACTTATATTTAATAATAGAACTGATTCAGGTAAGTTAAATACTTATTTGGTGTTTTTAAATAAATGTCCGGTCCGATTCAAAAAAAGAATTTTGGATTTAAGGTCAATTGGAAAAGTACAAGAGACTCTCTTGTTTATTAGCAGCAACAAATAGCGCATTCATAATAACAAAATAGCATTATTTGCAATTTCCTTGGAAACGGTTTTAATAAAAATAATAGAATTTAATTTTAAATAAAAACTCCAAACAAATACCCTCAACCCGGCTAATTTTTAATAAGTAGACTGGTATTTATTAGAGAGGAGTATCCCTTTAATAGAGTAAAGACCAAATTTTTGTCAAGACCAAAATTTTTCAGGAATCAAGACCGAAAAAACTCAAGAAAAGTAAGCCAAGTCTCACGACTAGAGAGAGGTAGTATAAAATTATGAAGACATTAAAGAACGGACTCGAAGGTAGTATAAGAATCGAAATCGATATCTCGAAAATATCGCCTCGATAACCGAGATTATTGTTAGAGAGCTTTTCTCGGTTTTTTTTCTTTCTCTATGATCTAAAAAATTTTTATTAGATTTTTTGACAGCTAAAAGGAGTTATCATTTAAAAAAAGTAAAGTAAAAAATATAAAGTTGCAAAATTCTTAGTTCTAAAAATATTCTTTTCCCTCAATTTTTCTGCTTTATAATAAGTGTGAAAAGAAGATTTTGCAATAAAAGTAATGAAGAAAAGTAAAAAGGGAAAAAGTAGATTTGATAGAAGAACATAAGAAAAATTTTAACACGCCTTTTCACTCAAATTACCTGCATTTCCTCCTATTTTTTTCAAAAAATATTTCTGTGCTTTTGCACACTAAATCAAAGTATATATGTGAGTGTATAAATGAGGATAAAGCATAAAAAATAGAAAAAGGAAAACTAAAAATAAAGAAAAAAAATAATAATCTTTTTTGAATGACCAATGGTCGTTATTATTGAGGTTATCCCCGCGGGGATGGCAATAAGAAAAAAAATTGGGTAGACGGGAAATTGGAAAAACGAGGGTAATTACAGGTGGATTTCGATTTAACGAACACCTTTGTAATGAAAAAGTGTACTCAAAAGAGTGTAAAAAAATTATTGTATTCAGAAGAATTAATTGAGTTTATTATTGCTTAGACAGTTCCCTCAGTTCAGTAGCTAATAAACTTCAAAAAGTGTGACTAATGTACATAAAATTGAGATCAGACTTTAATTCTCAAGTGAGAGAGAGAGAGAGATCGGAGGTTAATCGAAATCGAATTACCATCTAATTGTGTAGTTGATAAAGCTACCTAATTATAGAGGCTGTAATCAAGTGTCGAGTTCCACAATGGGCCTTATTTCTCAACTTTTCAAGCTTGAAAATGGGGAGGGAAATTAGAAGATTTACTAGGAAAAAAAAAGAAACTGAAACCTGAAACGTAAATTTTCCATTTACGGATCGAGAAAAAAGTAGGAAAAAGTGACATTTCTAAGCTTCAATTAAATTTCCAAATTTTCATTAAAAACTGAAATTTTTACTATTTTCTTAATTTTTCAAGGCCGACAAATTTTATTATTTAAAAAAATATTAGTCATAAAAATCTATAAAAATTCATATAAAAATTCCTAAACCCAAAAAAAAACTTTAAGAAAAATCTTTTATTTAATAATAAAAAATGTCTATGCCTTTGTCTAAAAATTCTTTACTAACAAAATAAAAGAATTGTTGTGTAAATGTAAAAAAATTGAATATAAAGAGGCGTAAAATGACGGCTAGCTTTTTTTAATGCTTTTACCGCAATACTGAAAAAGGTGTTTAGTATTTTGTGAGATTTTGGGTGCGCTCGCGCGTAAAGAATAGATGCAAATGGAATGATTTTTTAAAGAAAAAATATTGAAAGATAATAAAATAATCTTACTTATGTGATTAGTAGAGTGACGGAAAGAATTTTGAGGTTTTAATAACCAGAAATTAATTTTTAATTTTTACAAATATTTACAATATACATAGCAGGGATCCTGCCGTCACGATTCCCGAAAATCGAGAATTCCCGCCGTTTTTTGGATCGGGATCCCTATTTCCTAAAATCGGGAATTTTGATTTTTTGTCGGAAGGATCCCTGATACACAGGATTGTCGGTTTTTGGAGAATTTTCAGATATCCGCAAACGAACCGAAAAATCATCGGTCTTCGGTTCGACTCTGAAACGACAATCTTAAATATACGCAATAGAATTTCATTCTATTACTATTATGTTTTTTATTATTTTTTATATTTTTTATTACTTTCTATTATCTATTATATATTCAACATTAATTATTATTCAAATTTATTAAATTTTATTTATTATTATTTTAAAAAGATAAGTTAAAATAATAATTTATGATTATATATATATAATAAAATTTATTATCATCGCATATAATTTGCGGATAATTTCGGATAATTTGCGGATAATTTCGGATAATTTCACATAATTGCATATATGCAATTATTATAGATATTAAACTTATATTTTATTAGCAAACCTTAGATTTATAAACTAAAATATTTGGAAATCAATAAATTAAAGTTTAGGTTTTATTAGTACATATTAAATTAATAAAGTATAAATTAATTTAATTTAAATATTTATGTGCTCTTAAAAAATATTCAGTTGAACTTGAGATAAAAATAATCTTACTCAAAGTAAAATAGAAAAAATTAAAATGAAAATTAAACTATCAAAGTAAAATCAGTCAGATGAAAGATGAAGACTTAAAATAGAGAAAATGAAAATTCCCGCGGGATTAATCCCGTAAATCTCGAATCCCGAGCGGCGCTTAACACCTAGGATTCCAGTACGGAATCTCGTAGAATCACTACAATGCCGATCTCTAAGTCTTAACTACTTAATAATAAAAAATCTGTTTTTCAACTATTTTTGCGCGACAATCTGCACACAATATTTTTGTTGAAATTACAACAAAAATACCGAGAAAAATTATGAAAGAACACTGTGAATAAATGAAAATAATAAATATATTTTTTTATTGGTCATAGAGTTTCTTTCAGTTTCTAATAAATCCACTACCCAAAACAAGTAAAAAAAACTCTCTCCGATATTTGAGTGGATTAGAGGAGAAATTGCGGGAAAATTATTTTGAAGAGAACGGCTTATTATTATTACACTTTTTTGAGGAATTTTGAGGTCGAGGGCTTCTAGATATTTTTCTGGAATTGAAAAAAAAATTTTATTTCAATATTGGACTGTAAATTGGGGGAAAACAAAAACATTAAACAATAGCAAACTGTGAATAAATTATCTCCCTAATTTTATAATAATCAGCACAAGCATATCCCTCAACATGAAATCTTCCCGCCTCATTTCTCCTAACATTAGCAATGTTGTTAACATAAAGGACTCCTGAATGAAATTCTGCATGGAACCCACTAGAAGCCAAAAGTTGTTTTAAATCGGTTAATTTTGGGTCGTTAACAAATACAGATTGATGTGGTGGAATTCCACTAGAGGAAAGTAATTCGAGGAAAAGTTGGTCCGGGACTGGAACTGTTGTTGTCATTTTTTGTAAAGGGGTAGTAGCTTCTTTTTCAGCTATAAAAGTATAGAAACTGTTCAATACGAAAAAAATATTTTTTAAGAAAAATATGAAACCCAGGAACGCGCGCAGGACAATAACTCACAATAAAAATTTAAATTAAAAAATATTCCCTAAAAATTTTTTCCAAAACTACCCACCTTCAACACCATCTTGTTGTTCAACACCCTCTCCATGTTGACCAATTTTCTCTTCCCTTTTTTCCGAATTCTCTTCATCAATTTTTTCATTGTCTTGTTCCATAGGTTCTTCGTTTTCTCCTTCTTTTCTAATTTCAACTTCCATTCTTTCCTCCTCATTTACATTCTCAACTTCTTTTTCCTCTTCCATAACATTTATTGCTTCTACATCTTCATCTAATTTTTCTAATGCAGCAGGAACCAACGCCGATTTTCTTATTATCCTAGCGTCTAACCAACTTAATTCTGCATCCTTTACCTTAAAATTAGAGGAAATATAAATTTAAAAAAAAAGCAAAAAAACCGTTTGAAAAAGCAGTGAAGACATCAACTGATCACTCAAAGTTACTTGAAAGATGTGAGATTCAATTGTTGCATCAACCACATCACCCATCATTGGGGTAAATATTTTGCCTTGAACCACATTATTTTGACGACAATATTCGGCTAAATGGCGAGTAGCTGGAGCAGATCCGTGAACAATAACCTTAACAAACAATTGTTTAAATTTAAAAAAATTCTTTAAAAAATACCAATTGTTTAGGCTTTATTTGACTCAAAATCTTTTTTATTGATTCTCCATCAGATCGCCCCTCAAAATCGATAAATTCAACTTTGCATAGAATCTGAAAAAATAATTTTTGTCAAAAAAAGTTAAACAAAATTAATGAAACCTCAATTTTAGTAATAAAAGAAACACATTTTTTAGGCCATTCTTCGATTATTTGTTGTATTCTTTGACGTTCCATTTTTGCATCAGCAACATCATCATCTTCTTTTTCAGTTTTTGGATTTATTGTAGGGCTAGTAGAAGTATTTGTAGTAGTTGTAGTTTCGGCAGTCATGTATTCTTCCGGACGAATAACCTCACCATAATCATCCCACTAAAATAAGAAAAAATTAGAGATGAATAAGAAAACAGCCTTCCAAAGGCCGCGCAAGTCCAAAAAAATTAAAAACATACTCGAGATTTTTCTTCTTGATATGGGAACATTGGGAACTGCTTCTTGTTCTTAAAGAAGACAAAAATATTCCTTTCAAATAAACCTTTAAAAGACCTGTTTGAAAAAAGAAACACGCTGATTCATTTCAAATCTCCACATAATATCATAATTGTTGGATGTATTCACTATACTATTCGCTCCAGAAATTCCTTTAGGCTGTTTTTGTGCTACTATCGAATTTCGGCGTTGCTCCTCTACTTAAAAATTTTAAAATTAAAAAAAATAGTAATCGAAAAACAAACATTGTTTTATATTAGCATTGTTTGGCGCTGGCTTTTTTCCACCTTGAGTAAGAGCTAATACAGAAGCTGCCAAAGTCTCCTCGTCCTCCGATTCTTCTGAAGATTCGACGTTCTCTAAGCGTGCATTTCGTCGCAGCGTTTCTAACCTAAAGGAAAAATATTTAAAAAAATAATTAAACAATATAAACCTTTGTTTAGCATCTTCTTGCTCCCTTTCTCTCTTTTTAGCCATGTATTGCTCCAATTCAGCACCTTCCAAACGCACACGTCTCTTAACTTCTAGAGTAACTGTATTATTTGTCGCACGCTTCTTTTCACGAGATTCAGCTATTCTTATTAATTTTGAGCACAAAGTTCTATCGCCAGCTCTTCCTAAAATATTTATTTTTCAAATTAAAATTTGAAACAAAAACCTGTAACAATAACCATATTTTTTGTATCAGTACTCCATTCAAGAAAAAGTTCTCGTGAAAACCCGCTTTCCATATCCAATCCGCTGACCAAGACAACCTAAAATACAATAAAAATTTTATATGTTGGAAAAAAAGCAATAGAAATTACCTTCGGAGATCTAACACGATTTAAATCCATTAGCGTATGACAAAAACGAACATGCTTCAATTGAAAAGGATTTTGCCTTCCCATTTCAAACATTCTCAAAATTTTATCAGACATCCATTCAACTTGTGATTTTGCTGATTCAATAACTGAAGACGCTACAGCACTTAACATAACCAAATTATATGTCATCAAGCCTGCTTCTTTGCTAGAAAATTTTTTGTCAAATTAAGATAAAACAAAAAATACTTTTGCCATAGTTGATCAAGCAAATGTGCAATTTCTAAAACACGTCCAGCTGTGTCTATAACCTGCAAATTTTAATTTTTTTTTCAAAAATAAGATAAAAATCACTAACAATCATAACGTCTCCACCATCCCGAACAGTAGAAAGCAATTTAGACACCAAATTTTCATCACGTTGTTTTTGCTTTGGTTGATTGTATAAAGCATTAAAGGCATCCGTAATTAACAAATTAGGCCTTCCAATACCTTAAATCTTAGAGAACATAAAACTAAACAAATTACCATCAAAAGTGCACCCATTCAAATGTCGTTCCTTTTTATGATTAAAATCAACAGCATAAACAATCTCTTCTTCACCCATTTTAGTAATTCGCCAAATAGCTCCTCCAATATGATGGCCAGCGGGGAAAGGAGTAATTTGCAAACCATTATCGCCTTTTAATAAAATCTAAAAGTAGGGGTAAAACAGAAATTTACAGAAAATGTACAAAAATCTACGGAAAATGTACAGAAATCTACAGAAAATGTACAGAAATCTACAGAAAATGTACAGAAATTTACAGAAAATGTACAAAAATCTACGGAAAATGTACAGAAATCTACAGAAAATGTACAGAAATCTACAGAAAATGTACAGAAATCTACAGAAAATGTACAGAAATTTACAGAAAATGTACAGAAATTTACAGAAAATGTACAAAAATCTACAGAAAATGTACAGAAATTTACAGAAAATGTACAGAAATCTACAGAAAATGTACAGAAATTTACAGAAAATGTAAAGAAATTTACAGAAAATATACAGAAATCTACAGAAAATGTACAGAAATTTACAGAAAATGTACAGAAATCTACAGAAAATGTACAGAAATTTACAGAAAATGTACAGAAATTTACAGAAAATGTACAGAAAATGTACAGAAATTTACAGAAAATGTACAGAAATTTACAGAAAATGTACAGAAATCTACAGAAAATGTACAGAAATTTACAGAAAATGTACAGAAATTTACAGAAAATGTACAGAAATCTACAGAAAATGTACAGAAATTTACAGAAAATGTACAGAAATTTACAGAAAATGTACAGAAATCTACAGAAAATGTACAGAAATTTACAGAAAATGTACAGAAATTTACAGAAAATGTACAGAAATTTACAGAAAATGTACAGAAATCTACAGAAAATGTACAGAAATTTACAGAAAATGTAAAGAAATTTACAGAAAATGTACAGAAATTTACAGAAAATGTACAGAAATTTACAGAAAATGTACAGAAAATGTACAGAAATTTAAAGACAATGTACAGAAATCTACAGAAAATGTACAGAAATTTACAGAAAATGTACAGAAATTTACAGAAAATACAGAAATTTACAGAAAATGTACAGAAATCTACAGAAAATGTACAGAAAATGTACAGAAATTTTTTTATTTTTTTTGTTTTATTCAAAAAATGTCAATGAAGGGGGAAACCACTTACACATTGACAATAAAATAACAATAGGTGAAAAATATGGCAAAAAATAATAAATTATGTATGATATATAATTTTCATTTATATATTTCCTTCTTAATTCCCATTTCTATTCTCAATTGGAGAAACATTTGAATTGGGTTGGTTTCTTTTTGGAGCCATTGTTTACCCAATTATGATCAAAAAAGGCTTTATCCATCAGCCATTTTCTTTTTTGCTCCTAGAAGACGCCGCACATGGCAACGTTTTGGTAGTTCAACCCTTATAAGGCGGTTTCCATGTTCTTTCGTTGTTCCCATTCTATATACTTTTACTGGAAGACATATCATTGGAAGACATTCCACATCGCACAAGTCTAATAATTTAATTATTTGTTGTTTGTCTTCAGTAGCTTTTTGTGTTGGTGTTGTTGCCTTGCTTTCTTTGATTCCCGAAAAAACAACACTGTGTTGTCGTCGGTCCTCTTCAATTGCATCGGCCACCATTACTTGATCTCCAATAATTGAACCTGCTAGTTGTAGAAGAAAATGTACAGAAATTTACAGAAAATGTACAGAAATTTACATAGTGTAGATTACAAGCTTAGTATAAAAAGGTTTACAATCTTCAACATTATCGCTTCTCAAATCAGTTCTATTTGCTATACTCAACATCAATCACATCAAAGATGTCAACTTGGCGCCATATCGTTCGTCTACATACAGAATCCGATGTCACTGAGCAACGACGACTCCTTGATGACCGCACCAGTACTTGGCGTCGCGATAAGTCATTCTCTCGTGAGCTGCATCGTCGTATAACTGGTGGCAGGATTCAAATGGTTGGAAGTGAACAGGAGCGGTCGGAGTACTACAAGTTCGTGATATTTAGTTTTAATAAATAATTATACTTTTACCGTTTTATTAAGATGCGAGGTCTCTGCTTGTTCTGCGCGGACAAAACTCGTGGTCATTGTGCGTACAACACCTGACGATGAGGACGACGTCTTCATCGATGGATACCGATACTATTCGGTTGCTGCCCATACAAACCACCGCCCTATGTCTGCTGAGCAAATGGCCGAGTTCGATAATCCGCGTTGATGCTGCTATAAAGAAGTCAGTGCAACGATGTAGGATAATATAAATAGATATATGCGTAAAATTGTAAATTGTGATTTTTCTTGTGCCTGTTTTTGTGATTATTCTTGTGCCTGTAAAAATTGTTTCAAATAAATTATTCTTGTGCTCACGTTTCTTTTGTCTACCGTTTTTTTGTCTTATAAAGTTTGTCTCAAATTTTTCCCAATTGAGAAAATAATTCAAGCAAGTTGAATTTCCAACCTTTTTTTCTCATTCTTATTTTGTCGATAATTCTTATTCTGTCGATAATTGTTTGTTGGTTTGCCTTAGTAGGGCATTAGTTATTTCTCGTTCGAATAGCCTAAACTTTAAAGGAATATAAGAAATGCAAACAATTTATGATCCCAAAGAGAGAATCACAGAGAAAAAAGAAAAACGGAAAACGGTTCTCGAAAAGGAAGACCGTGGGAAAGTAAAAGAAAATTAAGTGTCCAATTTGTATTCCTCCCCGAGTTTCTAGACAATTAGAATCTAGACAATTTAAAATCGATTTGTTCTTGTTTCAATAAAACTAAATTTTTAAATATAAATTTTGATCTGTTGCCACACCTTGCTTCAAATTTCAATGTTAAATTTTATATCTACTCTCAGATAGACTTTTGATTAAATTATTATAATTATTTTGAATTTTAAATTTCTGCTCATTGTTAAGAATTTTAACTGTTTTGCTGACCCTGGGCCCCATTTTTTTGCAAGATGAAAGAGGATCATTTTTTATTATGAGCAAAATCACAGAAAACCGCAAAAATTTGCGGAAAAGTGAGAGAAAGTAGCAGAAAGAAGAAAAAATGGTCATTACCCATAAAAGTTATAAAAGGGTCAATAACGATTTTCGAAAGGAAAGAACTTGGGAAAATAAGAGACATTATAGAAATAGAGAAATTTTTGTTTGGCGTTGTGCCCAATAAATTTATTTTATTAAAAATGTCCGCCCTACTGTGCTTTCGTGGTCCTCCCAGATTTGACGATTAATTAATCGTTAATTAACGTCATCCATTTCTAGTTTAGGCTACTAAAAATCCAGAAAAACCCCCTTGAGAGAAATTGAAGCCTGGCAGACAAAAATCACGTAAAAATAAATTCCATAAACTCGCTTATTTCAGTTGTTAAATTATTTGTTAATGAATATTATCAATGAAACGACGATACCTGATCCGTGCAATAAGGTTTGCATTCCAGGTTTTATTTTCACCATTCTCCAAAAAAAATTTTTTTAATTTAAGGCGATAAATTGTTTTCTGTTTCTGATAATTACCGTGCAGGTAATGGATGCTTTGAATTTTATGGAATTTTAGTGGCTTCCTTAACTGGTTATGTTAATGTTTCTGTTGTAAAGGATCAGGTTTTTGTTTACTTTGAATTTATTTTCTTTTCATTTTTAAGCATTCAAACGAAACCAAACTTGTAGAAATTAGAAGGAAGATGGATGAGAAAAGTCACGTTATTCCTTCGCAAGGAAAGATTGTTACTGCTAAGGTTTGATTGCCTTATGATTAGTATAATTGGTAATATTCTGTTTTGTTTCGCTCCTTTTTTATTTTTTCCTCACAATCAGAAAATTAAAAATGATCGGACTTTTAATTGTAAGCGAAAATTATAAATGCAATTTGGATGGAAGAAAGGAAAAAGTCTGACCATTTTGCAAAAATATAGGGGAAAAATTGGGGAGGAAAAAAGGGATTCTGTCCGGTTCAATATTACCGGATTTCTAGCCATAAGGAAACCGAGTGATGTTTACAACTGTAACCTGATCATTTTCGGTTATTCGATTAAGTGAACAAAGGAGGATGTGGGAGGATGTGAAAGAACACTGTGAATAAATGAAAATAATAAATATATTTTTTTATTGGTCATAGAGTTTCTTTCAGTTTCTAATAAATCCACTACCCAAAACAAGTAAAAAAAAATGTACAGAAATGTACAGAAATTTACAGAAAATGTACAGAAATTTACAGAAAATGTACAGAAATTTACAGAAAATGTACAGAAATCTACAGAAAATGTACAGAAATTTACAGAAAATGTAAAGAAATTTACAGAAAATGTACAGAAATTTACAGAAAATGTACAGAAATTTACAGAAAATGTACAGAAAATGTACAGAAATTTAAAGACAATGTACAGAAATCTACAGAAAATGTACAGAAATTTACAGAAAATGTACAGAAATTTACAGAAAATACAGAAATTTACAGAAAATGTACAGAAATCTACAGAAAATGTACAGAAAATGTACAGAAATTTTTTTATTTTTTTTGTTTTATTCAAAAAATGTCAATGAAGGGGGAAACCACTTACACATTGACAATAAAATAACAATAGGTGAAAAATATGGCAAAAAATAATAAATTATGTATGATATATAATTTTCATTTATATATTTCCTTCTTAATTCCCATTTCTATTCTCAATTGGAGAAACATTTGAATTGGGTTGGTTTCTTTTTGGAGCCATTGTTTACCCAATTATGATCAAAAAAGGCTTTATCCATCAGCCATTTTCTTTTTTGCTCCTAGAAGACGCCGCACATGGCAACGTTTTGGTAGTTCAACCCTTATAAGGCGGTTTCCATGTTCTTTCGTTGTTCCCATTCTATATACTTTTACTGGAAGACATATCATTGGAAGACATTCCACATCGCACAAGTCTAATAATTTAATTATTTGTTGTTTGTCTTCAGTAGCTTTTTGTGTTGGTGTTG